GGTAGTAGCGCACGCGCGCGAGCCGCTCGTCCCAGTGGCTGACCACCCAGGCCAGCAGCGCGCGCTTGCGGGCCAGCGGCGGCGCGGGGCCGGCGGGCGGATCGCGCGCGTGGCTGCGTGGGCGCAGGCGGCCATAGGGCACGAACACGTCCGAGTCGGTGCGGTAGGACAGCGTCCAGTTGAAGGCGTGCGCGGGCAAGCCAACCAGCGGCGGCGAGTTCGTGGGCGACTCAAAGTTCATCCACACCCAGAGCTGGCCCGGGGGCCGCGGCGCGGCGGGGCAGTGGCCGGGCAGCGCGCAGGACGCCCGCGCTGCATCCCGGTGGTGCAGGAGCACCGCCTCGGCCGCCGGGTAGTCGCTGCGAGCCGTGAGCGCTCTGCAGCCGCTGATGCCGAAGAGCCGCAGACAGTCGGGCGGCGGGCGCGACACGGGCCGGCCAGTGAACGGCTCCCACCACAGCAGCACGCTGGACGTCCGCGGAGGGGGCCCTGGCCCGGGCCGAGGGGGCGCGGGCACGGGCCCGAGCCGCGGGGGCACCAGCACCCAGCAGGTGCCGGCCAGCAGCCCGCAGGCTCCCAGCAGCAGTAGCAGCAGCGGCGCCCCGGGCCCCCGCCGCGCCAGCAGCCGGCGCTCCCGCCCCCTCATCGCGCCCGCGGCCCAACTGCGGTCCCAGCGCCGCCGGGAGCCTGCATCCCTCCCGGGTCCCACCTTCCCGGGTCCCGCCCCGCTGGGTCCCACCCTCTCGGGTCCCGCCCCGCTGGGTCCCATCCCATCGGGTCCCACCCCGCCGGGTCCCACCGGGTCCCGCCTCCCCGGCCCTGCCGAGCGCCAGCAGGTTTTCCGGGCCCCGCCCCTCCAGGTCCCATCCCACCTGGTCCCACCTCACCGGGTCCCACCGTATCCCACCTCCCCGGCCCTGCCACGCGCCCCAATCTCTCCCGGGTTCCACTCCCCGGGGTCCCACCCTCCTGGGTCCCATCCCACCGGGTCCCGCCACCCCGGCCCCACCGCGCGCCCGGATCCCTCCTGGGTCCCACCCAGCTGCGTCCGCCTCTCCCACCAGACGGCACCTGCTTGGCCGGCAGGACCGGCGCCCCTCCCACCCTAAACCTCTTCCTCGAGTGGGCCCGCAGATTCAGACTAAGGGCCGGGTGGTAAATTGGGGTGTCCCTGGGAAGTGCAGCCCGAGTCCGCGCTAGAGCGTGCCAGGAGCAAGATGATGACGGGACACTCCGTCCTGCAAAACGGAGCAGGCCTGCCAGAAGTGACCAGAAGAGCTTTGTGGAAGGAATTCAAACTCCACAGTCACTTCCCACAGGAGACAAAGACTGAGTTCCTAAGGCATGGCAGGGCTGGCGTTCTTGAAAAGCTTTTTTTTTCTTGCGATGCATAGGGGTTACTCCTGGCTTTGCACTCAGGAATTACTCCTGGCGGTGCTCTGGGGTCCATATGGGATGCTAGGAATGGAGCCCAGGTCAGCCTAATTTGGAAGGCAAACGCCTTGCCCACTGTACTATCGCTCCAGCCCCAGAAAGCTCTTTTCAATCCCTCAGGCACCTCGCCCTCTCCCCGCTGCCTTTTGTTTTTTTTGTTCCCCCCCCCTGCCTTTTTATTTGTCCTTTTCATCTTTTGGTTGGTGGACACCCCAAGTGCAGAGGGAAGCTCACTGCAGAGGTCTCCAGAGAAAGGGGCCATGGTGGCTTTCTTGGAGACCCAGGAGATGTGTTTCTGTTTTGCTCAATCCAGTAAGAAAACAGCTGTAGCTATAAGATTGCTATAGATCATTTGCAGACAGACATGGCCTTCAGCTCGGAATAGGACTTAGTGGTACATGGACCGTCTGTGTGAGACCTGGGCTCAGGAAGGAAGGGAGATGAGAGAGGAAGAAGAGAGAAGGAAGGAGAGAGAGACAGAGACCCCTTCGGCCTTTTCAAAAATTTTGTTTTAAAACGCTTATTAAGGAGCCAGAGAGCCAATGGGCTATTTGCTTTGCATGTGGGAGGCTTATGGTAAGCCCCCCAACCCCCAGTACCCCCTGCCAGAGAATCCCCCAGCACTGACCTGGAGTAGCCCCCAAGCAATACCAGGTGTGGTCCATCCCTGCCCTCCCCCCCACACGAAAATAACAAAATGCTTAACAAAATGCTTATTAAAGAAGAATAAAACCCTTATGTCATGGGGCAATTTTTTTTTATGTAGGAGTACTGCTATTTATTCAACCACTGATTAGCTGATTGAATTGTGCATGAACTCCACCTTACTTTTTTTTTTCATTTTTTTATAATTTTATTTATTGAATCACTGTGAGAGCAGTTACAAAGATTTCGGGTCTAAGTCTCGGTCATACAATGAAACACCCGTCCCTTCACCAGTGCCCATTCTCCACCACCAAAAACCCTAGTATACCCCCTCCCCCTACCTGTGGGGCAGATGATTTCCACATTACTCTCTCTCTACTTTGATCACATTCAATATTTTGACACCAGATCGACCATTATTATTTGAGATTTTACCCCAACACTCAGATCTGCTGAAAAGGCAACAGTAGAAAATTTGTGTTCTGTTGCTGGTTATGAATAACATATGATGTCGTGTGGCTGCAGTAGGGCCATGTGATTTTGAAATTCCTAAATTTTAACACTTAAATCTGGAGGAATTTCTGCCAAAAGCTACTGGGTTTTGAGATTTGCTCCTGAGTCTCTGGGATCATGGCTGTTGAGCAGTTTGATCAGGAGCCAGAGAGGCCGTTCATGGACGATGACTTGGGGACTCGTTGGGGTGGGGAGGACAGGCCTGGCTCCACCCCCATCCTGTGAGGCCCAACAAGTTTCATCAATGCGGGCCCAGACCTGACTGTCCAATGACCTCTGGAGGATGACAGCCACCGAGCTGCCAAAGGGGAGCAGGCAATACAAAATGATTTATATTATGTATGCTTATATGTTTGTTGGACAAGGAGAGGAGAAACACACCCAGGGAATTCTGTTCTAGGTTGTGTCGATCTGCTAAGTGAGAGTCTGTCCTAGAAACTGCTTTCCCGTGTGTCCTGACTAGCTTGGATGAGACTGAACTCTTCTCCCTCTCAAACTGCCTTCAATAAATGATTTCAGTACATTGAGGCAGTTTCCCTTATCTCACAGGAACCTAGCTGGTCTTGGGTGAGCAGATCTCAGGTGCTAAACCAGGCCTGATCTTTGGGATGTAGATGCTGGCTCCAGGCAAACTGACCTTTGAGATGTAGACTCCAAGCTCTAGCAGACTGGTTTTAGATGTGCTAATCCAAGTAGCTTGTAAAAGGTGAGGCCAAGATTACTGGCCTGGGGATGTAAAGAAACAATGTGGATGTAAAGAAACAATGTATGTTTTGCTGTCTCAATGTTCTTTCTGTAACTCCTTTTGATGACATCTCTATATTGCGCCCTTTAGAGGTACCATGATCTATATAAGGGGATTTTTGGGGCTCTCTCAGTGTGCACATGCTTGAGGACTCCTGAGGCCTCCATGACATACATTTTTTGCATGTAATAAACTGCTGCTAAGACCAACCAGCTTAGCCCTCGTTTCCTTCCTTCACCTGACCATCGCCATGGACCTTCCTGGAGTGGGGAAACGGCCTGAGACTACTGAACAAGGGCGGCGGGAGAGATTGGCCGTTGCCGTCCCTTTGCCCATCCTTTTTTGTGCGATTACACAGGGCAATGCAGAATAGAACCCCCAAAGGCACCAGGGAACCAGGTGTGTGGTGTCCTGGGAGGCACCAGCTGTCAGCAAAGTTTAGCACCCCAGGGCAGCTTTTCTGGCTGCAGAAGTGACCACCAGGTATGTGTCCCACAGGGAACTGGGTGTCACCAGGAAGTCACTGCTTGGGGCTGACTCAGTCCTTCCCGGCTGTGAACAGTAGGACTCTGTAGAATACACAGGTGGCTTCGCCCCAGTACCAGGTCATTTTGCTCTCACTGTTCTTGGCGAACTTGCAGTGTGATCCTTTTGGGGGAGTCTCTGCCAAACGGTTCCTTGGAAAGGAGCCGGAGAGACCCCAGAGCTGCCTCACTGTGGCATTTTTCTCCCACATGGTCACTAAGTGGGAACGTTTCTCCATGACCCAGAGAGTTCGCTTCCAGACTGGTGCTTGTCCACTGCTTCAGAGGGTAAATATTTTTCACCATGTAACAGAAACAACCAGTCAATAAGTCTTTGTTGAATTGATTTATTGCATGGAAACTGAGACATGAATGAGCAAACTCACTGGAGGGTGTTTTAAGGTGAGGTTAGGGAGAAAGACCGAAGGGGGTGCATAATCAGAATGCTAGGGAAAAAACTTTCCGGGAGAAGAGTAAGAAAAAACACAAGGCAGCTATAAAATGAAAGCCTGGACAATTCAAGGGGCTAAAAATAGAAAAAACACAAACTTTTAGAACAAACATGAATATTTTAATATATGTATTAAAATTTTATTTTATGAAAAAAAGTATTTGGTGTCATGATAAATGAAAGGTATATAATATAGGGTATGGTTTTAAATATGTCAGGTAAATGCAAAGAAGAAATGGATTAAAACAGCAACATATTATCAGTAGTTGTTTCTGCAAATTGAATGATAGGTGAGATTTTTTTCTCCATTATTTCTTCATTTCCCAATTTTTTGGGGGGTTTGGGTTGACAACAACAACATTCATTTGGCAACAACATGGCAGCTGAACTGAGGGGCTCACTCCCTCCAATCAGCATCCTTCTTTTTTCTCATTTTTCTCTGTGGTACATAAATTACTCTTGACAGTGATAGAAAAGGAAATGTTTTGCTTCCTTCTTCTTGATCCCAGAATTATTAATAAAATCATTTTTAAATGTTTTAAAAAAATCAGTATCAAAAAGTCCTCTCAATAAATTTCAAATTCTAGGGAAGTGATCACGATGATCCACGTCAGCATTACAATGTTTTTTGCTAAGTTCTGTCTTTATGTAAGACATTCATGTATGAAATTTCCTCATCTTTTTATTTTTAATGGATGCAATCCTATTAGTCCTGACGCATTTATAATATTTGCCTTGGAGTAAACCCAATAAGCATGCCTTGTTTCATTCCATCTCATAGACACAAGACCATGAATAAATCCCAACTAAGATACTATGTACAATATTTTCCTTCATAACTTTCAGGCCTTTAGCAAACTTACCAAAAATCTTTCATTATTTTGGGTTAATTTGCAAATAGGAATTCATGCCATGAATGAGGCTAAGAGACTAATATACATTTTTTACGCCTCTTAAGTTGTGAAGCAAGTCTGAGTTTCTTCTCTGTTTGTCAGACATCAGGGAAAGAGGTTTTGTCTCAGTGGAAAATGGGTGAATCTTTTCCTGGAGTAAAGAAATGCACACAGGTGAGACCTTCCTTGGGGTAGACGCTCTCCTAGCCAGTCCTTGGAGCCTGACCCACTGCAGTCTCAAGGCTGGGCCCCTCCTGCCCCATGTGTTTAGGGAAGTGCTGCCCCCTCCCCCAACCCTGTCAGGGGGAAACTTCCATGAGCCCCCAAGTGCTCACAGGCGCACCAGTGTCAGAGGCACTAGGAGACTTCTCTGGCTCTGTGGGACCAAAGCAGGCAGGGACGCCTGTGGCCTCTAGCCCACGCGGATTCTGCAGTCATACAGCCCAGAGGATCACGGTGTTTGGGGAACTCCTGGAGAGTGGCAAGGCCAGAGTGGGCTCCCTGAGTGAGGGGCACGAGGTTGTGTCTCCACACAGCCCTCAAGAGCCTCCCGGCTTCCCCTTGCCCACACTCAGCCCCATTGTCGAACTGGGTGCTGGGGGCAGGGAGGCACAGTGACAAGGAGCATTGCCTGGGCCCAGCCACGCGAGGAGGGAAGAGAGACAGCACCTGTCCACAGAGCTTGTCATCACCTTGTGTCCATCTCCAGTAGATGCTGCATCTGCCTCTTTCTCCTCAGTAATGAGGCGCATCTCCTTCCCTGGCCTCAGAGGGGCCCTGCGGGCTGGCAGGAGCTGCTTCCCTGAGCAGTTCCTGGGTCCTGGTGCAGCTGTGAACGGGGAGGGGAGACTGAGCTTCATGCCAAGGACAGCTTGGATTGAACATGCGCTGCTCTGGGAGGGATTCCAGGATGACGGGGAGTTGGCGGAAACAGCTTAGCGGGCGCGTGGCCCTGGCTTGGGTTGTCCAGGTGCCACTGGAGGACAATGGCATCTTTGTGGGCTTGGGAGGAGCCCGTGTGCCCACAGGCTGGCTGGCCTGGGCACCCTCCACCCACAACTCCTCCCTGGGCAGTTAAGATGACAGGGGCCCGTCTGCAGCTTCTTTACCATGGCCTAGTCTTGGCTCAGCCATCACTTACCTCGCGTCCCCTGCTTTCCTGCCTCCTGCCCGCCCGCCAGGCATGGGGGTCAGTCCCTCTGCCTCTGTTGTCACGAAGCCCAGCAAGGCCAGAGAGGGGTTCTCAGTGATGGTTCTGTCCCTCTGAGGCCGGTGCACTCCAGAGCTGGCCTCCGGGACCCTCCCTGAGGCTCTCTGCTGAATCTGGCACCCCTGCAGACAGTACCTGGGCCTGGTGGGCTGACATCCCCTGTCCTGAATGCAGGATAGTCACCGAGGTGCCTCTGGGGGCCACACCTCCATACTTCGGCTCACCGGCTGAGTCACCTACCCTTTCCTTGCCTCTGTTTCCCCACGCCACATGCATTAGGTCTTTTTGCAAGGAGAGGAGGGAGCTCAAGCGCTGGTTGGCCAGAGCTGTGGCCAGCAGTTGCAGTGGGCACAGGCACCCCCTCCCCCGGGCTGTGTGACTGCCTTGTCCACATCTCTCATACACGAACCTGCAGACACTGGTTGTGACAGACACCTGGGGACAGCATGTGTGCCCGGCCTGGTGGCCATCTGGCTGAAACGGGGGAGCCAGGCCCAGCAGCTGCCGCCTCCTCCCTGCACCCAGCCCTGGCCCTGCTGCTGGCCCAGACCTTCACCAGGCAACTGCGTGCAGGAACCTGTGGTGTAAGGGACAGCCTGACAGAATGGGGGCGGTAACGAGGGGGCAGCCAGGAGGAAGGGCCTGGCAGTAGGAGATAGGAGACAGGGACACTTGGAAGAGGGAAGTCTGGGAGGGAGGGCCATGTGGGCACCGACCTGGAGGGAGGGTCAGTGTGGGAAGAACCCCCTAGGAGAGGGGTAAGTCTGTACCCCGACGGAGGGCCATGTGGGTCAGTACCCTGGGGGAAGGGTCAGTGTGGGTCAGTACTCCGGGGGAGGACTGTGTGGGTCAGTACCCCGGGGGAGGACTGTGTGGGTCAGTACCCCAGGGGGAGGGTCAGTGTGGGTCAGTACCCTGGGGGAGGACTGTGTGGGTCAGTACCCCAGGGGGAGGGTCAGTGTGGGTCAGTACCCCGGGGGAGGACTGTGTGGGTCAGTACCCCGGGGGAGAACTATGTGGGTCAGTACCCCGGGGGGAGGGTCAGTGTAGGTTAGTACCCCGGGGGAGGACTGTGTGGGTCAGTACCCCGGGGGAGGACTGTGTGGGTCAGTACCCCGGGGGAGGACTGTGTGGGTCAGTACCCCGGGGGAGGATTGTGTGGGTCAGTACCCCGGGGGAGGACTGTGTGGGTCAGTACCCCGGGGGGAGGGTCAGTGTAGGTTAGTACCCCGGGGGAGGACTGTGTGGGTCAGTACCCCGGGGGAGGGCTGTGTGGGTCAGTACCCCGGGGGGAGGGTCAGTGTAGGTTAGTACCCCGGGGGAGGACTGTGTGGGTCAGTACCCCGGGGGGAGGGTCAGTGTAGGTTAGTACCCCGGGGGAGGACTGTGTGGGTCAGTACCCCGGGGGAGGACTGTGTGGGTCAGTACCCCGGGGGAGGATTGTGTGGGTCAGTACCCCGGGGGAGGACTGTGTGGGTCAGTACCCCGGGGGGAGGGTCAGTGTAGGTTAGTACCCCGGGGGAGGACTGTGTGGGTCAGTACCCCGGGGGAGGGCTGTGTGGGTCAGTACCCCGGGGGGAGGGTCAGTGTAGGTTAGTACCCCGGGGGAGGACTGTGTGGGTCAGTACCCCGGGGGAGGACTGTGTGGGTCAGTACCCCGGGGGAGGACTGTGTGGGTCAGTACCCCGGGGGAGGACTGTGTGGGTCAGTACCCCGGGGGGAGGGTCAGTGTGGGTTAGTACCCCGGGGGAGGACTGTGTGGGTCAGTACCCCGGGGGAGGACTGTGTGGGTCAGTATCCCGGGGGAGGACTGTGTGGGTCAGTACCCCGGGGGAGGACTGTGTGGGTCAGTACCCCAGGGGAGGACTGTGTGGGTCAGTACCCCGGGGGAGGACTGTGTGGGTCAGTACCCCGGGGGGAGGGTCAGTGTAGGTTAGTACCCCGGGGGAGGACTGTGTGGGTCAGTACCCCGGGGGAGGACTGTGTGGGTCAGTACCCCGGGGGAGGACTGTGTGGGTCAGTACCCCGGGGGAGGACTGTGTGGGTCAGTACCCCGGGGGGAGGGTCAGTGTGGGTCAGTACCCCGGGGGAGGACTGTGTGGGTCAGTACCCCGGGGGGAGGGTCAGTGTAGGTCAGTACCCCGGGTGGAGGACTGTGTGGGTCAGTACCCCGGGGGAGGACTGTGTGGGTCAGTACCCCGGGGGAGGACTGTGTGGGTCAGTACCCCGGGGGGAGGGTCAGTGTGGGTCAGTACCCCGGGGGAGGACTGTGTGGGTCAGTACCCCAGGGGGAGGGTCAGTGTGGGTCAGTACCCCGGGGGGAGGGTCAGTGTAGGTCAGTACCCCGGGGGAGGACTGTGTGGGTCAGTACCCCGGGGGAGGACTGTGTGGGTCAGTACCCCGGGGGAGGACTGTGTGGGTCAGTACCCCGGGGGAGGACTGTGTGGGCCAGTACCCCGGGGGGGAGGGTCAGTGTGGGTCAGTACCCCGGGGGAGGACTGTGTGGGTCAGTACCCCGGGGGAGGACTGTGTGGGTCAGTACCCCGGGGGAGGACTGTGTGGGTCAGTACCCCGGGGGAGGACTGTGTGGGTCAGTACCCCGGGGGAGGACTGTGTGGGTCAGTACCCCGGGGGAGGACTGTGTGGGTCAGTACCCCGGGGGAGGACTGTGTGGGTCAGTACCCCGTGGGAGGACTGTGTGGGTCAGTACCCCGGGGGGAGGGTCAGTGTGGGTCAGTACCCCGGGGGACGACTGTGTGGATCAGTACCCCGGGGGGAGGGTCAGTGTGGGTCAGTACCTCAGGGGGAGGGTCAGTGTGGGTCAGTACCCCAGGGGGAGGGTCAGTGTGGGTCAGTACCCCGGGGGAGGACTGTGTGGGTCAGTACTCCAGGGGGAGGGTCAGTGTGAGTCAGTACCGGGGTGGGGGCTGTGTGGGTCAGTACCCCAGGGGAGGACTGTGTGGGTCAGTACTCCAGGGGGAGGGTCAGTGTGGGTCAGTACCCCGGCGGAGGACTGTGTGGGTCAGTACTCCAGGGGGAGGGTCGGTGTGCGTCAGTACCAGGGTGGGGGCTGTGTGGGTCAGTACCCTGGGGGAGGGTCAGTGTTGATTAGCACCCTGGGGGGGGAAGGCTGTGGACAGGCCTGGGGGAGATGCATGTGGCCGTGCCTTACCCCGAAGGCTGCCGTGCCTCGAGTAGTACTTGGCCTGCGGCAGGGAGCTGCCCCGGCTCTGTCCGGGCTTTGTGCCACCCACTGGCAGGTTCCTCTGGATGCTCCAGACCCCGTCCAAGGCTGCTGCAGCTCCCCAAAAGCAAAAGGGCGGTTAGTGCAGTGCACGCCGAGCATGTCACATGTATTTACCTCCCGATCGCGTCTCCCCCATTGGGTGCAGGTTGTTTTGCTTCCATTAGTCACCCTTATCTCCCTCCATCAAGGTCCTTACCACCATTGACATTTTTGTGTTTGTTTTGGGGTCACACCCAGAAGTGCTCAGGGTGTGCTCCTGGGTCTATGCTCAGGCATCCCTCCTGGAGGAGAACGAGGGACGAGATGGGTGCTGGGGGCTGAACCTGGGTCAGCTGTGGGCAAGGCAAATGCCCGATCTGCTGTCCTGTTGCTCTGGCCCCTTTGTGTTTTGTATTGTTGGGGGTTGGTATTCACTCTTTATTCTAATCCATACAGCGTCTCCCAGTGTGTACAACACGCCTCTCCAGGACTAACGGTGAACTTGCTCCTACAGAAACAGACGCCAGGTCAGTGTCTCTGTGAATGGACCCAAACTCAGAATGAGGGTACAAGAGTCCATCACCACGGTGGCTGGTTCTCATTTCATGCTGAGAACTGCAGATAGTTCCAAAAACTTCATCATCGAATTTTGCCCCCCACCCCATGGCCCTCCCCTGCAGAGCGTCCTGGGCTGTGGTCCCTACAAACCTCCTGATACATATACAGAAACCCCCTGCGCAGTGTTCCAGGGGCCTAGGGGCAGGAGGGGGCGGTGCTGCAGGAGTAAGGGGAGCAGCCAAGTCCTCTGGAAGCTTAGGATTCTCTGACGTTTCCTCCTCCTCTTTCATGCTCTAGCACTATCTGCCTACTCAGGAACCTTCAGAGTTTCCAGAACATGCTGATCCTCATCAGCAGTGGGATCAGCCCTGGGACTTCAGGGGATGTCAGTACAGGGAGAGGAGGAAAGTTTTTTTTTCTCCTTCAGTGGCCTCTCTGGACAGTGATCCTGGAACATTCAGGCTGGAAAACCCCGTGGGGGGTTTATGCGCTTTGTGTAGTTGGGACAGAGATTGGCCAGAGGAGGAAACTGTCAGGTGACTTCTGAGCTCAGGCTGACCTGGTCATGGCTTGGAGTTGTCCGTACACAACAGGGGATCAGGAATGCAGGCCCGTGTGCTGAGCAACATTTTAAATCACCAGATTCCACACCAAGTCACTGGGGACAGAGACATGCACTGGCCAGTCTGTGGACGCCATGAAAGGACTCCACGGAGTCTCCTGTCAGGGTGCTGGTGTTCTGACACACCAGCCTTGCCGTCTGGAACATTCCATTGGCACGTGGCTGCCCAGGCCCTCCAGACCCTCAGCAGAAGTCCACAGAGTGAGCCTAGTTTGGGGCTGCGGCAGCTGTCCAGGTGTGCCCGAAGACCCAACCCGGGCTCATGGCAGCCGATGGGGGAGCCACATTCTCCCCGAGTCCAGGCTGACGGGTACTGACTCAGCTTAGCTAGCCTCGTCCATGCTTGTGACATCAGTGACAGGTCCAGGAAATTTTTCCATTCCAGGGAACACTAGGAGGAGACAAAGTATTTGCCTTTTGACCTGCTCACACCTATTCCCAATGTCTTGGCTGAAAAAAACAAAACAAACCAAAAAAACCAGTCTCAAAGTTCAAAAAAATGTTTTGAAAACATATTTTCATCGTGTGAAAATATGGTGTGAGTTTCCTCATACCAGCCAGTTCTGAGGACGTGCCTGTTATGGGTGATGGGTGACTTAGCTGCGGGAGGGGACTCAGCAGCCCAGTCCCACCTAACCGCTCCTCGGGCAGTGCTCATGCTCTGGGACAAAGTTGGTCCCCTGTGCCAGTGGCCTCAGTGGTCTGGGACCCTGGAGCACTGCCGGGGTAGCCACAGGAGGAGAGCGGAGCCCAGCTTTTCCTCTGGGCCCAAGTTCTGCTCGCCAGAACAATGGTGTCAATGAATAGAAACAGTCTTTCTGTTTTCCCAGGTGCTGAGGATCCTTTAGTGGGCCCCTCTAAGCCCCTGAATTTGGCCACCTTATCCCCAGTCCCGAGGAGGAAGGGGAGTCCGGTGGTTGATCCAGGATCTGACCAAACCTGGTGACCTGTGAGAAATGGCGTCAGATGCTACAGAAAGCAGAGGCTGTATGCTGGGTTTGAACTTCATATTCCTCCAACTTGGCCTTTGAGAGGATGACCATCTGCAGACCAGAAAGCGGCAGGGTCCCTGGGGAGAATCATCCTAATGGGGCCTCGTGAGGAGGCACGACCAAGGAGTGCAGAGCTGACCGTGCCAGGAGCCAGAATGCATCTGAGCGTTCAGAATCTCCACATGTGGGGCAGCTGCTGACTCATCCTGGTGCTGGCTGGCCTCCAGGAAGGAACAGGAGGGAAAGGAGAGGGACCAGGAAATGGAAAAGAAAAGGGGCACGTTGATGTCTCCCCCCACCCCCCACCCCCTAGAGCCTTCCAGAACCTCAGCTCAGCCCTTTCCAGGTGAAATACCATCTCCCTGCGCCATCTGGTGGCTGGTAGAAACACGAGCGTCTCTCTCTCAAGGGACGCTGCCCAGCCCATGAATACATTACTCCTGTCACTGTCACTGTCCTCCCGTTGTTCATCGATTTGCTCGAGCGGGCCCAGTAACGACTCCATTGGAGACTTTGTTGTTACTGTGTTTGGCGTATCGAATACGTCACGGGTAGCTTGCCAGACTCTGCCATGTGGGCGAAATACTCTTGGTAGCTTGCCGGGCTCTCTAAGAGGGGCGGAGGAATCGAACTCGGGTCGGCCATGTTGGCCTGCGTGCAAGGCAAACGCCCTACCGCTGTGCTATCGCTCCAGCCCTGAATACTGTACACAGCCAGCCCGGCTGAGCCAAGTTCGATTCCACCGCCTCTCTTGGAATACATTATTCAGTTTCTGAAAATTCAGAAAATAAACCCAGAATAACAGCATAGTCGGAGACTCATCTTTCTAACCACCAAGAAAACAGGGACTTATTTGCAGACGTCATCTCGTAGGTTATTCTGCATCTGCTCAGGTGAAACTGGACTGGAAAGCATGCTCTCTAGATGGCGTGGACAGGCCTGGCCCTTCCTTGGTGGCCTCTGTGAGTGGGACAGGGCATGACCATGGCCTCCAGCAGGCAGCTTCTCAGGTCCCCGAGGATCAATGGCCTCTGAGGAAGCCTTGATTTAGGGGTTCACACTCTCAGGGAAGGCTGAGACTGAAGGTTCCATCTCACTGCCATCATTTTTTCTGGCAGATGCTGGTAGAGGGACCTGTTGATTTAAAGAGCGTGAAATCCACTGCTGGTCAGTCTAAGAAAATCCAGAGGAGTCAGTAACCCCACGGCAATCCCACAGCAAGGATCCTGGCCTTCCAGAACACTCTTCTCCCAAGTCCAGGCAACTCATTCACCACGGGGAGTGGGGAGTGACTTACTGAAATGCTGACCAACACGTGGGGACCGGGTGGGTATGACTTCTCGGGTGCCACCTGCACCACCAGAGCTGGTATCTCCAGGCTGGAACCTGCTTTAACCGCCCCCCAGTAACTATGACACAGGCTACACCGAGAGCAGTCATCACAGCATTCGAGAAGATTGAGACCCAGTTCTGCTTCTCAGGCATGTGGAAATTTTCTCCTCATCATTACACAGGCTGGGGAATCCATGAAAGGAATGCAGCAATGCTGACCCTAGACTTGATTCGTGTCTTCTAATGAATTGGTTTGGCGAGAGTGATAGTACAGTTGTAAGGCACCTTCCTTGCATGTGGCCAAACCTGGCTCAATCCCTAGCACCACATATGGTCCTCAAGAGTGACCCCTGAGCACAAGGCCAGGAAGAGCATCCAAACCCAAGTAAATAAATAAAACAAGTTATTTGGACACAGGCAAAGTTATTTATAAAACTGGCTCAAGAATTCCCCAAGAGCCCATTTTTCTTTTCATAGTCATATTTGGCAATAATTTATCATTTGACACACTTCATTGGTAATTGAGATTACCTGCAGGTGGACTTTTAATGTGGCATTCATCTCTCTTAATGAAAAGTTCTTCTTCCAGCACTTCTTTAATTCTCCGATGTGGTTCACAGTATAGAAATTTCTTCCCTATAAAGGCATTAACACTGTTGGTTACTTGCCATGAAGCCCACCCCAGCATCGAGTCACCATATCTACACACAGAACTTTGGAAGGGGTTGAGGTTTAGGATAGAAGGAAACCCTCTACCACTGAGGGATACCAGTAGCTTGAATACTTTTTTAATTTTAAAGACACATCCAGAAGGCAGAGACATGGGGGTAAGTACATGCTTTGCACATGGCTGACCCCAGCACCTCATGGACCCCAAGCACAGAGCTAGAAGCACCCCCCCCCCCCCCAGCACTGCCAGGTGTGATCACAAATGTTTTAAAAAAAGAAAAGAAAGACAACAAAATTTAAATTAATAAGAGACATTTTCCCATACAGACAATTCACTTAGCCAGCTCTTGCAAACATCTCCCCCATTATAACTTTTATTTTTTTTTAAGGTTTTTGGGTCACACCTGGCGATGCTCAGGGGTTACTCCTGGCTCTGTGCTCAGGAATCACTCCTGGTGAGCTCAGGGGAGCATATGGAGTACTGGGGATCAAGCCTGGGTCAGCCTCGTGCTAGGCAAAGGCCCAACCTGCTGTACTATCTCTCAGGCCCCCTTTGTGACCTTTAAAAATAACTTGCATTTTCATGAACTTTAGGGGGTAAATTTCAGACAACATTTTTGGGTATTATGAAGAATCTATAGTTTTTTGTTTTGTTTTTTACATTAGCTGCAAGAAAACAAACTTAATTCGATAAATTCTTTGTGTGCTTGACGTCTGGAACCTGGGGAAAGCCCTGGGGTCTCTGAGCCGCCCGTGGCCCCGTCCTCCTGTGCGACACCTGGGGCCCTGTCTGGGGGTGCGTAGCACCCCCTACGGGGCCTCAGCCCCGGTCCCGGGAGTCCGAAGCGCCCTAACTCGCTCCTGCACCGTGCGGGGTTCCCGCGGGCCCACTCTTGGTAGCTGGCGGCGGGTGCAAACATCCCTGAGCCGTGCACCCTGGTGGGGGTGTTCAGACTGCGGCCACTCAGTGGGAGGAGTAACTGGGTTTGCATAGACACCAGCACACCGGGGCCGCCAGGGCCACAAGCGGCAGGGCAGGGTGAGCACGCGGGCCCGGGAGCCCACTCGGGGCGTTTGTCACCTCCCGGGCCCCAGCGGGCAGCCACGGCAGCAGGTCCGTGTCCCCGATGGGCTGGTCCCACACAGCGCGATGGCCATGGAAGGGCCTCTCCGGGCGGAACCGGGACACCGCGGGAGTGGAAGGCCCGAGCCTCCCCGTCCGCCGCGCCGCGACACTCACACTGTTTCCGGGACTCCTGCGGGCCGCCGCCGCCCGGCAGCGCCCCGGGCCTCGGCTGCGGGGGCTGCTCCGCGTCGCCGCCCAGCTCAGGCGCCCCCGCCTCGGCGCCCCTCATGGCGCAGCCGGGCCTCCCGCCGCCGCGTCGCCCGTCGCCATAGCGACCCGGGCCCCGCCCCCACGCCGTCGCCATAACGACCGCGGGCCCCGCCCTCAAGTCGCGTCGCCCGTCGCCAGCGTGACCGCGGGCCCCGCCCCCATCGTCGCCATAGCGACCTCAGGCCCGGCCCCCTTCACGGAGCGGCGCGGGAACCTCCAGCCCTGCAGGCCCGCGGGTTGCCTGCCCGCGCGTGGGGCGGAGGGGCCGGTTTGTCAGAGCCCCACGGGGCTGGCAGCTGTGTCCTGCTAGTGCCCTGGTACTGGTGGAGATGGGAGGGATAGGGACTGGTCCCTGGCTCCCCCATCTCAGGGGCGCTCAGTATAGGTATGGCTTTCTCAGGGCCTTCTCATCGTCCTCCACCCAAAAGAACTTTAAATTCATTAGTTAACTTGCCTCGTGAAAGTACATGACATGGGCCGGAGTGGGGTAGGGCACTTACCTTGCTCACAGTCAACCCCCAGCACCCCATGATCCCCAAAATCCACTAGGAATGATTCCTAAGTGCAGAGGTGGGAGTAACCCCTGAGCATGCCTGGTGTGGCCCAAAAACAAAAATACATGACAAAATATTGAATACTCAACAAAGATCAAAGATGGGTGATATTTAGAAATTTATTTCTCTTGGGGCCAGTAGCTCAAGGGTTGATTGATGGGCATGTTCTGCTGGACCACAGGCTGGCGATCACACCGCTGAGGGTGACTGATGGCCCCCACACCTCTGGGCCCCACAGCAATGCAACATCAGCAGAGTACTGCAGCATGGCTGTTTGAATGGTGGTTGGAATTCCCTCACCACACACAATTTGCCAGCCCAGAGACAGTCCACGTGGTCCTCTGAGCACCTCTGGCATAGTCCTCCCCGAACTAAAACAATCCCCCCAAATCCCACAATCCACAGTTCTCTTTGGATCAGCACCAAAAATATCAATAGTTTTCTGTACAGCCTGTGACAAAGTTTTAAGTAGAGGTAGAACTACATAAAAACCACAAACCCTTGGGCCAGAGTTCAGAGGGGAGGGCACTTGCCTTCTATATAACTGACTGGATTTGATCTGCAGCACCCCACAGGGTCCCCTGAGTTCGCCAGGAGTGAACCCAGAGTATAGAGCCAGGAGTAAGGCATGAACACTGCTAAGTACCCATAAAAACAACAACAACACACAAACAACAAATCACAACCCTCAGTGAGATTATTAATGATATATACACATCAAATTCACAGATATTTGGGCATCAATTCACTTTGAAGTGCACTAGGTGGGGACCGTGAAATTCTGTTAAGACTGATGTAATTTTTTGCCACTGGGAAATGACAGCTCCCACTGCAGGTGCTGGTTCTCAAGAAACTGCTGGGATGGCTAAGTCTGAGGTGAAGAGTTTGTGCAGCCTTCCACTATTTCAAAGAGGTAGTGAAAGATACTCGTCCTCCTGGCGACATCGCCTGCAGTCTCCTCCAGGTGGTTCCTCAGACCTGGCTTGATATAGCGGCTCATCAGGAGGAGCTCCAGAGTCTCCCTGCTGTCTCGGTTCCCAGCAGCAAGGTGCAAGGGTGTGAGGAGGCCTTTAGTCTGTGCATTGACATCAGCTTCGTGCTGAAGCAAGAAGGATGCCACCTTAGCGTTATTCCACTTGCAGGCACTGTGCAGGGGTGTCCAGCCATCCACGGTCACGGCATGAACATCTGCCCCTTGGTGGATCAGCTCCCGGACCACATCTAAGTGACCCCCGTAGGCTGCGCGGTGGAGAGGTGTATACTCATCTTCATCCCTGGTATTCACATCCGCAGCCTTGGCTGACAGCAGCCTCTGCACTGTAGCAAGCTGACAAGACAGTGATTTTGAAAGCACATTAAAACCAGAACAGCCAGCAAAATGAACTGTCTAGAAGAGCTAATTAAGTTAATGAAAAACTTGTTAGCAGATGACTTCAAAACTATTTTCTACTTGGGAGGGAGGGAGCAAGAGTCAGAAATGAACAAACTACTATTAGGCACAGCCTGGCCGTTCTACAAGTGATTCTCTGAATATCAAACCACACACTTATCCCTGAACTACTAAGACTCAGTTTTAGTATCAAATATAGGCAGTAATTATTTATATCCCATCTATGAAGAATATGAAATAATGGATTGCTTCTGGGGGAGGATCATCACACCACTAACCCTATTGTAAAAATTAAAGTCATCAAGAGTGTTTTTGCCAGAGCAGGGGGAGTGAAGGGCATGTACCAGTGGTTTGCAGGGCTTACTCCTGCTGGGGGGAATGTGTGTGCTGTGGGGCTGAAGTTGTTCCCTGCTGTGCAAGCCTATTTAGTTGTTAAACATGGAGGAACTGAGTCAAATGAAGTCCCCAAACAGGGACAATCAACTTTTGGTTTTTGAGGGCCACACCTAATGGATGCTCAGGGTTACTCCTGGTTCTGCACTCAAGAATCACTCCTGGCAGTACTTGGGAGACCATATGAGAGACCATATGAGATGCCAGGGGTCAAACCTAGGTCAGCCACATACAGGAAAGCACCCTACCCACTGTATTATATCTCCAGTTCCCAGAATCAATTTTTGATGTTCTTTCTTGGATACTGGGCAAATATTTCTGAATCTCAACTTCTTAATCTGCCAAAGGAAAGACTATTACCTAGCTTGTAGTAATAGTCTTCCTAGTACTATAAGAGAATAGAAATCAAACCAAGAGAATCAAATCAAACCACTCAGGAAAATACCTGGAATAGCTGGGTGCCTAGGGAGTGCATTCCAAGCCTCCTTTTCTGACAGTGTGTCTTACTATTGCCTCCTCTTAACAACTGGGTAGCTTTACACATAACCAACCTCTCCACCATACCTAACATGACACTTTGTGGGGACAATGAGGTCACATCCAGCAGTGCGTAGGGGCTATTCCTGGCTCTGTGCTCAGCATGGCTTCTGGTGGTACTTGGGGTTTGGGACTGAACCAGGGTTGACATTGGGCAAGGCAAATGCCTTAACCTCTTTTCTAGCTCTCTAATCCCTAAGAAGTCACTGTCTGTCTTACTTTAAATGCAATACTTCCCCTCCTATATTTATATTATGGTTTATGTATTGTAGGTTTTGTTTTACCCGATTCTTTTCAGCAGCCCAAAGAAGCAATTTGCTTGGATCTCCTTCCATCTTCTTTTCCTGCAACTGATACCACTCCTCAGTTTTTTCATCTTGTTCCTCGTCTTCGTCAGAACTCCCTACCCAGAGACTCTGGGTGCCAGTGGGAATAAGGTGTCCATGTGTTTCCAACAATTCAAGTTGGTTAAAGTGTTCAGAAAAGTCCAAGGGAACCTTCTGACCTGGGTTTTCATCATTTATTCTCTCTTTTTCCATTTTTATCACCATTCAAATGCAAAGCATTTCAAATGACAGCATGTAAGCAATCTTCCCAGGGATTAACCATGCACACACAACTGAAGATCTGAAAACACAAAAACAAAAGTAGCACAGAGAAATGGAAGTTATCAATAGCAGATAAATTTTGCAAATATATACAAATACACTCTGTCTAAACTCTTTCGGGTTATTGGTACCCTTTACATTCAATTTCCTTTCACTAACGAAGCCAATCAATTTCTGTTATCACTATACAGGTTTAATACTCAATTTGTTTTCTTCAGGGCGGGAGGGTTTGGTCAGCACCCAACAGTGCTCAGGGATCACCAGGTGTCAAGGATCTGACCAGACTGCAGCTACCACGTCTGCATACGGACAACTGCCTTCCCTAGTATAATATCTCTCCACCCCCCTCATTTTATTTGCTTCTAAATCAATGGCTCAGATGCTTGAAGCTGTTTCATTTTGGGGGGTGGTGGGGGGCGGGGCACACCTAGTGGTGTTCAGAGCTTGCTCCTGGCTCTCTGCTCAGGATGTCTTGTGGCTGCTCTGGGGACTGTATGAAAGACCACAGATCAAACCTGGATCGACTGTATGCAAGACTGTACTGTCTCTTTGGCATTCAAACATTTGAAGCTTTTTAAGGAACAGACACATTCACAATTTAAACAAATAGATGATATGAAACAGAAACTTTTCCATTTTAAAATCAACTTCCAAGATTCAGAGATTTTTAATGAAATAGTCCCCAAAAGACAGCTGCTCCAGCCTCTCCTCAAAGCAGGCATCTTTATTGTAATTATCCTATTTTCACTTATTTTGAATTTGGGGGTGGAAAGAGCACAAGCTGAGCACATACTTTCCATGCAGGAGGCCCAGGATTCATATCTGACACCTCATGGTTCCCGGAGCACCACTGGGAGCAACCCCTGAGCACTAAGTTAGTTGTAGCCTCTAAACATCACCAAGTACGGGCCTCAAGCAAAATAAATTTTGGGCCTGGAAAAGTCACTGCTTTTAAAAAGTCTTTGTCACTGACAGTGTTTGGCTTCTCATTTTGAAACAATTTCAGTTGCCATTTACTCCTTCTTCAATAAAGAGGAAAGGTATGACTGGAATTACCCTAGGATTACAGAATGAAGAATATTCACTTCTCAGCCTGAAGAAATGCACTGTCGAGCAAGGGAATCCAGAGAAGACGGCGTGATCCATAGGAGAGAAGCACGCCCAGGCACGGAATAGGGAAGGCTCAGGATCAGCGCAGCCCTCGGGCGATGATGTTCCTTCTGCTAACCAGACATTACTGTATAAACCACCATCAGCTTGGAAAGTAGTCAGGCTGGGTGCGGGCGCTTGGCTTGCACGCAGCCGACCTGGGTGCAATCCCCAGCACCCTGGGGAGTCTGCCAGGGCGCTGCCAAGTTTGATCCCCGCGGAGTCTGGTGTGATAAGCCCTGAGCAGTGACGGCTCTGGCCTCCGAACAACAAAGCAAAGCGTGACACAACACGTTAAAACCTCAAGAAAATGAGGGTCTCTGGAGTGATCGTACAGGGCTGAGGCACGTGTCCGGGACCCCCTGAGCACAGAGCCTCGACGAGGGAGTCCTCATCACGGGCGGGCGTGGCCCCAAAACCAAAATGGTGGAAAAAGGAAACGAGAAGCTTTCAGCTTCGTGAGTCTTAGTCACTCCTCGGAAACAGGTCTGTCAGGAATCTCCGCGGGAGCCGGGGTGGCTCCCCGCGCCGTCCGGCGGCCACCTCACCCTCGGGGTACTGGCCCTGATCGCACGGCGTTCTCACCTGTGGGTCCTGGACACTTTCGAGAGGTCGGACATCTCCCCGGGGGGGGGAGGGGGAAAGGGGCGGCACCCTCCGCGCTCCGGCCAGCGCACCTCACCTCCCGGTTCCGAGCCGCCTGGTTGCGTTCACCGCAGCGGCCAGCCACACCGGGCCGAACAGACGCGGTCGCGGCGGGTCGAGCGGCCTCTAGCCGGGGTGTGGGAGGAAGCGCCCAGCCGCGTCGGACACTCACGGAGACCGCGAGCGGCAGCGCTCACATCAGCCGCGCTGCCGCGCCAACAGCTGCCCAGACCGGAAGAAGCGGAGCCGGCTCTTCCGACTGCTCCGATTGGCTCCTGTGTGGGGGCGGGGCCGGCTCGCGGTCTACGGCAGCCAATGGGAGCCCTGAGGACGATTTGGCGCGTCGTCGCTTGATGACGTAGCCGGGAGGGCTCGCGACCGGGAACCAGTGGTCGTTCCCGGGCGGCGCGTGGAGCTCGAGTGGCGCGGTTGAGGGGGCCCGTGACGCGTGTTCGGTCCCGCATCCCTGCGGACGGCCGTGGCCACCAGCAACATGAGCGCCCCGGACGCGCTGTAAGCTTCCGTGGGGACGCCGCCCGCCCCGGGGCTGGTCAGTCGGGACCGAGCCTGTGGGCCCCTGGCCCCCGCGCTGTTGACCTTCCCGGAACGAACTCAGGCGGCGGGTTCGGTGCTCAGGGCTCAGGGGACAGGCTCGGGGACGGGGGCGCTTTCCACGAGGTCAGCGCTGTGGAAGGGCACTTCGGGCCGGGCAGGCCGTGCCTGGGCCCATCAGACGAGGGGGTCGAACCGCGGCCTCCGGCGTGTGCTTCTCTCATAGCCTCGAGACGTTTCCTCAGCCCAGGGTGGTGCTTCTGTCGTCTGGGCCTCGCCGGGCGGTGCTCAGGGGTCTCCTGTCGGTGTTCGGGATCGTGCGGGGTGCCGGGGATCGAACCGCGGTCCCAGCATCTGGGGCAATTCCCTCCCCGCCGGACGGTTGCTCTGGTCACAAGTTCATTTGTTCTTTTTTTGAAGTGGTGTTCGTGAAAGTGTGCCATTAAAATCTAAAGTTCAGTGACCAGAGCCATAGTCCAGTGGGTAGGGCCGACTTGGGTTCGAGCCTCAGCATCCCATACGGTCCCCTGAGCACACCCAGGAGTAATTGCTGAGCATCGCAAGGTGTGACAAAAAGCAAAGCAACAAAAGCAACAGCAACAAAAAAACCCATAAGGTTTATGATTTTTCGGACATTATGCCTATTAAATTTCTTTTCCTTTTTAACAACAGTGATGATGAAAATACATTTAAAATCTTAGTTGCAACCGATATTCATCTTGGATTTATGGAGAAAGATGCAGTCAGAGGAAATGATACATTTGTGACACTTGATGAAATTTTAAAACTTGCCCAGGAAAATGAAGTAAGTTTGATTTTTATATGTTTTATTTCTATTCTGTAACCTTGCTGGGTAGGTTCTTTTCCTTTCTTTCTTTCTTTCTTTCTTTCTTTCTTTCTTTCTTTCTTTCTGTTGCTTACACCTGCTTAAATATTGTACTAAAAGCCTGAAGCAGGTTTTGTGTATTTTGTGCCTTAAATTCATGTAGAAACTATGTGGTGTGAAAATTTTACAAATATTCATGGGATGTTTACTAAGTTTACTCCTTATAGGAGTTTGTGGGCCCATCAAAGGTGACTATTAAAATTTCTATTTTGAGGCAACTTAGACGTAACTGTATAAGAATAGATAAATGGCCAAAATGTTCACATTGCAGGGTGATAAAGTATTAAAGCCCCAAGACAGTGATGAACTGTGTTTCTGGGAAATTCAGAGGTGAATGAGAACCCACTTGGATAGGATAACAAAGTTAGCTTAAAAGAAAGGAACTCTCCTGGGTTTGGAAGGATGGGTTTTTTTCTGATGAGTAGTATGGGCAAAGTATGTTTCACAGGAGTTGGTGTGCTGGGGAACATGCAGCTCACAGCAGGCCACACAATAGCGCATGGGCCAATAGCCGAGAGTTCAGTTCACGCTGCATTAGAAGGCTTCAAACACTAGGTTGAGGGTTTGTACCAAAAACTCCTGCTTAAAATTGCAAATAATACTGAGCAAGGATTCTGGTTTTGGTAACTCCTTGGTAGTTTAAGAAATAAACTTCATTGAAGTAGAACATTTACAAAGACCAGAGAGTCTTTTGGAACCAGGCAGCAGTGTGCATCAGAATCTGATGGGTAAAGTGGGGACATGGGACGTAGAAGAGGAGTAAATTATAAAGATCAGATTTGCACACCTGGGTAATAGGAGCTGGTGATGACTAATCATGCTGAAGTTGGGTGGATGGTGGTACCAATAACAGAAGTAGGTGTTGAATACGGAAGAGTTGCTTGTTTAGTAGAAAGGTGATTTGGACTATTGGAGTTGGGGATTCCAGGAGACTTTTAGGAAGCACTCCAGCATACATTTGAAGTGTCTATATAGAATCCAAGAGAGGTGGAGAAGAAACAAATGTTGGAGACTTGCAAATAGGTATTGCCAACCTTAATTTTTCCCATCGAGTTGGACTAAGCAGGTACTACTCTGGAGCTTCTGTGCTTTCTTCAGAATAAATAAACTTTCACTGCTTTCATATCTGTAGCACTGTAGCACTGTCCTCCCATTGTTCATGATTTGCTAGAGCGGGCACCAGTAATGTCTCCATTGTGAGATTTCTTATGTAGACACTCTTGTTTGAAGCATACTGGTCAGAACTAGGGCATAGGTAGCACTTGTAATGTTCGGAAGTTGCCCGTTAGCAGGTAGGGAAGGTCTCAATTCAGGATGTTGTCTCTTCACTCTCTTAATTAGCCTCAATTCCTCAGACTTTGTCTTTTATGATTCTAATGTTTTTGAAGAGCCATTCGTGAGTCTGACATTTCCATGTGATTAGAGGAACAGAAGCAAGTGTGTCCTTTCCAGTGTTCCTGGGTTCATGAACTTGTTTTAAAAAAAATATTTTAGAAAAATTTTTTTATGTGTTATGGTACACCTAAAAAAAAATAAAAGTACCATCCGGTGGTATGTGCAGAACTGATTAAAGTGGGATGCAGTCTCAAGCTGATGCAGGGCTGGTGCTATAAGGAAAAATTTTCCATCTTGGCTGTAAGTGCTTATATTAGTAGTACTCACCTAGCACCTTCATTCTGTTGTGTGACCAACCGCCAGAACTCATGACAAAGGTGAAACTCTTTCCTTTTAAATACTCATCCCTTCTCTCTATCTCCCAATAGTGTTTGTTTTGGGTTTTTGGAGCCATACCCAGCGGTGTTCAGGGCTTACTCCTGGCTCTGCACTCTGCACTCAGGTATTGCTCCTGGTAGGGCTCTGGGGATCATATTGCATCCTGGGGATTGAACTGGGTTGGCTGTGCACAAGGCAGATGCCCTCTCCACTGTACTATCTCTGTTGTTGCTCCAGCTCTTCTTCTGTTATGTTTCCTTTACTGGTGGGTCTTTAGTGACCCAACACCTCACCCTCATGGTACTGGGCCTGTAACTAAGACTTGCCCACTTAGTGAGAAGTGGGGCCTCAGTTCTGCTTCCTGCTTGCAGGGCTGTTTCCAGAGGCTCGTTCTAATGACCTGGCTTAGCTCCAGCAGCTGGGTGTGACCCAAAAAGCAAAAAATAAATAAATAAAACCTGCTAATTTTAATTCCATTCCTGTTGATTTAGGTGGATTTTATTTTGTTGGGAGGTGATCTTTTTCATGAAAATAAGCCCTCAAGAAAGACGTTGCATACTTGTCTGGAATTACTAAGAAAATACTGCATGGGAGACCGCCCAGTACAGTTTGAAATTATAAGTGATCAGTCAGTGAACTTTGGTTTCAGTAAGTAAGTATATTTAAGTGCTTAAAGGAATATTAGTGTGTGTTATTTTCTGTACAAGATGCAAACTAACAGTCTACCATTTCTGTTTCATTTAAGCTATTTTAATATTGTATCTTTAGGTTTTCTGTAACATATTAATTTAATTAAACATTGCATTAATTACCAAGTATTTTTTCTCTTTTTTGTTTTTGGGCCACACCCTCCAGTTCTCAGAGCTTATTCCTGACACTGCCCCTAGGGATCATTTCTGGATGGGCTGAGGAGACCATCTCTGTGGTCCTTCTTCTCATTTTTATTCTGTGCTTTGATATACTCTTCTGTTCGTATCCTTTGCCTGTTTTCAAAAGTGGGATTTTGGGGGATGGTTTTCTACCCAAGTTTTTCTACCCAGGTTGCTATTTATGTATTTTTGATATTTATAAGGAATGATTATAATAAATTATAAGGAGTATCATAAGGAATGGTACTTGTAAGAATTACATTTTTTAACTTAATAAGCAATGCATTTTGTTTTTGTTTATGGGGCTTTTTATTACAGAAAATAATTAACTTTAATGTGGTTACCTACATCATTCTTGTTCTTTAAGGATCTGTGCTCTTGTGCAGAGAGATAGAGTAGGAGTAAAGTGCTTTGCCTTGCATATGGCCCACCCTGGGTCATTCATGACACTAAATATGGTCCCAGGAGCACCTTTCCCCTCCAAAAAAAAAGTGTGTTTTTGGGACTCGGTTATGATGCCTTAGAACCCTGTGGTATTGTTATGCCCATTTTTCTGTTGAGCCATCTCTGGGATACATTTAGTATACATTTAGATGGTGCCTTAGTCTCTTTCAGACTGCGCCAGTATCCCAGTCTTGTCTTATGATCCTGACACTCATGGGGGCTATGGTAGATCCCTAAGTAGTGCTCACGGGGCCTCAGGGCTACTTGTAGAAGTAATTGGTATCTGATTTGGTTGGCTCAGTGCTCAGCCCAAGTGGTACAGTGCTGCCTGGAGAAACCGAGTAGACACCTGAAGCAAGTAACCCCAGTAAGCCACCTTGGTACAGGTGTGCTTACAGTTTTGCAGTTTATAAGTATCAAATCAGCTTGTCATGGACTTCACAGTTGCTACTCTGATCATGATAAAATAAAAACAACTATAGTGCTGCAATCATTTAAAATATCATTGGGACTGAGAGGTAGTACAGATAATACACGGGTTCATGTGGCTTGCCTTGCTGGTGGCTGACCTAGTTCATTCCCCAGCACACATATGGTCCCCCAAACACTGTCAGGAGTAATCCCTAAGCACTACCAGGTGTGATTCAAACCCACTTGCCTTCTGGAATGTGACTATAGTCATGAATCATAGGCAGATGGATGCTAGAGAGCAGAGATTCCTGATAGAGCGACAAGTACATGTAGGAGTTCAGTGTTTGATGAAGGCCCCTTTCTCCTAGCTTTAGAAAAACTGTATCATTCAATATTTGTACTAAAAGAGACTGTTAGATATTTAAAAATATACATGGACTTAAAAAAGATTTTTGTCAGTATGACACAAGCCTGGGTAACATTAAAAGATGAATGCATTTGCGAAAGAGAATTTCTGCTTGGCCAAAACTACTGAAAGCCTTCAAAAGTCAGATTTCAATTAGAAAAAATACCTAGTACTTATTGCAGATTAGGGCTTTATTTCTTTAATAAATAGTTATTTGAAACAAAATTTAAAATTCCATGAGTAAATTAAAAATAGGTAAAGAATTGCCTCCTGAGCACTACCAGGAGTGATCCCCACACTTGTGCAGGTGGATCACCTCTTCCCTGAAAAGAGAATGTGTACTTAGTTCACAGAAAAAGAAATAAAACCATTTAATTGTTGAAAGAAGTTTTGTTTCCTTCCTAAGAAAGATGCAAAATAAAGCTACACAGACACGTTTCTTTATCAGATTGGCTTATATCAGTGGTTTGCCATTCTGGGTATTCATTGTAGTTACAAAGAACCTTTTAAAATTCTGAAATCTATTTCCAGACCAGTTAATCTCATGGAGTTGGTATTTCTTGAAAATAGCTGCTAGGGTTGAGAACTAGCAGATTTCCTTCTTTAAATTTTTCTTTTTTGGGGTCATACCTGGCGATGTTCAGGGGTTACTCCTGGGTCTGCATTAAGGAATGACTCCTTGGCGGTGCTTGGGGAACCATATGGGATGCTGGGAATCGAACCTGGGTTGGCTGTGTGCAAGGCAAATACCCTATCTGCTGTACTATCGCTTCAGCCTGAGAACTAGCAGATTTCAAAGCCCACCAGTGTGAATTTTGGTGGAGTATGGAAACTGCTTCTCTCACATTTTGCCTTCATATTCTCTGTATCTTTGTGTGACAAATAAATGCTCTTTGGCCCAGCAGCCCCTTTCTAGATATTTTCCTAAACTCAGGTATACCACCCATTTTTAGGGTCAGGGGTGTTTTGAGGCCACACCCGGTAACACTTAGACGTTATTCTTGGCTCTGCACTCAGGAATCATGTCCTATTGTGCTCAGGGGACCTTATGTGGTGCCAGGGATCAAACCCAGGTCAGCCATGTGCAAGGCAGGTAGCCTACCCACTGTACTATCTGACCCAGGTATACCACTCTTCTGTGCAATTCATAAGCATCATTTATTGTTGAATTTTTATAACACAAGCCAACCATATATAGTTTCAATCAAATTTTATTGTGAGGGAGTTCATAGTTCACATTACAACAGTATGAACAAACATTTCATCTAGCAGTAACATTTCATCTGCCACATAGCCAGATTTTTTTTTTTTTGGGTCACACCCGGCAATGCACAGGGGTTACTCCTGGCTCTGCACTCAGGAATTACCCCTGGCGGTGCTCAGGGGACCATATGGGATGCTGGGAATCGAACCTGGGTTGGCCGCGTGCAAGGCAAACGCCCTACCCGCTGTGCTATTGCTCCAGCCCCCATAGCCAGATTTTATATGTTAACATTCCACATGTCTGTCGCCTCATACAGATAACACAAGTTACTCTACTGCTCCCCCTGCCTACCCACTGCAGTCTTTGTCACTGTCCAGGATGGTTCTGCCTGTCAGGGCCACCACAGCATTAGTCTATGTCTCTGACAGGAACTGTTATCACTGTCCATGACAATTCTGCCTGTTAGAGCCATTGCAACATCAGTCTGTATCTTTGACAGGAACTGTGATCACTCTCCATGATGATTCCACCTGTTAGGGCCATTGTAGCATCAGTCTGTACCTGACAGGAATTGTGATCACTGTCCATGACGATTCCGCCTGTTAGAGCCATTGCAGCATCAGTCTGTATCTCTGACAGGAACTGTGACCACTCTCCATGACAATTCCACCTGTCAGAGCCATTGCAGCATCAGTCTGTGTCTCTGATTGGAACTGTGATCACTGGCCATGATGATTCTGCCTGTCAGGGCCATTACAGCATCAGTCTATGTCTGACAGGAGCTGTCACTTTTTTTCCTTTAAGGTTTCCATGGGTGAACTACCAAGATGGGAATCTCAACATTTCCATTCCGGTGTTCAGCATTCATGGCAATCATGATGATCCCACAGGGGTAATTATTGGGTTCCTACTTTGTTTTAGAAATGGTTGTTTTACTTTGTGGGAAGCGTTCTTCCCAGCACTTTGTACTTAAATTGAGTCTCAGAAAATCCAATTGATCTTTTACCTTAATTCATCATATAAACTCTATACTGCCTTCAGAGAATTTTTTTAAATATAGACTTAAAACTGGTATATTAGGAATGCTTTTATTTCATTAGTACTTAGGTTGATAGTACCCAGGAGCAGGAGAAAACAGCTAACATTTATGTAATAGTTTACAGTCACTGTCACTGTCACTGTCCTCCTGTTGTTTATGGATTTGCTCGAGCGGGCCCAGTAATGTCTCCATTTTTTGAGACTAATAGTTTATAGTAAGGCTAGAAATTCGAAACGGACGTTCCCTCCTCGGTTACCGGGCAGGTCGCTGCCCTCGTGGTCTCTCGATGATGGGCGCCCTTCAGCCCAGCACACCCCGAGAACACTGGGGCAGGTGGGCCACAGAGCATGGAGCGGCACCCCACCCTGAGGTTGCAGGTTGCTAATCAGGTGGATCTCCATCATGAGACAAACTTGAGACAGCATCATTGGCCCTTTGAAGGTTGGGGTGCAGGAGAATGGCCTGCAGTGTAGTTGAGTGGTAGTAGCTCAGGTAAGAGGCTACTTTCCCAGAGGATGGTTACAGGGAAGAATAAAATCTCAAGGACCATTCTCTATTCTCAGTTTGAACTTGAAAAGATGATCTGATTCTGCCAACAGTAGAACCATGAAAGTGTTTTGCCAAGAAAGGCATGTTTGGTGTCCTCTTCCCCAACAATTGCTTCTTTATATTGACTGAGGGAAATTTCTATCCCCTTGCAGTTGATAGACTATTGCAATAAAGAATTGTTTCCAGTTTAAAAAAAAAATTCTAAACTGAAAATATTTAGTCCAGAAGATAGTACAGAGCTCAAGGCATTTGCCTTGCATGAGGCTCACCCCTGTTTGAGCCCTCGCACTGCACCTGGTGTCCTGTGTACGACCATGCGTGGTCCCTGAGCACAGCCAGGTATAGTCCAAAAATCATGAAGTCTGGTCCGTTAAAATGTTAGGTGATCTGCTTACTATTACATAGCACTGATTTTGTTGCTGTTTAGTTTCAGTTTCTAGGACATTGGGGCTGAGTTTTGGTTAGGTGTTAACTTTGCATTTAGCAGACTCAGTTCCAAATTGATTCTAGTTATCATAAAATCAGATACTTCCACCATGTAATTTTGTTTTGAGAAGATGCTATCCTAAATTTTTTCTTTGGAACTAGTATAAGAAATGGATCCTAGAGTATTATGGTAGACAGATTAGTTTTAGATATACATTATCTGATTGTATATATTTTACTCATTAAAAATATTCTGCATAGGCAGATGCACTCTGCGCTCTGGATATTCTAAGTTGTGCTGGATTTATAAATCACTTTGGACGTTCTATGTCTGTAGAGAAAGTAGACATCAGTCCTGTTTTACTTCAGAAAGGAAGCACAAAAATCGCTCTTTATGGTTTAGGTAAGACCCTTTTATTTTATTATTTGTTAATAATTGAGCATCTGGAAAATAAAATGCTGGAGATAATTTGTTGCTGAGAGAAAAGGTGAGACAAACCTAATTTTTGTTTATTGGTAACTTATTGGTATCTAATTACTTCCTTATAGGTGGAAAATGATAGTTGATATTGATAAATTTTTACCAAGGACTGGTCTGCTGATGTAGACCCTGAGCATTTTACAGGGGTTAAGGCGTTCATCTTCCATGTGGTTGACCCAGATGCAGCCAATCCCTGCTTCAATCCCCAGCACTGCATATGGTCTCCTGAACATCATCAGGAGTGATCCTGAGCACTGACAGGTGTGCCCCCAGTGCCCCAACACCCACCCCCCCCCACACACACACACACACAACACTCACGGCTCTGAGTACTTTTTGAACCTTAGGGTCTTGCCTTTGTGTTGCTTGGACCTGTTACTCCATGCTCTGGGGTGGCTGCAGAGCATGTGCTCCAACCCTTTGTCTGCTCCCTGATTATCCTCCATTATCTGTTTGTGTTGTATTTGGGGAGAGGGCGTGGTTTTGGAACGCATTTTGCTTAGGGATCACTCCCAGTAATATTCAGGGAATCACATGGTGCCTGAATGTAGTTCTTTTTTCTTTTTCTTTTTTTTTTTTTAAATGTAGGAGTATTGCTATTTATTCAGCCCTTGATTAGGCTGATTGAGTTGGGCACGAACTCCACCTTACTTTTTTTTTCTTTTTTTTATAAATTTATTTATTGAATCACCATGAGAACAGTTACAAAGCTTTTGAGTTTAAATCTCAGTCAAACAATGATGAAACACTTGTCCCTTCACCAGTGCCCATTTTCTACCACCAAAAACCCCAGTATACTCCCCGTCTCACATCCTTCCCCATCCAGATGATTTCCACATTACTCTCTCTCTACTTTGATTTCATTCAATATTTCGACCCAAGACCCACCATTATTATATGGGATTTTACCCCAACACTTAGATCTGCCGAAAAGGCAACTGTAGACAATTTGTTTTCTGTTGCTGATTATGAATAACATATGATGTTGCATGGCTGCAGTATTGGCCACGCGATTTTGGAATTCCGAAAGTTTAACAATTAGATCTGGAGGATTTCTGCCAAGACCTGCTGAGTTCTGAGATTTTTTCCTGAGTCTCTGGGATCATGGCCATTCCAAGCAGCTTGATCAGGAGCCAGAGAGGCCACTCATGGGCGGCCACTCAAGGTCTCATTGGGGTGGGGAGGAAAGGGCTGGGACCACCCCCATTCCGTGAGGCCCCATGTATCTTATCACTGCGGGCCCAAACCTGACTGTCCAATGGTCTCTGGAGGATGGCAGCCACGGAGCCGCCAAGGGGGAGCAGGCAGAGGGACAGCACCCTTTCCCCCCCTGTGGTGACACGGTGCCAGTAACCTACTGCAGGGACCGGACGCATCTCTGCCAAAAGCCTCTGGCTTCCGAGATTTGTTTCTGAGTCTTTGGGATCATGGCTGTTAAGCAGTTTGATGAGGAACCAGAGAGGCCTTGCCTCCAATTATATAACTGAGCCGGAAGTGGTTTGTGGGTGGGTCTCCCACATACCTAACTTTTGGCCGTTTACTTTCTTGGTAAACTTGGCCCCAAGTTGTTGGCAAGAAGCACAGCAGCAATTTTGGGGGTATCTAGAAGTCTGAAGGCACTATCAGGTTGCTGATGCACTCGCCTCACAGGTACAGATTGACCTGATGGCACCATACCCCCCCCTGCATGTAGTTCTTATATCTCTCCCTGAGCTGTTGACCATGAAATGGAATGGCTGGGCTCATTTTCCTGTGTCACACTTTCTCCGTGACTTCTATGAGTCTGGGGACAGAAGGCAGGGCAATGTTCCCTTGAAACCCATTGCTCTCTGATAAATTCTCTCCTCTTCCTTGTGTTCCTTACACCATCCCTACCTACAGATTGTCAGTTCTCGATGCTCCAGCATGGAGGCTGGCCTTCTGCTTGGGACTTTGGAGGCCCAGCTTCGTGTTCTGCTCTCCACTGTCACCCTCCCCAGCGGCCTCTCCAGTTCTCTTTAAAGCTGAACTTTCTTCCTTACTGGCTCAGTACCTAAAGTGGTGGCTTGGCTCCCTCTCAGAATAATTCCTGTCTTTGCATTCTCCCTCCCTTTTTATAATGCTTAAAAATACAGTTTTCATAGTATTTTTTATTGGTCTTTTCCTCTTGATAATGTGATTCCATGGAATATAAGAATCAATTACAAGTCATTAAATTATTCAAAAGTAAGTTTTATTATATAAAGTGGTGTTGGGCCACTTGTGTTCAGGGGCTATTACTGGCTCTGTGTTTAGAAATGACCCGGGTGGAGCTCAGGGGACCATATGCAGTGTTTGGAATCGAATCAGGGTCTGCTGCATGCAAGGCTAGTATACATGACTTGTGAAAAACATATACAGGACAAAATATATGCATAAACATGCAAGGCTAGTATACATGACAGAATTATGAAAAACAGCACTAGTAGGATTTCAGTAAGAACTTAACAGAGAATACTGAGGTTTTTATTCTACACTTTCCAGATTTAGAACCGTGTATGTTGATGTGGAACATCGTTTGGATGATGATCAGTTGTTCAGCTCTGTCAGGCCAGAACCTAGTGTAGACTCATTTGGAAATAGTGAGTCCAGGTTTCAAATGTACCCCTAATAGGAAAATGAAATCTCAGAGGACATAATTTTCTCATTTTAAAAGCAAAGAAAACTTTAAAATAATCTACTGTCCATTTCAGGGTCCATTCCAGATGAGAGGCTGTATCGAATGTTCGTGAACAAAAATGTAACGATGTTGAGACCAAAGGAAGATGAGAACTCTTGGTTCAACCTATTTGTTATTCATCAGAACAGGTACGAGTATCTTCAGAGACATTTAATCAAGAGTTGAGGTTCTCTGAATCTCTGTAAGTTTACCTGTTTGAGTAAAATGTTTCTCATTCTTTGAAGGTAGTGCAGGCAGAAGCTTAGATGTGCTTTGTGCAAATGCATTTTGAAACTTTCCAACATCTATTCCTACTATGAAAGTTACAACTGCTCAGTAAGGTATAATAATAAATGTAAAATGAATATTCCTAAATCCCACAAACTGTTTGAATCAGAATTGTTAACCTTTCTGTGTGAGAAGCAAATGCACTGGCTTGGGTCCAGTGCTAGAGTTACTCCATCTTTAGCATTTCATCAGAGTCATCAGGTGACTCACCTTGTCTCCCATCCCTTCGTTGGTTCTGTGGTTCTTTTGTGGTGGTGTTAGACTAATATCCTCTGTTCGTACCACACTATTAGGTGCTTTTCTGGTTGCTCTTATGGATTTAAATAGAGTTCTCATATTGAGAATTCCTGAGCATTTTATATTTTACTCTTATTTTCTTTCTCTTGCTGCAGAGAAAGTTATAGGGAACCTTACATGCAGTGCATTTCAGTCAGGTGATTTTGGCCAACTTCAGGTTACTTCTAGTGTGATCTTTTCTCTTTCTTGAAAGAATTGGTGCTTCATTCAATTAGTTGGATCCTCTGGTATTTATCCTGTTTTCCTTTAGAAAGAGTAGTATCACATGCTTGCTTTAGTTATGGTTTTTCTTACATGAGAGCATCCTTCAGTGCATGCTGCTCTGATTTCATGTTCTGCCTCCTCCATCCACTCTTCTCAGCCCCCTGCTGTCCTGCTATTGTTTGATCCAGAGAGCTGAGGCCCACCATTGCCCTCTGTCCTCTCCTGGCTTGTTTTTTCCTCATGTCATTCCCTGCTCACTGTCTCCTGACAAGGGAGTGTTTCCTGACTACCCTAGGTAAAGTGACATCCCCTTTCTGGATCACTTGTTCCTTTATTTTCTTTACAGCATCTATCACCAGCTGACATGATGTTTATACAAAACACAGAGAAATATTTGCATCTGTCTGTCTTTCTGCTTCTTTCCCTCGATTGAATAGAAGTTCAGGGACTCTGTTTACTGCTGTGTCTCTAATGTCTGGGTGAGGCTTGGGACACCAACCATCGTAGAGTCTCAGTGAAGATTTGTTGAGGAGATGAACATTGGGGATGTTGGTTTGTATGTAGGGAATACTAGGTTGAATTCCTGAATATTTAAATTTCCAGTGAGTTTTTACTTCCTTGGTCTTATTTACCTTGGGTTTTCACATTAATAACTTCCCATAGTATTGAATTAGAATTTTAAAATTACTTATTTATACGGTATTTTGTTCTATACAAAAACGTACCTCAGTGGGCCAGAACCGTAGTACAGCAGAAAGGGCACCTTCCTTGCATATAATTGACCCAGATTCAATCCTGAGCACCAGCGGATGGTGTGGCCCCCAAGATAAGAGTACATAAATAAAAACTCACTTCTTAATGTAAGACTTACTGATTTATTTCTGTGGTTTTCTAATCAGTAAGAGGAAACATTCAGAAGTGGCTGGCACATTTGAGGATGTTTTTAGTCTGCATACTTTAGTCCTGACATTTTCTACATTCATTTTTTGGGTGTATTGTAGGTTTCTGTGATTTTTCTCACCTTCCCAGAGGGGCGGTTCCTGGCGCTCTAGAGGTTTTCTCTCTGGGTGTAGACCGGGCTGCTTTCTCTTTAGGACACACTTTCTGTCTGGCAGGACTGAACCCTCTGAGGGCATGATCTGTGTTCCCAGTTCTTGTACTTTCTGGCATATAGAAGTGTGGTCAGTCTTTCTTGAATAAAGGAACACCTGTATAGATTTGATCACTATGACATTTTTCTGTTGCTGGACATTTGTATTTAGTTACATATATCATATTTATCTGCAATATCTTTTTTTTATAATGAAGATATGTATTATCTCACAATCTTTGTTTAGGAGTAAACATGGGAATACTAACTTCATTCCAGAACAATTCTTGGATGACTTCATTGACCTCGTTATCTGGGGCCATGAACATGAGTGTAAAATAGCTCCGACCAAAAATGAGCAGCAGCTGTTTTATGTGTCACAGCCTGGAAGTTCAGTGGTTACCTCTCTTTCTCCAGGAGAAGCTGTAAAGAAGTGAGTGATCGTTGTATTTTCAAATCAGTTAAACAGAAAGGAATTAACTGTGCTGAATCCTTCCTGGGGAATAGGAATGTTAACAAAGGCCTTCATTTCCCTCCTCATTGCAGACATGTGGGTCTGCTACGTATCAAAGGCAGGAAGATGAATATGCAGAAAATCCCTCTTCAAACAGTACGGCAGTTTTTTATGGAGGATATTGTTCTGGCTAATCATCCTGACATTTTTAATCCAGATAATCCTAAAGTCACCCAAGCCATTCAGAGCTTCTGTTTTGAGAAGGTAATCTTCTTAGGTATAATGGTCAGTGATAACTTTTTTCAGTTGACAAGTGATTGAAAGTCATTCTCTTTTTGTTCTAGTCTCATGACACCTCTTAGAACCACTGTTCAGTCCATGAGTTATAGATGCTCTAAGTTTTTTATTGTGGTGGTTTTTTGGTTTTCGGGCCACATTTGGCTGTGCTCAGAGGTTACTTCAGGCTCTGTGCTCAGGGATAAGAACTGGCAGTACTCAGGGGACCACATAGAGTGCCAAGTGCCAAGGATCGAACCAAGGTTGGCCTCATGCAAAACAAGTACATTACCCGTTATACTACTTGCCTGCTCCAGAAGTGCAATAAGTTGTGGCAAAATCACAAACAAAAAAACACAAAAGCATATAAGGTAGTTACAACAGTTTCTGATTTCTTGTTTTGTTTTTGGGCACACCACATCTGACCAGTGCTCAGGGCTTACTCCTGACTCTGTTCAGGGATCACTTCTAGTGGGCTTGTGAGACTGTATGGGGTGCCAGGGGTTAAACTGAGGTTGACCACGTGCAAGGTAAATGCCCTACCCACTGTACCATCTCTCTGATCCCCAGGAGAACATAGAATTTAACACCAACTCAAGAACTTAAGAAAAGGAACTCTAGAAGTTTTGCATCTTAGAAAAATCTCCTATTCTAGGAATATCAACTACAGTTGTTCTGTTTTAAACTTCATGAAGTTGAGTCAGGGTGTTAGTACAGGAGGGAGGGTATTTGCCTCCCTGTTGTTCAATTCCCAGTGTCCCATATAATCCCCCAGCACCGCCACGAATAATTCTGAGTGCAGGGTCAGGAGTAACCCCTGAGCACTGCTAAGTGTGACCCCAAAAGCCTACATAAATAAACTTCATGAAGTTGATCTTTTAATCTTGATTTAATTTTGAGATTGAAGAAATGCTTGAAAATGCTGAGCGGGAACGGCTGGGAAGTCCTCAACAGCCAGAGAAGCCTCTTCTGCGTCTGCGAGTAAGTTCGATTATGCCGATCCATCTGTGTAGTGTCAGAGGAGAGTGATGTGCAGTGTTCCGGTGGTTCTGTGAAGTAGGGAACAGAGCATGTCCAGTCGCAATCAGGAGAACTGTGGCCTCTAGTCACCTCACTCTCCCTGCAGCCCATCTGCTGATGGCAGAATCACCTGTGTGGTGCATGACAGTGCAGAACTAACACCGAAGCCCCCTCGCAATAGCAGTTCACCTGAGCCTCTCAGATGCCACTAGGCCATCATGGTCTGCCTGCACACTGGGCTCCATTCTGTGGGGCTGAAAATGCTACGTTCGGGACCCTGTCCAGCCAGTCCAGCACTGTGGAAGCACTTTCCCATGTTCTGTAGCATTTCCTCCACATTGCTGAAGGCCTCTTCCGGCTCACAGTCCCTCTTCTCTGCGCCTCCTTCTACGCACCCGCCTCTCTTTCATCTCCTCTTGCGTGAGGTTCCTTTTACATGTCTGTCTTCCTGGGCGCATTTTAAATTTGGTAATGGTAGCGTATACCCCATCCTTAGAGCAGTGCTGGCTCTGGTGGTTGCAACGTAGACAGAAACCTCATCTCTACACCACAGACAGATCCAAGCCTTTGACCTTGCCACTGGGTCATGGAGGGTGACTTTGAGCTTTCGGGAGAGTTTGGGGAGACCTGGCCTCAGCCTCAGCTTTTGCTGCGTTAAGAGTCACAGCATTCTTTTTTTATCAGGCCCAAAGAGCCTGTTTACTATCTGTGTCTTCTGATATTATCAGACCAACCAGATGAAAGTGGAAAGTCGGTGTTCTTTTCTGGCAGGGCCCATCTGCCCCAGTGCTCAGGGGCCTCTCTTAGCAGCTCTTGGGAGACCATGTGGTGTTCGAGACTCGACCTGGGATTCCCACATTAAAGCTTGTGCTGTAGTTCTTTGAGTTATCTCTAGCCTTGCCTTCCTTTCCTCAAGCACAGAGGACAGCTAATTCAGTCATGAAGTAGAGGGACAGGGTCATCCTCCGTGGTGCAGGTGACTGCAATGTGTTGTGTGGAATGCACCTTCTGTTCTGTGTGTCAGGGCACGTCAAGTAGAGAAAGGGACATTGTGAACCCATGTGCTTCTGGAGGTAGAGTGGACAGAATGTCAGCTCTGCGGGGTGTGATTTGGGGACAGGTTAAGGGTGGTCGGGACATGCTGTGTTGCCGAGCAGGGCTGGTGGAGGGGACAGTCTCAGCTCACAAGTGTGAGGACTTTGCTCACAGGGCCTCTGCCCCTCTGAGTAGCCCTGGCTTTGAAGGCAGTCTTGTGCCGCTTCTGGCCTCAGGGGGCTTCCCGGCACTGGTTTGGTATCGTGTGAAGGATGTCTAAGCCAGCTCTTCAGTATTTTGATGGAGGTTTTGTTCTGTTTTGAAAGCTTAAAAGATCCGTAGAAATTCTGCTGCTTTTCACTTATTCCTAGTATGTTAATCTTTCCATGGAGAGAATGTGATCATTGCCACATATGGAAATTCTCATGTGTCTTGAGTCCATTGAAGAAAGTGTCACTGCATAAACTTACAAGACCTCTAAACTTTTACTTTTCTCAGATAACACCATGCATGTTAAAATGATTTAGAGAAAGTTAATTAACTTAAAATTTTTAATTAATTTATATTAATAATGAACATAATAAACATGCTTGCAAAAACCTGTGGATAACTAGATTGATCGCTTGTTCTGTGTTTCCAGGTGGACTATAGCGGAGGTTTTGAACCTTTCAATGTTCTTCGCTTTAGCCAGAAATTTGTGGATCGAGTAGCTAACCCAAAGGATATTATCCATTTTTTCAGACATAGAGAACAGAAGGAAAAGATAGGTAAGTCTGATTACCTTATAAGTAAAAATGATCTTTTATACTCATAAGTGAAAATTGCGTAGTGAAACATGTTTTAGTAGGCTTCTTTCCAGCCCACCCCCATTCCATTCCCCTCCCTCCCCCCATTTTTTTGTTTGTTTGTTTGTTTGTTTTTGGTCTTTTGCTTTTGGGGTCACATTCATCTGTGCTCAGGGTTTCATCCTGGCGGAGCTTGGTGAACCATATGGCGCTGGGGATTGGATTGAACCTGGGTCAGCTGTGTTTAGCTTAGCTAAGGCAGGTATTTTCCCTGCTTTACTATTTCTGGCTCCTCTTTCTTTTAGACAAGACCTATAGTTGGTATAATGAAATCTCTTTTAAATAGCAGTAATTTTTAAGTCTGTACTACCAGAAGAAATGGAAAGCCTTCTCTAAATATTAGTAAATTTATTAAACAGTGACAGTAGCACAGTAGCACTGTCCTCCCATTGTTCAATGATTTGCTCGAGCGGGCCCAGTAACGTCTCCATTGTGAGACTTGTTTTTAGTGTGTTTGGCATATTTAAAACATCACAGGTAGCTTGCCAGGTTTTGCCGTGCGGGCGAGATACTCTCGGTAGCTTGCCGGGCTCTCCGAGAGGGGTGAAGGAATCAAATCAGGAATCGACCAGGTCGGCCGTGTGCAAGGCAAACTTCCTATCCTCTGTGCTATCGCTCCAGCCCGGCAACAATGACAGTGTCACTTTAATTTCATAGAATATGCTCTTTTGGGGGGACATTATTTCAGTTTTAGAGTATAAAATGATTTAGGAAAACTAGTTTAAAATAAGTGATGACCCATAGTTTGATCTTTTTGATGATCAGGTAACCTGTTTCCAATTCCATTCAAATGAATAGCCCTTCCTCAAGCATGTTTAGAAAAGTGCTAGTTCTCACCATTTTCAAGGACCTCTACATGCCCTTGACCACTGCATGTACTTCCTTCTCAGCAGAAAATGTTTCTTTTGCTTTTTGACTTAGTGAATCTTATTCTTTTGCAAGTCTTCATCCAAATGATAGGTACACATAAGATCTACAGAATTAGTTTATTTCTTCTCTGTGTGTCATAGTCTCTCAATTTTTTCCTTTGGTCTGACTCTACCACTGTGTCTTGCCAGTCTATTCCCGTGGATAGGGAAAGCCTGTCTTTTCACTTGGTCCCCTGACACTGATCTCTTATTCTTGACAGTGTTGTCAGCAGAGCAGGGACAGAGACTGGACCCTCAAGGCGTTTCCAGGGACACTCTCTGTTCCTTGCTGTGTTTTTTTCCTATTGTTTTTGAGTGGACATCCTGCTTATCAGTGTAGCAGAAGTGCTTCTAGCATAGCTGCTCTGCATCTCAAGATAGTAAAGAGTAGGTATGGGCCAGAGACATAGTATAGGCAGGTAAGATGCTGCCTTGAACACGCAAATTCTACGATGATCTCTGGCATTGCATGTGATCCCAGAGCACTGCCTAGCTAGGAATAGCCCTTGAGCACCACTTGGTGAGGCCCAGACATCCTTGCTCCAGCTGTCCTCCCCATGCCTCAAAAAAAGATCAGGTAAAAACTGAGATTTGATTTGATTCATTGAGCCATTTAAATGTGCTCTTCTCTCAGGGGCATTCTTAAATAAAACTGGCTTGTTTTAAACTGAGGGCTGTTGGTGGCTTTTTAAAAAGTATTTGTATTTAGGTAATATGTTTACATTAATGGTCTTTGTATGCACCACCAGAGTGTTCCCATCCTCCACCCACACCCTATGATGCATCATTGGTGACACTAGTCATATTCTCTGCCTGCTTCATTTATTGTATGGCGCCAGTAGTTTTAACTTTTGGGTCACACCCAGTGGTGTTCAGGGATTACCCCTTATTTAGGTGCTGGGAACCTTGCAGTGTGGGACTTGCACCTGAGCCCCCATGTAGAGCTGCACCCCGGCTTCTTGAGTGCTCTCCCCAACCTGAGGAGTCAGCAGTTCTGGATTCCTTCGTACTGTCAGTGCAAGTGCCCAAATGTGTAAGGATTGGGCTACATCTTCCTGTACTCGGGTAAAAGTTGTTCTGGCATTCCTGTCTCCTGCAGTGGCCCATGGGAATAGCTGTCAGAAAGACACTCAGGAAAATGCTGGCTAGGAGTAGCAAGGCCATGTTTCTGCCCAGGCTTGACCAGCTCGAGCAGGGTGTCAGCACGTTCTGCTCCTTGCTAAGGTTTGGACACTTTTAGCAGCATAATCGAAGCTGCTCTTCTTCCCTGGGCTTCTTTTGTCTAGGAGAAGAAATCAATTTGGGGAAGTTCATCACAAAACCTTCAGAAGGAACAACCCTCAGAGTTGAAGACCTTGTGAAACAGTATTTTCAGACTGCAGAGAAGGTAATGTCTTCATCACAGTTCCTGTTTTTGCAGTGAGAGATCTGCACATACAGTGCATCTGACTAACTCTGTAAAGAGGACCCCATGGTGTTTCTGTGACAGAAGCAGGATGGCACTGCATGGAGCAGCAGGGATTGGTGGCAGCCCTCAGCACTGTTGGCACGGCTACTGTTGCTACTGTGGCCTTCTTGTGTCCGTTCTCTTAGTCACGACTTACACACCTGGATCTGATTTCAGACATTGTCAGAGTCGGTGCAGATGCACTGGGAGGAGCCACACTTACTGCCCTGGGCATGTGCTTCCCAGAGATTTGCTCCTTACATAAGCTTCTTGTTGCATTGGGAACTAATTTCACAAAGTCACTGATTATTAGAAATGCAGATTTATTGTCTTCTCTAGATATGAAGTTTGACTTGGGTCTCCTGTATTCAAGGCAAGGACTGTTCTGCCTGGGGTCCCTAGGCTACCCTTTATCGTCCCCTCTGCTTGACAACCCACCTACATTCCTTGCTCATGGCCTCTTCCCTTCTCTTCCGTGACAGCATGTTGTATATCTGGACATTTCCCCCACTTAGGTCTCCCTTTGCCTCCCTCTTCCGTTTTAAGGGTGCTTGTGGCCATCCTGAGCCCACTTGGAGAGTTCCTGATCATCTCTGCTTTTACAGTAAGCTGATTACGGAACTTCATTCCATTTATAACCTTAGTTTCCTTTGCCCATGCATTGCAGTCCCAGACTGTGAACATTATTCACTGCCTATCAGATTGGCTAACTTGACCCATCCCTCTAGGCATTAGCTGCGACTTCTGCTCTCCTGCACTTTCTTCCCATTTCTAGCTGGGTAGGGGGCCTTTGATGGTACTCAAGAATCAAGTCACTCTCGGATTACTCATGGTGATGCTCAGGGACCATATGCGATGCTGGAAATCAAACCAGGATTTGCCACATGCAAGGCCAGTGCCTTACCCCCGTACTGTCTAACTGACCCTTCATTTCCCATCTTTGCCTTTTCTGGCGCATAATATTCATAGGCCAAAACACTACTGTTCTTTGTGACTAGGTGTTTTCTGTCTTCTTTATTCTGTGATTGCCCTTGTGCACATATATTCGCTCTGAGTGAGGGTTCACGACTAGCAGTGACTCTGTCTCTCTCTCCTAGAACGTGCAGCTCTCCCTGCTGACGGAAAGGGGCATGGGCGAAGCTGTGCAGGAATTTGTGGACAAGGAAGAAAAAGACGCCATAGAGGAATTAGTGAAATTCCAATTAGAGAAAACACAGCGATTTCTTAAAGAACGCCACATCGATGCCCTTGAAGATAAGATTGATGAAGAGGTGAGACTCAACTGAGTGGGTGACTCTGATATTCTGAGTCCGTAAGAAGGGGCTTGGGGTTAGTGACATAAGATAGTCACTTAGGGAGATAGTTGGACAGGAACTTAGTCAAATGTATTGCTGTATGATATAGAAACAGTAATTCTTAGTGTTACTCAAAGTAGCTGAAAACAATATGTACACAAAATTGCCCATGGTTTCATGACCACTTTATTTGCCAACACTTAGAAGCAGCCAAGATGTCTTTCAGCGGGTGAATAGATAAACGGGAGACAAGCGATCTGAAGGAGTGTGCTCTCAATCCCTGAGGAGACAAGGAAGAACCTTACACACATTAGTTAGTGAAATAGCTCTTCTGCTTTTTGGATCACATCTTGCTCTGCACAGGGGTTACTCCTGGCTCTGCACTCAGGAATCAGCCCTGGCGTTGCTCAGGGGACCATATGGGATGCTAGGAATCGAACCCAGGTTGGCTGCGTGCAAGGCAAACGCCCTTCCTGCTGTGCTAGTGTTCCAGCCCCGAAATAGCTCTTCTGGAGAGGCTGCTTACTGGGCGAGTCCAACTCTGTGATGTTCTAGAAAAGTCCAAACTAGACGGATACCAGTGGCCACAGGGGTAATGGAGGGTGAGAACGTGGGACACAGAGTTTTCCAGGCATGAGACTATAACTGTGGTTCCATGTCATTGTATATTTACCCTGGTGTGGCCCCCAAACAAAGGAATTAAAAGAATTCACACCTCAAAAGTGAGATTTTTTCCAGATCAATAGTATAGTGGTTAGGGCATTTGCCTAGCACATGACCGACTTGGGTTTGATCTCTGGCAAATCATATGGATCCCTGAGCCTGCCACGTGTGAGCCCTGAGCACATTTGAGTATGCTTCCCAACCCCCTCAAAGTGAGATTTTTTTTTTAACTATTTGTATGTATATTAACCTGTGGGGTATTAGAAATTTTTTCCTCTGCTGTCTAAGCAAACTTTCATGACATAACTTTATTTTGATTTGTGGGCCACTACCAGTTACGTTCAGGACTTTCTCAGGGATCTGCACTCAGGGACCATGCCTGGCGGGGCTCAGGGTGCTGAGAATTGAACCTGGGTCGGCTGGGTGCAAGTCAAACACATTCCCTGCTGTACAGTCTCTCCAGCCCTAACTTAGAACATTTTGATAGTAGGTAATAAAATTTTCTTAGAGAAACTTTTTTTTTTTTTTTGCTTTTGGGTCACACCCAGCAATGCTGAGGGGTTACCCCAGCACTACACGTAGGAATTACTCCTGGCAGTGCTTGGGGGACCATACAGGATGCCGGGGATTGAACCCAGGTTGGCCGTATGCAAGGCAAATGCCCTACCCACTGTATTATCACTCTGGCCCCCAAGCCCCCCCCCCTTTTTTTTTATAGAGTACATTTCTAAGATTCTAATGTAAATTATCAAAGTTTTAGTGTGGAGCATTGTGCATCCCATTTAGAAATATTTGCATAGCAGAAATGAAGGACATGTGTGATCTCCTCTCTTACGCTGCAGGTACGTCGTTTTAGAGAAAGCAGACAGAAAAATACTAACGAAGAAGACGATGAAGTTCGAGAGGTGACTGTTCTGTTGTGGGCCTGCACTCGTTTATCATTTATGTGTTGAACAGAATGATCAGTGGGTTTGTCAGAGTCTGGGAACTTGGACTTGCGTTGCTTGAGTCAGCTGGGCAGCCTGGGCTAATAGCTGCTTTGATTTGTTCCAGTTCCATATGCAGTTGTTTGCTAAGAGGTTCTGTGTTTTCTTTTTTTCTGGAATTTAGCAGCATAAAATAACAATTCTACCCTGCTGAGCTGCTTTTATTTTGGACAAAAACAAGAAACTGTTTAGGATAGCAGTGTTACTGTATGTAAATACACAATAACTGTGCCCTTATTAGTACTGGGGTTAGACCTTCTATACATTTTTGTTGAATTAAGAGCCCATTTTACAAAATGGCTCGCAAAATTATATGTTACAGTCAGCGGTATTGAATCCAGGCTGCTCGCCGAGCATTCCCAGTTCTCAGTGTTACTTCATGGTTCTTGGTAACCCCTGAGAAGGCTTCTTACTGGTAGCATCCCCTGAATGATGCTCTGTCAAACTCTAGGCATTGAATTACTGGTCAGGGGATCCCGTCCTTCTGTTTCCTAACACAATGAGGAATAGCCTTCGTGTGGATATGGTATTCATGTGGGTTCATCCGCAAGCACATGTGTCCCTGTGTCCCGCCAGGCCATGATGAGAGCCAGAGCCCTGCGGTCCCAGTCAGAGGACTCTGCCTCCGCATTCAGTGCCCAGGACCTAAACATAGACACGGCGGAGCCAATGACCGACGACTCCGACGACAGCATGACAGCCGTGGGGAGCCGAGGCCGAGGCCGAGGAAGAGGCCGGAGAGGAGGGCGTGGGCAGAGCTCCACGTCCAGAGGAGGGTCCCAAAGGGGCCGTGGGGGTGAGCACGCCCTCGCATGCAGGCAGTGGGGAGTGGTTGTGCAGTACTCTGAAGCCGTCGTTCCCTAGCCTGACTGCACTTGGGTTTTCCTTGGAGTCCATACATGGGGGTCTGAAGAGCTTCATTGAGCACCGTACATACATCCTGTGGTCGATTATGCCATATTCAGTCCCACTGCGCAGGCAATGCAGGAAGAGGACTCCATACTATTTTTTAAAAAAAATTTTTTGGGGGGCTGGAGCGATAGCACAGCGGGTAGGGCATTTGCCTTGCACACTGCCGACCCAGGTTCGAATCCATCATCCCATATGGTCCCCTTAGCACTGCCAATAGTAATTCCTGAGTGCATGAGCTAGGAGTAATCCCTGTGCATTGCCGGGTTTACCCAAAAACCAAAAAAAAAAAAAAATTTTTTTTTTTAAGTGATCGTTAGCATTAGTTCACTGTCACTGTCACCGTACTCCCATTGTTCATCAGTTTGCTCGAGCGGGCCCAGTAACATTGTGAGACTTGTTACTGTGTTTAGCATATGGAATATGTCACGGGGAGCTTGACAGGCTTTGCCGTGCGGGCGAGATACTCTTGGTAGCTTGCTGGGCTCTCCGAGAGGGGTGGAGGAATCGAACTCGGGTTGGCTGCGTGCAAACGCCCTACCCACTGTGCTATCTCCAGCCCTCAGTTACTCTTACTATATTTAATGAAGTACTGTTGTCATTTAGTAGCTCAGACAACAGAAAATGTGCTCATCTGGTGACCTCTGCTCCCTTATATAAATTCATCCTTAAAATTGTTTTTGGGGGTTGAGGGCTGTCCTATAGTGCTCAGGAGTTACTCCTGGCTTTGCTGAGGTATCACTCCAGGTGGGACTCAAGGGAAAGAAGGGGGTGCTGGAGATAAAATTCCGGTCGGCCACATGCAAATCAAGCTCTATACTCTCTGGTCCCTATTCCTAAGAATGTTTCATTTTGGAGAGGGCCATTCTGGGTAGTACTCAGGGCTGCTCCTTGTGCAGTGCTCAAGACTTGCTTCTGGATCTTTGGGTCTCAAGCCCAAGTCTCCAATATGCGAAGCAAGCACTGTCACCCTTTGAGCTATCTGCCTGGCACGCCCTACTAGGAATTTTTCAAATTGTTTTTATTCAATGCTTAGCCATAAGAGTTTGGGGGTGGAGGGAGACCTCCTGGTGATTCCTCATTATGTGACCCTGCAGTTCAGTGCCAAGGTCTGAGGTGCTGCAGGTCCCTGCAGTGCCTGGATTACCCAGGCCACGCTGACTGTGGTTGGGGCCTCCACAGTCACAGCAGCAGTGCTGGGTGAGAATGTTCATCATGTGCCTGGGATGGAATTCCTGACTATTACTAGCCCAAGCCAGAAGATTTCAAAGCTGATGAAATTAAGAGGATTTAATTTCACATTTCTGGGGAGTGGAGGGTCAGGGTGTGGCTTCCCTGGTCACATGGCCTCGTAAACCAGCAGGTGTGACCCTACTGGACCTCCCCCCAGCACAGCTCTGGACCTGGTACTCAGCTGACAGGCTGCTGTCCTGTGTCCTGCCGAGTATTATCTTCTTAGAAATAAGAGGTGAGGAGAAATCCTCATCTTTTAAGTAGAAATTATCTTCATTTTCCTTACATTTAAGAAATGTTTTCATACATGCTGTGCTCAGTGGACTATGCAGTATAAGGAATAAATCTGGGGTTCTTACATGCGAAGCATGTATGTCCTCAAGCCCTTTGAGTCATCTAGGGCTTGTCTAGTCCTCCTTATTGGTGGTATTTTTATTTTAATAATTAAAAAAAACATTTTTTTAATTTTTTTGTGGCCATGTCAGCAGTACTCAGGTTTTACTCTGGCAAGGCTCAGGGCACCATGAAGGGTGCTGGGGATTAAACCCAGATTGGATGCATGCAGAGCAAGCACCTGTTCTGTTGTAGCGTCTCTCTGGCCCAATTGATGGTATTTTAAAGAAAACTTTTGGCTCTTGCTGGGATTGAATATTGATTACTCATTGTTCTGACAGCAGGTGCTGGTCTGGAGACTTCCACTCAAAACAGGTGTTCAAAGACCACTGTATCAGCTTCTAGAAATATGTCTATTCTAGATGGTGAGTAGAGATGGCACACAATTATCTGGTCAGTGTGTGTCAGTTCTAATTCAGGAAGCGCTAAGAAATACCTTCTGTGACTACTGGTTTGTGTTGCTATTGTTGGGGAGTCTAAAGAATTGTTAGGGTCATGGATAGATCTTTGCTGTTCATCAGAGCTACTGAAGAAACATCCTGAAAGTTTATTTGTTGAATTCTTTTCTTGTAGCCAAATGTGATTACTTTCCTAGTGGACGCATGACTCAGGCATAGAAAAATGAGATTGCTGGTCATAGCAGAGTTGCTGCCTCATTTGTGGCCCTTTCTACCCTCATGCCTAGGTGTCTCTCATTAGTTGTCTTAGACATGTCATATGAGCTGTCTAGAGAAATTATGGATTCCTGAAATAATCCAGGAAGAGGATTCCTGGGTTTTTGTCCCTGTTTGTGGTCTGAAAATTGACCTCAAACAAGGTGACCTATTTTTTAATAACAATAATAATTTAAGGCAGCTGAACTATTTTTGATATTATGACTTTTCTACCTAGCTTTCAGAGTATATCCCTCTCAATGTATGCATGTTGTGTACAGTGGTGTTTAAGGTTAATTCTTGACTCCCTTTCATAGCTAGCATTAGAGTAAATCTCACAGGTTATTTCTCATGAATAAATGTAAACTATGTGCAGAGACAGAATTGAGAGGCAGCTGTGCAGAGGGCCTCTGGACTCGCTGGACTTGCTGTCTTGGAAGGTGTCCGTGGAGCTGCTTATCTTGGCAGGAACATGTTCTCCCTCAGCTTTGTGTGGGCCACGGTATGCCAAGAACATCGTGCTCACCTTTGGGACTGTATTTCCTGAAGAGTAATGATCTATATAGGATCATTCAAATGAGAAAACACTTAAAGTGCTTGGAGGAACTTGAGATATCTAAACTGGGAAAAATTCAAGTCTTTACATAAAATAATATCTTTCATGTACAAGACTGAGTAGATTTCATTTGTTTAGCCCCAAAGGTAGTGATCTTAAATCTGAGTCATAAATTCTTAACATTTTGATGAAAGCTGTGTCTCCTTAAATTGGTGCTTGTGTGAAATTGCGCGGAGTTTGTGAGGGCTTAGAGACCAGCCACTCTGCTCATGGACCATTGTGGGTAATGGTAAGTTCAGGCAGATTTAACTTATTATCCAGTAGAATGGCACTGAAAATTTGAGAACAGTTTTGTATATTATCTCATTTTATAGATGAGAAAACTGAACTGAACAATTTACCCAAGTAGAGAAAAACACAGGGAGGGACTTAGCAGGCACAGGGATAATTTACTTTACATTTCTTGTTACAACAAAATGGCAAATGGAATTATCAAAAAATAGTTCAGCTAAAGAAAAAACACAGTGTGGGAGATTCTGGTAGGTGGTTTTGGGGGGTTCTTTTGTTGTGATTTTGTTTTTGTTTGGGGGTTGCACGCGGCAGTGCTCAGGTCTTACTCCTGGGGCTCTGCACTCAGTAATTTCTCTTGGCATTGCTCAGGGACTGTATGGGATGTTGGGGATCAAACCCAGGTTGGGATATAGGCCAGTAGTTGAGTAGGACGTATGTGAATGCCGCTTTGCCTTTGTCCCTCAGGGATACAACACAAGGGAGATAGAACACGGAATAGGAAAAATATGCAGATTATGAATTCAGACATGGAAGAAAGATTGCCACATTTTATGGTTCGAGTATTTTGAATTTTGTGGGTTCCTTGATCAGTTATCGTTTCAGCTCCTCCTCTAACCCCGCTTTCTCTATTGTTTGATTTGGAATTATCTTGAGGGTGACATTCTTTAGGAAACTGGAAAGTCCTAAGAGAAAGTAAGTCTAAAGTTAGTTTCTTGAAATTTATGCAAGTTTTTGTTCTCTAGGTAAAGGTGGGAAAAGAGGTAACCTCTTTTCTAACCCAGTTTATAAAACCCATGAAGGAAGGACTCAGAGGAAAGTTTATCAGGGAATAAAAAGATAGGTTGTTTTCCAGAATTCCCTCTGAACTTTTTAGGTGCTAAATACTGCTAATTAAGTCAAGGATAAGAAAGCTTCTCCAGAACCAAATTCCTTACAGTTACAGGGAAGGTCACATAAGCCATCCACAGAAAGTTAGTAGGATTGGAGTTCAGTAAGTCGATTAGATTTTATCTTTAGCTATTTTCTATAAAATATTTTTAGTTTAGGTATATTTATTATAGCTTTATTTCTAAGACTGGCATTAAGACATTATTTTACTTGGGAATAATTTTATATTTTTTAGCTAAAAGAATTGGGGTTTTATAATCAATCATTGTTTTAATAAATAGGGCATACAATTGTCAGCTAAATGTGCAGTTTTTGGGGGACTGGAGTGCTAATGCAGAGGGTAGATTGCTTGCCTTTCTCGCCACCAACACCCAGGTTCAATCCCCAGCATCCCACATGGTCTTTCAAGCACTGCCAGGAGTAAACCCTGAGCATCACCAGCTGTGACCCAAAAATTCATTTCATTTTTCATTTCATCATCCTGTTATTCGTCGATTGCCTCGAGCAGGCCCCAGTAATGTCTCTTTCATCCTAGCCCTGAGATTATATTCAAGGCTCTTTAGGAGAATGAGACCCATCATTGTTATTTGGCATATTTGGTACGCCACGGGGAGTTTGCCAGACTCTGCCCTGTGGGCAGGCTACATTCGATAGCCTGCAAGTTTGTCCAAAGTAGGAATGAGATAATAAGATGTCATAAAAAAGATGTTCTGATAAGATGTCGCGCGGCCGCATTTGCAGCCGCGCGGTTCTGGGAGCAGGATTTTATAGTCTCTGAGTCTTGGCCGTTGATGGGATTACACGGCGCCAGGGGGCCAGGTGGTGGGTGTGACCCCCGCCTACTGGAATTTGGAGGATCTGGGTGGAGGATGCTCGACTCCAATCCGAGTAGGCTTGGAGATCTCGGCCCCGGAACCCGCGTGGATTTGTCCCTCTGCCAGTACCTTCATGTGTGCAGAGAGTGGTCTCAGCATGGTGGTGGCTGGTCCTGGAGGTCTTCGGCTGCCGGAGCCCTGGTTGGGGCCCCGACCAGGACCCAAAAATCAAAGAATTTTAAAAAAAATGTGCAGTTTCTCTTAAGATAGTTAAGACTAACAGGTATTTCATCTCTTTTGCTATAGCCTTTAAGTCTACACGACAGCAACCTTCCCGAAATGTTGCCTCTAAGAATTACTCAGAGGTAAGAAAAAGGGCTTTTTGTTGTTTTAATAAGTTATGATCCCTGCATTATGAATTGTCCATTTTTTGTGTGCATAGTAAATAAGAGGAAAAAAAGGAATGGAACATTAAACTGGAGAGACCTTAACTGAATTTCTAGATTGAGGGCACCTGGAATGTTAGTGTGTCTCCTTAAAAAGGCAGGGAGGATCTTTTGATTAGAAATGCACACATGACTCCTGGCTCAGTATTCAGGGATGACTCCTGACTGCTTGTAAAGCATCTGGGGTGCCAAGGATCAAGCCTGGGTCAGTTGCGTGCAAGGCAGGCAACTTAACTGCTGCCCTATCTCTTTAGCCCCCTCTGTCTAGATTTTAATCTTGCACTTTACTCTTGTTTTCCCCACTAAGCATGAATATGCCAGTGCTGACTTTCATGCTAGTCCCATTGCTGGTCAACTGTTCTTGCTACTTCTTCAAGATCATCTGAAAGCACGATTGTCATTGGGTGCTTTGGGGTTTTCCCTTACAAGACAAGAACTTGAGTTAAAAAAAAAAAACAAATCATGTCAGAGCTTTTTACTTCCCATTTTTCCATTATGATCACTCAGTGGTTGATTTGGGAGATTGTATATGTATTTGATTTCGTTTATGGTATATGAGACAGTCTCCTAGTAGTTTCACAAAATGCAGAAACACTAACAGGATTGACAGCTGCTTAGACAACTTCATTTAATGATTTCAAGTTCACTGAACCGGAAGAAGAGGTCTTGGCGCTGTTTTTGCTCTTGGTTCATGATTTGATAGAGATAAAATGTAGAGCAATAGATAGGTTTGGATGGTAGAATCAAAAAGTCATAACTTTTTTTTTTTAACTTAAAACCAGCAGTGACACTGAAGAGGATAAATGTAATAGATAACTATCTAATAACCCACACAGTCTTATACCACTTTTAAAATCGGAGGTGGAGGGGTCAGGAGAGGGGTAAGGCTCTAGCCTTGTACTTGTACTTGTACCATTAGGGCTTTACCCTGAGCACCACCAGGAGTGATCCCTGAGCACCACCAGGTATGACCCAGAAACAAAAAACAAAAAAATAGGGGCTGGAGTGATAGCACAGTGGGTAGGGCGTCTCCTTGTACACAGCCAATCCGGGTTCGATTCTCAGCATCTCATATGGTTCCCTGAGCACCGCCAGGAGTAATTCTTGAGTACAGAGCCAGGAGTAACCCCTGAGTATTGCCAGGTGTGACCCAAAAAACAAAAAAGGAGGTGGGGCACCTTGGCCTGACTCCTTATGCGATCGTGGGACAGTCTTGGGTCTGAGAGACAGGCTGAGCGGGCACAGAGCAGAGTGGGCCGCTGTCTACTGCTGTTCAGGCCTTCCGGTAGGAATAGAACGGAACCCAGCATTTAGACTCAGGTGCTCTGTCTCTGACACCCCAGATGACCCAGCTCACTGTTTGTACCCCCACAGGTCATTGAGGAGGACGAGTCAGAGGATGAGGCTCTTTTTCCTGCCACTTCAAAAACAGATCAAAGGTAGGCACAATGACTTCTTCAATAATCAATTTCTGGAGGGAGAGGAAGGAAACTCATGCCAAATTCTTCCTGGACGTTTCCGCATTTGAGGAAAGTAATTTGTACCTCGGGCTACACTGTTGGACTGATTTGTCAGTGACAGATGCTGTGGTCATGCAGAGATTATAGTAAGCTCGGGCTGGAGCGATAGCACAGCGGTAGGGCGTTTATCTTGCAAACAGCCAACATGGCAGACCCGAGTTTGATTCCTCCGCCCCTCTCGGAGAGCCCGGCAAGCTACCGAGAGTATCTCGCCCACATGGCAGAGCCTGGCAAGCCACCCGCGATGTATTCGATATGCCAAACACAGTAACAACAAAATCTCCAATGGAGACGTTACTGGGCCCGCTCAAGCAAATCGATGAACAACGGGAGGGCCTTTACTTTCTGGAGCGATAGCATAGCGGGTAGGGCGTTCGCCTTACACGCGGCCAACATGGCCAACCCGAGTTCGATTCCTCCGCCCCTCTCGGAGAGCCCGGCAAGCTACCGAGAGTATTCGATATGCCAGACACAGTAACAACAAAGTCTCCAATGGAGACGTTACTGGGCCCGCTCGAGCAAATCGACGACCAACGGGAGGGCCTTTACCTTTACCTTTTTACCTTACTGCTACTGCTTTTCTTGATAGAGTTCTGTGTTCTCGCCATTAGATGATTTTGGACTCAGATGATTGCTGTATTTGTTACACTAAGTTCTCGAGTCTGAGCCGAGCACTCAGCACTCACCTTTCCCCCTCTCTCTTCGTGGTACTTAGGTGCTTCTTTGCCTATTAGTTATTAATCTTTCCCATTCCACAAAGGACTTGATTTGACTTAATTACCATTGTCTTTTTTTGTTAGCATTTTGCTTAACCAAAGCTTAGACAGTACAGATCTCTAATTCAGAAACTAATCAATTTTTTTTGCACTTATTTTAGTGAACATTCTGTCAGGACTGATGGGGAACATAATAAATGGTCTGACGTGATTACTGCTTTCCTGCAGCATAGATTGTACTGGGAAAGGGAGATGAACACATTCCTGTCCATTACAGGATGATTCAGTCAGTACATCATTATATATGAAATCTGAAACAGACTGAGTGGTAGTGAATAAGCCCTCAGAAAGGAGCGAGGAGAGAGACTAGCATAAAAGAAACAGCCTCACCAAAGGACTTTCATTTACCTGAGATTTTAAAGACTGGAATGCATTGTCTGAATCAGTAGATAGTGGGAAAGAGAACTCAATTTTTCTCTTTATTTTTGGCTGACGTGTGGTAGCACTTGGAGGCCATTCATGGTGGTGCCTGGGGGGCTATGCACTGCCGCGAAACAGACCCAGGTACGCACCCCAGCCTTTGACCCCTCCCCATCCAGAGCAGTATCACAGAAACACAGCTCACCTGTCTGTTTTTTTTTTCCTTTTTGGGTCACACCCAGCGGTGCTCAGGGGTCACTCCTGGCTCTGCACTCAGGAATTAGTCCCGGCGGTGCTTAGGGGACCATATGGGATGCCAGGGATCGAACCGGGTTGGCCGCGTGGAAGGCAAACGCCCTACCCACTGTGCTATCGCTCCGGCCCTGTTCTTATCTGAGAATAAAAGTTGGATTTTATTTGAGGGGCTGGAGTGATGGTACACCCAGTAAGGTGCTTGCTCTTTCACATCTGATCTGGATTTGATCCCTGAGCCTGCCAGAAGTAACCCCTCAGTACAGCAGGTTATGACCCAAAACCCAAAATTTGATTTGAGAAAATTGAATTTTTAAAAAGAGAAAAACTAAAAACTAAAAAACAGTTTTATTAGCCAGGATTGAATTTGGAAGGGATAAAATCTATTGTAATAGCTAAGTTGTTCTTTTGTGGTTTTTTTTTTTTAATCAAGTGTTCTAGGATAAAGTTTTGCTTCTTGGATGTCATATTTGACCCACTGGGAACCTGTTGCTTTATGTATATGTGAGGCTGTGGAAAGATTGATCAGTCAGACTTGTTGGCCTCTTACCTGTTCAGTCAAATGTGGTACCAGGAGCTGTCGCAGATAGAGGAAGGCATTTTCCAATTCTTCCAGGAATGCACATGTCAGGGTATGTTGATTCCAGGGAGCCAGCAACCCATCAGGGCAAATGGGACAAGAGGCATGCGCAAATGAAATGGTGTTTTATCTGAAATTGCACAAAACCAAGAGACAGGCACATGCCTGGCTCTTGAAGAAAGCAGCTCTCTGCAGTTAGGGGCCGGGCCCAAGGCTGGTGAGGAAGGAAGGGTTGAGGTAAAACAAGAGAGGCAGGTATGCCACCTAGCAGAGTCCAGTTTGGACTCTGACTCTTTTTTTTTTTTTCTTTTTGGGTCACATCCAGCGATGCTCAGGGGTTATTCCTGGCTCTGCACTCAGGAATTACTCCTGGTGGTGCTTGGGGGACCATATGGGACGCCGGGGATTGAACCCAAGTCGGCCGTATGCAAGGCAAACGCCCTACCTGCTGTGCTATCGCTCCGGCCCCTGGACTCTGACTCTTGAGTAGTGTCAGGCCTGAGGAGTCCGGTGGCACAATCACCAAGCAAACATGATGAGTTGGGAATGAGGGAAGCTGTGGACTCGTGCTTGATTTCCTGGCAGAGACAATGCCGGCACGGAAGAGGCCATGAGAGGAGAGGCTGCATCTCGTGCAAGGAGGCAGCAGATAACTAGGGTTTTGCTCCAGAGGTTTTGCTCCAGGAAGTTTGAAAGCCTGGGATTTGTCCCCAAGGGGGGTCAGAGGCAGTAGATCTGGGTGGTTCAGAATGATGCATACATTTAACCCTCAGTGACAGCTCAGATGACCTTGAACTTTCCATCGCCTTGAAGAGGAAAGAGAAGAATGGTGGATCCCTGTCCCAGCTCTCGGGCAAAGGAGCCAAAAGGAGCACACAGGGTTGCCAGAACCAGCACTGCCTGTGCAGGTGGAGAAGTGGGCCCACTGGATGTGAGGCGCTTACTCACTTTCTCGGGCTGCTTCAGTCTAAGAGAGTCTTTTCTAAGGACTTGCTGGTAGTTCTTAGAGATGAAAGCACACACCACATCACGTCGAGCCTTCTGGATGCTTCTCAGGCATCAGCAGTGCTGGAGAGGAAAGCAGATGTTCAGCTAGGTTGGAGCCCGTGTATTTTCCTTGTCAGAACTCAGGAAAATGCTGGTTTTGTGTGTTTGACATTTAGATAAGGGAGGAAAGAAAGTCTCTTGTTTCCACTCTGAGTGTCTGCCTTGAGAGAATAAATATCTTTGGCTTCTTACTCACGAGGTAATAATAGTGACTCAGTTACTTAGCCCTTGCTCTGTGTCTGGCTCTGTTCTGATCTGTTCTGAGCCTGTAGATGTGAGTGACCTTGTGAGGTGTTTACAGAGGTGGATGTTGTTGTCACTCTTCCACTCTCCATGGAAATGAGGGACTAAACATAGTCACTCAATGAACATCACTTCCAAGTTCACGTTGGACGCTACCCCAGCGTTCTCTCCTGTCACTTCTCTTTTGGGGTGGAGAGGGGACAGGTTGTGCCAAGTCTGTGCCCAGAGGCTGCTCTGACTACACAGGAGGGACCATATATTGTACTGCAGATTTGCACCAGTGTTGGTGGGATGTAGGGACAGCTCCTTAACCCTGCACTGTCTCTTTAGCCCCTGCTTTTGCTTCGTATCAAAACATTGAGGACCCTGAGACACTGTATAGTCAGTAAGTTACGGTAGGCAATTTAGAGAGTCATCTTTTGGGGGCCTCCAGGGGTGCTCAGGTGCCCTTGGGCATTCTCCACGAACTAACTAGATTTGTGGGTCAGTCCTCAGACCTGAGGATATCCCTATTTTGGCCAGTGGGAACACCTAGTAGTTCTTTTTATTTATTTATTTATTTATTTATTTATTTAAATTTTTATTAGTGAAACCGAGAGTATCTCGCCCACACGGCAGAGCCTGGCAGGCTCCCCGTGACGTATTCGATATGCCAAATACAGTAACAACAAAGTCTCCAATGGAGACGTTACTGGGCCCGCTCGAGCAAATCGATGATCAACGGGAGGGCCTTTACTTTACTTTACTTAGTGAAACACCGTGAGGTACAGTTGTAGACTTACAAATTTTTGTGCTTGGGTTTCAGTTATACAATGATCGAGTATCCATCCCTCCACCAGTGCCCATTGCCCTCCACCACTGATCCCAGTATCCCTCCTGCCCCCCATCCCCCCATCCTACCCTGCCTCTGTGCTCTGTGGCAGGGCATTCCCTTTTGTTCTCTCTCTCCTTTTGACACCCAGTAGCTCTTGAGGTCCTTCAGGGATATCCCCATGGTGCTTGGAGGCCCTGTGGTGTCCTGTGGGAATCGGCCCGGCCTGGGCACATACATGTACCCTAACCTCTACACTGTCTCCCCAGCCTGTTAGGGACTGACATTTTTTATAAGAAATCTGGAAGCAACCTTAGCAGAATGTTTCTGATAGCGGTGACATGGTGTGAGGTGTAGGGTTTTCTATTTCAGTGGCAGGATGAAGCCCAGAGCCTCGTGCATGATAAGCACACATTCTACCATGTACCACAGTCTTGCCCATGGGCTATTTTGACAAATAGTGTAATGATGGCAAAGTTTGTGTGGTTTCTATACTCTCCTGTTGGACTTGTTTGGTTGGGTTTTAAACCTCTCTGGGTCTCTGTTCCCATTTGCAAAGTGAAGATATTTGTGAGGTAAGAGATGCAGCAGCTGAGTTATTCTTTGTTAAGGACTAAGTACAGTACCTGGTATGTGCAGCTCTAAAAGTGCAGTTTAATAAGAGTAATAGGAAAATTGGCAAGTAATGGAAGCACTGATATTCCTGACTGTGATCTTTTAAAAAGATCTGATTTCCAGTTGTCGCTCACTGCTGCCCTGCCGGCAAGGGAAGTCTTCTCTTTCCTGGAAATGGCGTTCCAGACTCTAGCTGTGCTGGCAGCAAGAGCCCCTGCAGTGAGAGTCTCGGGCAGCAGTGAGAGGGTCCAGCAACTCAGGCCAGATGTGGGGATCCAGTGGGCCTCGAGGCCTGACCAGAGGCTGGTATGGGGGGCTCCTGTGTATGCTGAGCACAGCATGTGGTCAGCTTAACATGTTTCCTCGGTTTCTAATCCTGCTGCTATTGGCTTACTGGAAAACAGATGTGTCTTACAGCTTTACTATTCCAACTAATATCTGAACAGAAATAGAGAAAATGCAGTTGCTGGCACTTAATAGACTCCCCCACCTCCTCCCTCACCTCTCCCTGAGTCATCCACAAGAGGTCAGTCACAGAGCCATTGTTTGCACCCCACAGAGTGAACAGGAGGGCTCTGGGGCTTTTTTCCCTTTACAAGTTTCTTCATTTTTATACCTCTTGAAGATGAGCTCTGGAGTTTTGAGGAATTTTTATTGAAGATGAAAGGGCATGAGTACCATTCCAGAAGCCAAGTTTCATAAGGAATAAGAATCTGAAATTTACATACAAGTGGTACAACATGGAAAGTACATGCTAAGCGAAATGAGTCAGAAAGAAAGGGACAGACATAGAAAGATTGCATTCATCTGGGGAACATAAGTAACAAAATAGGAGACTAACACCCAAGAATAGCCGAAATAAGTACCAGGAGGTTTACTCCATGGCTTGGAAGCCAGCCGCACATGGTAGGGGAAAAGGCAGCTCAGATAGAGAAGGGAGCACCAAATAAAGGGTGTTGGGAGGATCCGCCCAGGATGATACATGCTGAAAGTAGACTATAGACCGAACATGATTGCCATTCAATGACTCTTTTGCAAACCAAAGCACCCAACAGAAGAGAGAGAACAAAGGGAATGCCCTGCCACAGAGGCAAGGTGGGATGGTGGGGATGGGGGGTGGGAGGATTACTGGGATCAGTGGTGGTGGAGAATGGGCACCTGTGGAGGGATGGGTACTCGATCATTGTATAACTGAAACCCAAGCACAAAAATTTATAAGTCTACAACTGTACCTCATGGTGTATCACTAATAAAATTAAAAAAAAAAAAAGTCATGTTCTTCTTGTCCTCCGGTTCATTTGCTCTGGTCTTTCCTTGTTTTTCCTCAGGTGGTCCAGTTCCTCCACCTCCGGCAAGCGCAATTCTCAGAGCCTGACAGCTAAAGGGGTAACCTTTGAGTCTGACGAGGTAATGAGCTATACAGCTAAATCTTTGATTTTCACTGTTTATAGAAATTGATAATCCTGCTGCTGACAATTCCTTATAAATATAGTCTCATGAGAACTAACTTTGGGAAGACACTTTTGGGAGGGAGTGGGGCAGTGCTAGAAATCGAACTTGGGGCCTTATACATGCAAATTATAAGGCGCTATATCAGTGCGCTATATCCAAAGTTACTTCTTGAAGAAATTTCAACCATAGTTAATGCCAAGCCTACAAGCAGCACCTGCTGAGTTTCCATTGGTACAAAGAAATCCCCTCCCCCTCCCCCAAAACCCCAAACTGCTTAAAAGCCAGACAGAATGACTTGACAGGTTGTTTTGTTTCTGGGTTACCTTCACTTTACTTGCTTTACTAAGGTTAATAATTGAGGGAATGTATATGGCATATATACATTTACTGTAAGTATATACATGCATAGATATCAAGAATTTATTTTTAATGCTTGCTAAGGATTTATTTGGACTTATTTTAACAGTGAAATTAACATCACAGTGGAAGGAAAAGGGAAAAATGAATTGATAACTACTTATGTTATTTTCAAAGATAAAATCGAAAATCTACCTCATGTGAAAGGAGAAAATTAAATAGTATTATTTTTCCCACAAGAGTTTCTCTTGTGAAGTATGGAAATAAGAGCTTAAATTATAACCTCTTATGTCATTTCAGGATGATGATGATGATGACCCCTTTATGAACAGTAGTTCTTTAAGAAGAAGCCGAAGATGATACATTTCTTAGCACTTTGAAGTTTTGAAGATTCAGAAAGAATCAGAGTGTTACAAACTGGATTTCAAGTTGAAGATTTTAAAAATATTGATGTTAAGCGAAGAATCTGAAAAAGACTCGTTTAACAGAGAAACTAATGTATAAGAATTTCTATTTTTGAATATCATTTCCTAAAAGTGACGTATTTGAGAAATTTTCCCAGTTCAGACACATATAAGAAAAGCAGGCTTCCTTAAACATTTGGAATGTTATTTTTCTGACATTGTGTGGCCTACTGAGTAAGAGCTTTATTTAAACACCCTTGAATAAAGATCAAAGTCAGTCCACCATTACATGTGTCTGAGCCATCATCAGAAACCGTATCAGTGTATTACTGTCGTTATTTTAACCCAAAGCTGAGGAAAAGAGCATTTAAAATTGAACCCCTTACCATTTTAGCTTACCATTTTTAGCTGGGGCTGGAGTGATAGCACAATGGTAGGGAGTTTGCCTTGCATGCAGCCAGCCCGGCTGAGCCGGGTTTGATTCCTCTGCCCCTCTCAGAGAGCCCGGCAAGCTACCAAGAGTATCTCACCCGCATATATTCAATATGCCAAACACAGTAGCAACAGGTCTCAAAAAAACAAAAATGGAGACATTAACTGGGCCTGCTCGAGCAAATCAATGAACAACGGGAGGACGGTGTTTGTTTGTTGTTTGTTACGATTTTAGCAGAATGTAGATTTCCCAAACATAGACCAGTCTCTGAACCTCTGTGCCCTCCTGCACTCTTTTACTCTAATTCGTGTGAGGGCATCGGCCTTGTGATCCTTGAAGGGGCCACTTACCTTGAACTTTGAGTAACTCAGTGGGTTTGCATTTCTTCAGGAAACAGTCTCATCTGAAGATTTTGATTCCAGTTCTAGCAGAGATGGAAAAGATTCTCTTTGGGACTTGGGAGTCCTTGAGGTCTGACTTTTTGCTACTCGGGGGGAAAGTTCCTATTGAGAGATAATGGTATTACCTGTTTTTCCTCCATTTTTAATGGTTTTCTTTCTGTATTTAGGAGGGAAAGGGGTTAAATTTTTAGCGGTGTCTTCTAAAAAATATTGAAGAACTTTCCTAGAAAAGAGTGGTAAATTGGGGTTGGAGTGATAGCACAACGGGTAGTGCATTTGCCTTGCACGTGGCTGACCTGACTTTGATTCCCAGCATCCCATATGGCCCCCTGAGCTACCTCCAGGAGTAATTCCTGAGTGCATCGCCAGGTGTGACCCAGAAAAGCCAAAAAAAAGTGGTAAATTGAAATTGAGCCTTCTGGTTATATTACGTCAAATTATTGAAATAAAACTCCTGTGGAATGTGAGTGGCATATCTTGGTGATAGTTTTTCTTGATGTGGAGCTCAGACAGCTGTGAGAATCTTGGTAAGCAGCTGTTTTAACTTAATGCTTTCTAGTGTTGAACATGCAAGAAGTTGGCCTCTTCAGAGTAAAGTTCCATTATTCTGTTCTCCACTTTATGGCTTAAGAAGAGGCCCTTGAGAAAATTCTCTGATAAATAGTGCTGCCCTATTTAGTGGTGCCACAGTATATTACAGGGCTTGGTGATGGGCAGCTGGATCTCTTTGCAAACATGTGACCGAGGGCTGGAGCAATAGCACAAGGGGTAGGGCATTTCCTTTGCACACGGCCAACCCAGGTTCGATTCCCAGTGTCCCATATGGTCCTCCGAGCACTGCAGGGAGTAATTCCTAGTGCATGAGCCAGGAGTAACCCCTGTGCATTTCCGGGTGTGACCCAAAAAGAAAAAGAAAAAATAGACCAAGCAGTCTTCATGGTCATCCTCATGGTATAACTGGGATCTGTTGCATCACTGCAGAACTTAATGTTTGCCGTGATAGTGAAGGCACAGTCGTGTTCTGTCTCTTTCTAGTGCCTCTGTGAGCATGAGCATGCTCGGGCAGCACATCCCTCGACAGGAGGTTTCACTTGGTAGAGTCTTGGTCTCCTTCCAGTATCAGCATCACCAGTACTTACACGAGGCAGGAATGAAATCAGAGTGACCACTGCTCTCCAGAGAGGAATGGAGTTGGTGGGGGTGGACTGCAGGGCAGCTATGGCCAGGGGAAGAACAAGTCACTGAAGTTTCCTGCTGACTGAAAGGACAACTGAGGAAGAGGTGAGTGCTGGCAGGGTGGAGCTCTCACCTGCTCGTACCTGGCCTCTTAGAAATGTGTGATATAGGTCAGCTTGAGGAAATGCAGTGAACAAGTCTTGGGAGAAATATATTGATAGAGAAGGTTGGGAGAGGTATGGGCCACACTTGGTGCTGGGGGCTGTCCTTACTGCTCAGAGCCAGGGTCAGATGCAAGCCTGGCATACAATTAAAGCTCAGCCTTTGGAGCCCTCTGCACAGCCGAGTGGGTTTTGTCGCTGGGTACAGGGCAGTCTCAGACACTCACACTGGCTGGGTGGCGGTGGCCGCTGGCATTCACCTCTCCCTGTCTGATGTCCCTGTCACACAGTGGGAGCAGAACCTTCACAGGGTCAGGAGCACATTGCGGTGGTGGGGAATCTCTAGAGTAGAGAGCCCAGGCCACTTAGGCATTTCACATTTAAGTCAGTTGCATACAAAACATTTTTCTCCCAAACTTAGAAATGTGGTCCTTGAAAGTCATGCAGTTCAAGTAGCTGTGGGTGGGATTTCTTTATGTTTCGTAGTATCTCTGCCTATCCAAGAAATAGATGATCACTACTAATTCTGGAAGCCCTAAGTTCTCTCATCTGGGCATCAGTTTTGGCACCTGAAGTTCAGATCTCTTTGGTCATGGTGGTGCTTCCGCATTCCACAGACAGGATGAAGCAACTGCAGATGTCAAGACCAGAAGTGATGTGGTTGGCAGTGAGCCTGGAGCTCTGCATCAATCTCGCACTTGCTTCCTGTGGCATAGGTAAATTGCTGTACAGACTTTCCCTGCCCTGTCTGCTATGGAGAAGCGGCTCTCTGATAAATTCCATGTGTAGAATCATGGAAATGTTTCATTTTTAATAAAACGAAACCTTATTAGAAAAATGAAGGTTTTCCGTTGTTAAATATTTGTTAAACTGTACCATAGTTAAACTTTCTTGGCCTGTGATATGGCTCATATTGGTGGAACACATATTCTGCATATTTCTGCAAGGCCCAATTTGGTCTGTCACATGACATAGAAGCTCCCTAGCTGTGACCAGGTGCCCCTGGTGACTCCAGCACTGCCACACCCAGGTCACAGAACCACTGACCCCGTAGCACTGCTGCTGGTATGTGGCCCCTGTTGAAGTTACTTTCCTCCAACAGAGTTCATGTCTTCTTATGTGCTTCCCTTTGTTCATATTGTTAGTTCATAGTATCTTATGACTTGTAAAAGCTGACTACCATTGAGTGTATTACAGAACGAAGATTTTGCTTTTAGTCCAAGTGCTTTCATATTCTTGACTGAAAATGTCAACGATTGATTTATTTTTTAACCATGCAAAACAATTTTTATTGAAAGAGATAGAGAATGTGTGAGAGGACACAAAGATACATGTTCCAGAGAGAGCACAGACTTTTCCAGAAGGAAAAGGCAGAAAATGTCACTGGGTTAGCATTTGCTTCTCTCCTTTTAAAATTTTCAACTTTACTGTTTTTTTACATGGATCTGAAAGTGCTAGAATTGCAGTTTGCTCACCATAAAACCAACTAACATTTCTTGTGATGCTGTATGTGTGACTGATAACTATACCTGAGTTCAACTGTTTTTATTTTTTTTTACTTTTTTATTTTTTTAATTTTTATTAGACACCATGAGGTACAGTTGTATACTTACAAATTTTTGTGCTTGAGTTTCAATTATACAATAATCAAATACCCATCCCTCCACCAGTACCCATTTCCCACCACCATGGATCCCAGTATCCCTTCCACCCCCCATACCCCCCATCCCACCCACCCTGCTTCTGTGGCAGGGCATTCCCTTTTGTTCTCTCTGTCCTATTGGGTGTTGTGGTTTGCAAAAGAGGCAATGGGTGCCAATCATGTTTGGTCTATAGTCTACTTTCAGCATGCTTCTCCCATCCTGGGAGGATCCTCCGAACACCCTTTATTTGGTGCTCCCTTCTCTATCTGAGGTCCCTTTTCCCCTAACGTGTGGCTGGCCTCCAAGCCACGGAGTAAAATTCCTGGTACTAATCTGGGTCATTCTCGGGTGTTAGTCTCCCATTTTGTTACTTTATGTTCCCCAGATGTACTGTGTTTAAAGTGGAGAAAGCAGTTCATTTCATCTGACTAGAGAGATCCCAGGATTGAACCCTGGCATCCCATAAGGTCTGAGACCATCAAGAGTAATTCCTGAGCATTGCTGAGTGTAGCCCAAAAACAACATGTATATAAACATGTATTTCCCCCATTTTTACCCTAAACTCATTTTTGTGAATGAGCTACATAATTTTCTTCTTTTGGCATGAATTACTGGCAGAAATTGTTAAAGTAGAATCTCGAATCATAGAACTAAATACCTTTCCCAGTGGGGAGTCTCCCAAGCAGTGCTCAGGAGCACTTGGGGAGTCTCAGATGGCTGGGTTGGGCACTCAGGATCGAACCAGGTGATACTAGGGTGTGGGCGCAGAGCGTAAAGATGGCCAGGCATGTACATAGCAGTACCCTAACCACTACACTCTCCTGGGTCCTCGGGAATGTTTTAATCCACATCAAGATATAGGTTCCCCTTGGTTCTTCCCTCGACATGTTTTCTCAATCTGTTTTGTTTACCTCTTCATGAAGCTCTCTTTGCATTGTTTTCTGATGTGTCACTGAACTGCTACAGCTCCGTTTGGATCAAATAGAATACTTAGTCTGTTTGCCTTGACACCAGGAGTGGAGTGATTTCAGAGGGTCCTTTGTTGGTGATTGCATGGTATGGCTGAGGAGCCAAAGGGATCACACAGGGTGACTGGTGGGTGTGGGCCTGCCCCTGTTGGCCCCCTGCAGCCTGCATGTAGACACTTCCCTCAGCACCCAGGTTCGTTTGTCCTTGATCATGCCTGATTGCTGGGACTCGAGCTGTTCTGAAAATCGGTGTTTCTGCTTCTGTAAGTTAATAAATCACTCTCCCCACTGGTGTATTCTTGCTGATTGTAAAGGAATCCTGTAGTTGAAGTTTACAAGAGCCAATGCTTAATAAAATGAGAGCTAGAGTTGCATTTCTGTAATCTTTGATAGTCTGTACCAGAGCTTCCTTGGGGCCAGAGACCAGGGACCAGGGACCTGCCTTGCAACCTTCACTCCATCCCAGGTACCCCAGTGGTGCTCAGGACCATCAAAGTGTGAGATTGTGCCAGCGTTGGCGCCAAGGTAAGTGCTGGACCTCTTTTACACTTTGTCCAGCCTTGTCACCTTGTTTTCATTTAAAAAAAAATTATCTGGAGCAATGTAAGTACAGCTGGCAGAGCATTTGTCTTGCACGTGACCAGCCTGGGTTCAATCCCAGCATCCCGTATGGTCTGCCAAGCTCTGCCAGGTGCACAGAGCCAGGAGTAACCCCTTATCATTGCTAGTTGTGGTCTGGAATCCCCTCCCCCACCACACATACACAAAGCCATTTAAAAAATTCTGTGACTTGCCTTCTCATTCTGTAGTCGGGCCTTGTTGAATAGAAATTTTTATCAGTGAGTAATGATTAACCTTTCTCAGTGCTATTTGAGGAAACCTTCCCTGTCCTCAGATCAGATTCTTATGTGCTGCTTCATGAGCTTCCTCACCTGCCTTTCATTCCTGCAGCCCTGCTGGGCGCTAACTAGGATGTCTGCCCTGGAAGTCAGGACTCAGCCTGTTCCTGTCCCCATGGACGTTCCCAAACTTGTTGTGGAAGTAGCTGCCCTTCCCTGCTCTGCAGAGCTCTGTCCTCCTCCCCGCTTACACAGTCTCTCTTTGTTTCCAGCAGGGCCAAGCAGCTGCGGCAGAGTGAGGGAAGGAGGGAAACAGCTACAAGGGTACAGAGAGATATTTAGTAAGAAGTGGGCATCACTGCCTCTACACATGAGATTATGCACTTAATTTATGGTAGAAATGAGATTCCGATCTGATTCTCTCTGAATTCAAATCCTGTTCTTTCACATCCCTCTCTGCCTCCCGTAAATGTGAGAATGTAGCCTCGGGGGCCCAAGAGAATACAGGGATGGAGGCTTTGCCTTGCATCAACTCACTTGGCTTCGAATCCCTGAGCACTGCTGGGTGTGGTAAAAAACAAAACAAAAACCTCCCCAAAATAATAAGAAAAGACAAATACTGGCCTCAAATTCTGAACTCTGCAGAGAGATTGCATCGTCGAGGGTAAAGTCCAAGGGAATGTCAATGAATGAGAAGTTCATCTTAATAGTTTATTTATGAATAAAGTCCTTGGCTATTTGTTAGCTCTTTTCATTTCTAGCCTATCTTTTCAAAAAATCTCCTTTAATAAACAGACATTTTTTTCTGAAGATAGCCAATTGGCTAGTAGGAGTTTGAAAAAAGTGCTCATCACTGTATTACTGTATCACTGTCCTCCCATTGTTCATCGATTTGCTCGAGCAGGCACCAGTAATGTCTCCATTCATCCCTGACATGTGCTAGTGTAGCCCGATAGCATACTGGGGGCTCTTTCAGGGTCAGGGGAATGAGGACCATTATTGTTACTGTTTTCGGCATATTGAGTATGCCACAGGTAGTGTACCAGGCTCTGCTGTGCGGGCGGGATACTCTCAGTAGCTTGCCAGGCTCTCCGAGAGGGATGGAGGCTTTTGGGGTAGCCTCTAATCACCTTTTCAGGTGTTCCCAGTCAGGCATGTATGCGGAAAGGATACTTTCGGTAGCCCATCGGGTTCTCTGAGAGCAAAAACTAGACAACAAAAGGTCCGTGGCTAGTCTCTGGATCTTGGCCATTGGTGGGATTACACGGCAGTTGGTGGGCGCAACTGTTTAGCTACTGGAAGATGGAGGATCTGGGTGGAAGAGACCCAGTCCTGATCCGAGCAGGCTTGGAGATTTCAGCCCCGGGTCCCGCACACCTGGGTTCCTCTGCCGGTTCCTTCATGCATGAGGCTCGTCTGAGTGTGTAGAGAGTGGTCGCAGCATGGCTGTGGCTGGGTTCCAGAGGTCTTCAGCTGCTGAGGCTCTGCTCGGGGCGGGGAGGGAAACTCAACCTGCCCCCCCTCCCCCCAGTGAGGACAGTCAGGCACGGGGGCAGGAGACTCTGTGTTGTTCTCTTCCAGTAACTTGGTTTTATAGTAAAAGTAAAAGGTAAAGGTAAAGGCCCTCCCGTTGATCGTCGATTTGCTCGAGTGGGCCCAGTAACGTCTCCATTGGAGACTTTGTTGTTACTGTGTCTGGCATATTGAATACTCTCGGTAGCTTGCCAGGCTCTCCGAGAGGGGCGGAGGAATCAAACTCGGGTCGGCCATGTTGGCCGCTTGTAAGGCGAACGCCCTACTGCTGTGCTATCGCTCCAGCCCATAGTAAAAGTACTTATCATAATTTATTACCAGGGAAATCCTAAATAAGACAGTGAGGCATCATCTTCTCGTTCATTGAGTAGAGAGCATCAGCCACACATCATCCACAGTGTAAGAAACGGGCTAGACCTGAAGACTAGCTGCTCCGAGGTCCTCTCCAAGGAACGGGCCAGGGTGACTCTGAGTTTCACGCACGTAAGTCTCTTATACAGCACTTCGATATACTCATCCAAAAGGTTGATGTCAGAAGGTCTTCAAGGCATGGTTAGCACAGAGATGTGTGTGGTATCGCGCAGACTGGTTTGGTAGCCCCTGGAATGAATGTTTTCAAGAAAAATGTAGCAACATGGAGAACACTCAGACATCAAGCATAAAAGTTTCATTCATTTATGTAAAAGCACTGTAAGAAAACCTTCCAAGATGGTGGCAGGCTTGTGGTGATTTCTCTTTTTTTCACTTCTGGTGGTGTCTGGAATCAGACTCATGGGCCTTGTGCTGACTCCCAGCCTCTTCTTTGTTCCCCTGTTAATGGTCTTTATTCCTTTTTTTTATTCCAATTTAATTAAACTTAGAAAACAAAAGCATTTTACAGAGGATGATCCTCTTCACCTGCTGAGATCCCTTGTTTCTGGAGCTGGGGCAGACAGGCAGAGGCACCCCTCAGGGAAGGCAGCAGCAGTGTCTGGACCTCCCAGGGTCCAGCCTGCTTTGTTTGTGTTTTCCAGCCACTCCTGGTAGCCTCTAATCACCTTTTCAGGTGTTCCCAGTCAGGCATGTATGCGGAAAGGATACTTTCGGTAGCCCACCGGGTTCTTTAAGAGCAAAAACTAGACAACAAAAGGTCTGTGGCCCCTCTCCTCTGTGTCCTTGGAAGGGTCCAGGTGTGTGGCCAGCTCTCCTGATGCCAGGCCCAAGAGGACTGAGTGGACCTGAGTGCTGATATGTGGGCAGAGTGTGGGTTGTTGGAGGGTTAGAGGTCCCTCTTGGCCATAGTCTGGGTCTGGGCAGCGCCTCCAGCCTTGCCTGGGGGTCTGGAGTCCCTCAGGGGGGTCTCCTGCCTCTCCGGTTGCCCAGCACCCTTCCCCTCCCACTCCCCTCTACCCCTGGACTCCTGGCTCACTGCCTTTTGCGGTTCACTCTGCCAGTCCCAGGGGAAATGGGTGGGCTGCTGCCCAGGTCAGGGGGCAGTGGATTTCAGGGGCACCTGGCTGCCTGTTTCCTGCAAGTCCCACCCAAGGGCCAGGAGACGTGAGATGGAGGGGATGGGGTCTGTGATCCAGAATGTGCTGAGGGTGGGGACACTAAAGATCCAGCGTGGAGAGTCATCCTTGCAGTTCTCTGAGCCCCAGAGGCAATGTCCCATGTGCCCAGACCTGGGTCCAGTGCAGAGCAGGGGTGCTGGGGAGCAGGGGCGTCAGAAGCTGCGCTGGCCCAGAAGGGGCTTGCTGCCACCACGCCCCCCGCCCCCCCTCCCAGGCCTCCCGGGCAGCCTTGGGGTTCTGGGACCCTGCCCCAAGAGTTTCTCTGAGAATTGAGCCCCGCTCCAGGCTCTGCTCAGGGAGAGAGCCACCGCCGGGCGCTTGTACTATCCTCCTCGGCTACCAGCTCCCCCCAGAACCGCTTGCCACTCGCCTGCTGGCGGGAGTGAGTGGGGCGGGCAGAGGAGCCAGCGCGTCACAGCGCCGCCGGAGCCCAATAGGCGGAGGGGCGGCTCAGGAACACTGAAGTGCCGCCTGCTACTGCCGCACTCTCCCCTCGCAGCCTCCCAAGCCCCTTCCCCGCTCTCCCAGCTCTGAGCCTGCTCTGGGCTCCTGCTGGACCGGCAGGCACTGGGCTCTGTGATGCCCTCACTGCCCCTGCTTCTCCTCCTGCTTCCACTGGCCCGGGCCTCTGAGGAGGGCTCCGGGGTCACCCCTGCGCTGCCCAATGACTCGCACCTCTTCTGGACCAACTACAGCTTCTCGGACTGGCAGAACTTTGTGGGCCAGCGGCGCTACGGGGCCGAGTCCCAGGACCCCAGGGTGAGGGCGCTGCTGGTGGTGGCCTACGCCTTCATCATCGTGCTCTCGCTCTTCGGCAATGCCCTGGTGTGCCATGTCGTCTTCAAGAACCGGCGCATGCACTCGGCCACCAGCCTCTTCATCGTCAACCTGGCAGTGGCCGACATGCTCATCACCCTCCTCAACACGCCCTTCACCTTGGTAAGGGCGTTCAGGCGCCACTCACTGCCCTTCTCTCCTCTTCGCGCCCTTGCCGCCCTGGGGTCGCCCCTAGGCCGTGTGTCTGTCTATCTGTCATCTCCTGCCCCTCTGTGGCACTCTGCTGTCTCAGTCCTCTGGTCTGCCTGTGTTCTTCCTGCCCTCTCCTCTCTCCCCTTCCCTCTCCCCTGCCCTCTCCCATCCCCTCACCTCTGTCCCCTGCCCTCTCCCCTTTTCCCCTCATCTACCCTCTCACACCCCCCTATCACCTCACCTCCCCTTCCCACCCCCCCTGCCAGCACCTCTGCAGCTGGTGTCTGCTGCTGCTGTGCCTGAGTGACCAGCCCTGTGGGTGGACATGGCAGCAGAGTGGCCCCTTGCACAATGAGCTTGTGTGCACCATGGCCTCGCTGCCACCCAGGACCCTGCATACCTCCTCAGCCTCTCCTCCATGGGGAAACGCCCAGAAGCCGCATGTGCGGCTGAGCCCACCTGATCCAGCCCGGCCATTTGTGACAGGCAGCTGCTTGTGGCTGGTGGGCTGCTGAGGGCCCGACCCAGGACACGCGCACAGGCCTGTGCTCCTGCAGCTCCGCTGGGCTTCAGCTCTGTGGCCTGGAAGCTTCGGGCTCTTCAAGCCTCTTTGGGGCAAGACTTTCAAAAAAGAAAGTCCTTTGGTTTGGGGCCACTCCTGGAAGTGCTCAGGTGCTCCTGGCTCTGCACTTGGGACTCACTCCTGGTGGTGCTCTGGGGACCACATGGGGTGCCGGGGATTGAACCTGGGTTGGCCGAGTGCCAGGCAAGTGCCCTACCCACTGGACTATACTGCCCCATGGGCTGGAATTTCCCCAGAGCTGTATCTTCCACCCTGTGCCCCTGTTTTCCTCCCTCTGTCTCTGTCTCTGTCTCTGTCTCTGTGTCTCTCTGTCTCTGTCTCTGTCTCTGTGTATCTCTGTCTCTGTCTCTGGGTCTCTCTGTGTTCCTGTGTCTCTGTCTGTGTCTCTGTCTCTGTGTCTCTGTCTCTGTGTCTCCGTCTTTGTGTCTCTGTCTCTGTGTCTCTCTGTTTTTGTCTCTCTGTCTCTGTCTCTTTGTGTCTCTGTGTCTCTGTCTCTCTGTCTGTCTCTCTATGTCTCTGTGTCTCTGTCAGTCTCTGTCTCTGTCTCTGTGTCTCTGTCTCTTTCTATCATTCTCTGTCTCTCTGTCTCTGTCTCTCTATGTCTCTGTGTCTCTGTGTCTCTGTCAGTCTCTGTCTCTGTCTCTGTGTCTCTGTCTCTTTCTAGCATTCTCTGTATCTCTGTATCTGTGTCTCTGTCTCTATCTCTGTATCTCTGTCTGTCTCTCTGTTTCTCTGTTTCTGTCTGTCTCTGTGTCTCTGTTTCTGTCGCTCTGTCTGTGTCTGTCTCTATCTCTCTGTCTCTCTGTCTCTTTCGCTCTCCCATCACTTGCAGGGGGTGGGTGGTGGAGGGAGAGAGGGTATGGGGCAGAGGTGAGGAGAGAACAGAAGGCACGAGGAAAGGGTGTACGCCCCTCACTCTCTCTCGAGCACCCTCACCCTCTGCGGAGGAGCGGACTGAAGCTCAGGGAGGCCAGAGCCGTGTCCAGGTTGTGGTCAATCCCTGCAGGACCATGTGAGGTACCCCTGCCCTGGCCTCAGCCCTGCAGGGGTGGGGGCACTGCTGGGCCATGCCAGGTGGCTTCCTGGGGCTGCTGGGTGCAGGGGACAGACCATGGACAGGTCGTGGCACTGCCCGCCTACTGCTCAGGAGTGGCCTCTCTGGCTGGGCTGTGTGTCCTGACTGCGGGTCCCTCCAGGCCCGCTTTGTGAACAGCACGTGGGTGTCCGGGAAGGCCATGTGTCACGTCAGCCGCTTCGCCCAGTACTGCTCCCTGCACGTGTCTGCACTGACGCTGACGGCCATCGCCCTGGACCGCCACCAGGTGAGCCCCTGCTCCCCAGGAGACCCACACCAGTCTGGCGGGGGCAGGGCTGTGCCCACCACCACCACGGGGCCTCGGGAGCAAGTGTGCTTGTCTGGGCTCCCCCAAAACCTGCAAACACGGCAGAGAGACCATTCCTGTGGGGTCAGGTCCATCTGTCTGTCCAGCCCAGCCTGGAGCCATGCTCTAAGGGAGAAGCCTGCAGGCAGGTGGCATGGGGGCTGCCCCAAATGGGGGATGTGTACATGCTGGAGTCCTGGGGCCACGGCAGAGGGCCCAGGGCTGCCTTCTGTGCCTCATTACCACCTCACAACTGGCCTCTCTGCTGCTTGGGTCACCACCTCCCATTCAACCAGGAAAGTGGGAAGAAAAACCACTATGTCCTGGGCACGCTGAGACTCCCCCGGCCAAAGGCCGTCTCCCAGGATCAGGGTCTGACGGCACAGGCGGTGCTCTTGGGCCTCCTGGATGGAGGGTGACAGCTGAGTCAGCTGGGGGGACCCTTCCCGGAGATGGCTGTCAGCTGCCTTCACTGATGTATCTCTCTCTGCACCGGGCACAGACCAGAGCCAGGCCGGTTCCTCGCCAGCATTTCTGGGGTTCGAGCCACAGACTCGCTCCTTGCCCCCTCCTCTCGCTGCTTCCTGCCCTGCCAGCCAGGAATACGGGGTTGGGGGGGGGGGGGCGCATAGTGGACCTGCGGGGGTCCTCGCACGTTTCTTCTGTACAGGGTCTGTCCTTGCAGGTGATCATGCATCCGCTGAAACCCCGGATCTCCACCACCAGGGGGCTGGTCTACATCGTGGTCATCTGGGCCATGGCTGCCGCCTTCTCACTCCCCCACGCCATCTGCCAGAAGCTGTTCACCTTCAGGTACAGGTGAGCGTGGCCAGCTGCCCCCTCCCCCCCCCCCCCCCCCCCCGCCCCGGGCTCTGCTCTCAGTGCCACTAGGTCTTCACTGGATCTGACCCTCTTGGCTCCCTCTGCTTGTCAGGGCGGCAGTGGAAGCTTTTGTCGCCCAGACAGACTGAATCACCCAGACACCGTGTGGACTGACGGGGGTGATTAACTCCCTCACTCAGTCGGCAAACACGCGGCTCTGTGGCTGTGTCTGCGGGGCCTCTGCCTCCCACCTCCAGTGGAGGCTTCTTCTTCACACGCTTCCGGGGAATGACTTTTCTTTGCAAGCGCTCAGTTTTATGAGTCTCAGCGCTGCTGTGTGCTGGGAGTCTGTCAGAGGCTGCACTCTCCTGCACGAGAAACAAGCCTTCTGGTTCTCCTGGCTCTAGGTCGCCAGAGCCTTAATCACTGCCTCTGTTTAATGAGCCCCGGGTCCTTATGGACAAATGGTGGACAGACATGCGGGAGGATGGGCAGAGGCATGTGGGACAGACAGATGGGCGAGTGGATGGGTGCGTGGATGGATGGTTGGTGTCGGATTGAGTGGGTGGACGGATGATTGGTGGGTGGACGGAGCAGGAGGGCTGGGGATGGACGGAGGCCATGCCAGGGCAGGAGGACTCTGCCCTAAGCATACTCTGCCCCTTCTCTCTGTTTCCGGCCCTGACCCCGGCTCCAGTGAGGACATCGTCCGTTCCCTCTGCCTGCCAGACTTCCCTGAGCCCGCGGACCTCTTCTGGAAGTACCTGGACCTGGCTACTTTTGTCCTCCTCTACCTCCTGCCCCTGCTCATCATCTCCGTGGCCTACGCTCGGGTGGCCAAGAAGCTGTGGCACTGCAACACCATCGGCGACGTGACCACGGAGCAGTACCTGGCCCTGAGGCGCAAGAAGAAGACCACCATCAAGATGCTGACGCTCGTGGTGGTCCTCTTTGCCCTCTGCTGGTTCCCTCTGAACTGCTACGTGCTGCTGCTGTCCAGCAAGGTGGTCCGCACCAACAATGGCCTCTACTTCGCCTTCCACTGGCTCGCCACGAGCAGCACCTGCTATAACCCCTTCATCTACTGCTGGCTCAACGAGAGCTTCCGGCTCGAGCTGAAGGCGCTGCTGCGGCCGTGCCAGAGGCCTCCCCGGCCACCCTCCCCGCTCCCGCCTTCCAGGCTGGCCTGGACTGAGAAGGCGCCCGGCCACAGGGCACCCCCTGCCAGCCAGCTCCACTCTGCCCAGCCGCAGTGCGGGAAGACAGATCTGTTGTCTGTGGAGCCCGTCGTGACTGTGAGTTAGGAGGACGCGGGGGATGAGGGCTCGAGAGGCTGGTCCTTGCTCACGGCTTTTACGTGCTGCATCTGGCCCACTCAGCGCCAGCACCAGACATGAATCCCAGATGCTGGCTGTGCCCCATGCGCCTGAGCAGAGAAGTCCGGTCCCGGCCCCGTGTGCCAGAGGAACCCATCCTTGGCGTGGCTGCCCGTGTGTGGGAGGGCCATAGGGAGAGCCAGGAACGCTCATAAAAGTGCCAAGAGGGAAAGAAAACCCTCTGAAGGCTTGGGGGCCATGGGGGAGGGGAGAGGCCCAGGTCAGCACCGGACTGTCGAGACGTAGCACTCCTGAGCAGGGCCCGGCCAACACCTCCCTCTTCTCTCGGACCAGCTCAGAGCGTGGCACAGAGACACCCGTGTCTCCAGAGTTGGGGCGGGCCCTTTCTCAGTGTCCACAGGCACTGAGCGAGTGTGCGCATGCATCTCTGCAGTCCAGAGTGCCGGGCTGGAGGAACAAGCTCCAGTGCAACAGGAAGGTGCTGCCTTCTGAACGCCCGGGCTGAGAGGCTGTGGTGTCCGTGGTGCAGGAGGTGGCAGGACTCCACCTGACAGCCCGAGACAGCCCCATCAGCGCTGGCCCTCCCGGCAGCTGAGGCCCAGGCATGTGTCCCCAGCGCCAACCCTGCATGTGCTCAAGTCTCAATAAACATCTGTGGAGTGTGGCCGTGTCAGAGGGTCTGTGTGGCTCGGACGGCGTGGGCACCGTACCCGCACCCTGGCCCCTCTGAACTGACCATGGCCTCGGGCTCTGCTCTCCATCAGTTCCTAGCGCCTCTGGTAGTGTGCTGGGTCCCACTTCCTGGCGACCCTGGACGCCTTCCCCAAGGCCCCTCACTGCACTCGGGCCTTGTGCCAAGGCCTTGGCCATCAGACAGTTTGGGGAACAGTCAGAAGGTCGGAAGGTGGAGCGGAAGAGGGCTGCAGAGCGTGGGCCCCACCGCAGGCCCCTGAGAGCTGCGAGTCCCTCAGACAACAGGGGCTCCCAGGGAGGGCCCCGAAACCCTCTGGGTGGGCAGAAACCCCGAGTGACCCCTGCAAGCCCACCCTGCGCCAGGGTCCCGCAGCCCCCGCACTGCATGGGGGCTGCCTCTCCCCAGTGCCAGCTGCAAAGACCCCTCTGTCCAGTCTGCCCTGCCCTCCTGCCGGAAGGTGCCCTTAGACAGAGCCCAAGGGAGGCCCTGGGTGCATCTGCTCCTCTCCCAGCCCTGCAGCTCAGGGCTGGCACCAGGGTGGACACCGTGGTCAGCATGTGGCCCTGGGCAGGTGGGTTCACAGGTGCCTCTTCTCTGATAAAATTAACAGAGACTTTGTCAAAGACAGAGACTAGGCTGGGGCTCAGGTTCTTGCCTTGCATGGAGCCAACCCAGGCTCCAGCCCACCAGGAGTGATCTCTGAGCACAGAGCCAGGTACGTGCTGAGCACCACCAAGTGAGCATCGGGGGTGTGTCAGCGGAAAGTTTGCTCCTTCAGCCCAAGCTGAAGCTCCCCCAGATTTCCGATTCGCCCTTCCATGTCTGTTAAGTACAAGCGAAGACTGAAAAACTGATTGACTCAGATTGTGAGGACTTGGTTCAAAAATCATATGGACAGCTGAGTGATTAAGAAAGGGGTGGGGGCCCAGGGCCCAGGGCCTCATTGGTGCGGGTCTGGGCAGTCTGAACAAGGAGGACAGGACCTGTCTCACACTGAGACAGTCGGATTGTGACCTCAGGAGCCATGTGGCCTCTGACAGAAGCTCAGCGAGGTACCGGCCCACCTGCATCCACCCAACAGTTGCCCTGCTCTCGGGGTCCAGAACATAATAAGGATCTACTGACCGGGGCCAGCGGAACCTGGATAGCTGCTGCTTCTGTGCTGCCCCGTGGCTGTTGGTCAGAGGACACTCACGCTGGGTGCAGGCTGACGTGAGGATGCAGAGGGCAGATGATGCTGCAGCTTCACAGGAGCCCAAAGGGTGCCCAGCTAGGAGGAGGCACGGATGCAAGCCACCCACAGCCTTTCTCCAATTGTTCCATCAAGGGCACCAGGGTTGGGGCTGGAGTCATGCACAGCGGGTAGGGCGCTTGCCTTGCACACGGCTGACACAGGTTTGATTCCCAGCATCCCACATGGTCCCCTGAGCAGCACCAGGAGTAATTCCAGAGCCAGGAGTAATCCCTGTGCATCGCCGGGTATGACCCAAAAAGAAAAAAAAAAGGGCACCGGCCAGGCTTTGGGGCCTCAGTCCTTGGTGACGTGTATTCCCACTCCGCTACCCTCCCCCACTTGTTATTTTTACTAGCAGCAGCCTGGGCTGGAAAGTGAGGGCTGAATCACTGCCACCAGCCGGGCGTGAGAGAAGCAGCCATTTCCACGAAGGGTGCGACAAGTCTTTTGAAATAACATTTCATTTCATTTCACACTTTCAAAAATGACGGAGGCAGCGATTAGGTGGGACAGAGGAGAGCTGCTCCGGGCGGCAGCTGATGGGTGCTGGGCTCAGGCAGAGGCTTGGGTCCACCCCTCTGTGCTCCTGGACAGCTGCACTCATCTCTTCGAGCCTCGGTATCCTCATCTGCGCAGGGGCAGGCTGGGGACAGAGAGGACAGCAGGTGGGCAACTCACCCTGCATGTGGCCGACCCAGGTTTATCCCCAGCACCCCATAGGGTTCCTTGTGCCCGCCAGGAGTGATCCCTGAGCACGGAGCCAGGAGTCATCTCTGAGCACCACCAGGCATGACCTCCAAACGGGGATTCAGGCTAATGGGTACAAGCTTGCCCCTTTGCTCCTGTCTGTCCACGGGAGGGAGCCCTGGCAGAGCAAGGGCGGGTGGGCCTGCTCTGCTGGAACGTTCCTGCTCTGCTCAAGAAGATGGTTGCCCAGGGGCTGGAGCAATAGCACAGGGGTACGGCGTTTGCCTTGCACGCGGCCAACCCGGGTTCAATTCCCAGCATCCCATATGGTCCCCTGAGCACCGCCAGGGGTAATTCCTTAGTGCAGAGCCAGGAGTGACCCCTGTGCATCGCTGGGCGTGACCCAAAAAGCAAAAAAAAAAAAAAAAGAAGAAGAAGATGGCTGCCCAGTGTGACTCTCCCAGTCTGTGTCCACCTGCAGGCTGTGGTTTGGGGGGCTGGTCACTTTGTCCAGGGCCCTCCAAGTGAATAGGTGTGAGGGACTGGTGAATTCTGACCTTGGGGTAGACCCTCCTGGACTTTCTCTCTCTCCTTTCACTCTTCCGAGCCCCCCGCTCCACAGTGTTGGTGCCTGCGAATGTTCAGCCGAACCTCTTTCCATCCTTCACACTGAGCTAAGCCCTTGGACAGCAGGTTCGTGGCAGGCTGAGGAGCTTCTCCTGCCAGGAGGTGAAGCAACTGCCTGCCCACCACCAAGTCCCCGGGCCTGTGCCTCCAGGGCTCCCAGCTGGCCGAATTGTGACATCACACCATGACCGAGTCCAGGCCTAGCCCCCAGCTCACCCACTGGGCTGAAGCAGTGTCCTCTCTGCCTGCAGCATCTCCCTGTGACACCGGTCAGCCACTCCTGTCCCGCAGGAGACTCCAGGGGTCCAGACTGCGCTGGCAGATTCAGCAGATAAACGCTCCCAGAGGCCGTGGCTTCCTCTGTGCTGTCCCTTTGTGATGATGTGACAGGGACACTGCAGTCCCTGCCTTTGTGCTTCCTACCAGGGGCTCAGAGTTGGATGTAAATGGCCCAGTGTGCGAAGAAGGACCAGGGACAGATGTAACCTCCATGCTTGGGTCAGTTCCAGCAGAAAGCAGGACCCCTGGAAGCCCCGTTCTGCCCCCGCTGCCCATAGGCCCCTGCCTCCATGTGCATGTGAGCAGATGGTCGTGACAGGTGCACAACACAAGCCTCGAACCCGGACCATAAAGTGTCCTCTGCGGGGCAGGCTCGAGGTCGCCCATTGGGTTGGGTGCAGGGATGCCTGCAGGTTCTGGAAGCCTGACAGAGCAGTTCCAGCTCACCGGGCTCGGTGAGTGGGGGGCAGGGGGGCACATCTCCTCAGCAGCCTCTTCCTGCAGGCCCGCGGTACGGCCCACGCACCAAACTAAGGTCAACTGAAAGTGAGAATTTGGACTCTCCACTAGGCATTCTGTGCACTGTGGGGTTTTGAAAACCAAGTGAGTCACATTTTCTCCAAGGCCAAGTGTCTCTTACCCTTGTTTACCGATTACTTTCTTTTGTTATGCTGGAAATTTCCTCCCAGCAGCTGGTTCGATCGATGGTCCTCCTGGTCGGAGCACAGGAGGGGGCCAGGAGGTTGGGGCTGTAGGGGAAGCAGTTAGTCATCTGCGTGTGCAGTGAGCAGAGCTCAGTAAGCGTCCGTTCATGCTGGTGCCTGTGGGTGTGGCTGGGAGCCGGGCAGAGGGAGTGAGGGGAGCGTGTGGGTGGCTGTGCCACCTCAGAATTCTGGCGGAAATTCCCTTCTTCGAGTCCCTGCGACTGTGCAGCGCCTGCTTCCAGGCAGCTGTGTTCACCCCAGAAGCAGAAGCCCAGCGCCTGTTGCCCATGTCCACGGCCCTGCAGTTGTGACAGGTGAGATGGTGAAGGCTAGGAACGGAGGCTGGCTGGTTGGTGGAGCCTAGGACCGTGCGACCCTGGATCAGATGGGCAGCTATTCCTCAGGACCCCAGACTCTGGATGGTCCCACCCAGACACATGTCCTAAAGTGCTGCTGTGTGATGGCGAAGGGAGGTGTTGGGGCCCTGGAGCACAGAGAGACCCTGCTCCTGCCCTGCCATGTGAGGCTGCCACAGGAACATGCCACCGGGGAGAAAAGGGCTCCTCTGACCCTTGGTGCGTGGGTGCCATCTGTTGACAGCCCATCCCGGGGGGCCCAGACAGGAGTCAGTCACAGCCAACAAGACAGGAGAGTTACTGCACCACATGCACATGCATGCACACGCACACATACACACACACATGCACACACATATGCATGCACATGCACACACACACACACACACACACACACACACAAATGCACAGGAACCAGACAGAGCAGGTCAGCAGGCGCAGCCTCGGGGGGCAGGGCCTGTCTCTAGGATGAAGCTAATACCACGTGCTCTTGAGTCTGCTTGAGAGAGAAGCCTGTTCCTGTTGCCATCTGTGGGACAGACTCGGGGAGCTTGGTGAGGGGTGCTCAGGGGGTCAGCAGAGACAGAGGTTAGGTGCTGTGCCAGTTCTCAAAGCAGCATCCAGACCATCCACAGCCAGCTCCACCCGGCGCTTGGCACTGGGGAGCTGTCCAGGTGGGAGACTCTAGTTTGCCCATGAGAGGTTGAGTGTGAGCTAGCCATGGCCAGGGGTACTACCTGGGTGTCATTCATCGGCTCCGTTGGCGGGAACACGGCTGGCTCCCGGTGGGTTAAGGCTGGGGAGAGGAGGTGACGGCCCTACAGTGTCGTGTGAGCACCAGGACACGGCCAAGAGAACAACAGTGCCGCCCGCCTTGTTGACCACCGTGGAGCTTCCCACAGCATCTGCACGGAGGCTGCTGGCTTCACATCGACACTGACCACTGCCCTGGCTTGGGAGCCCTGCCAGGCCCCAGGCCTGAGGAATATGCCCTGGGGGTAGCAGGCTGGGGCAGACTGGGGCAGCAGGGCCAACGCCATGCGAGCTACATGCTTGTGGATGTGGGTGGCTCCAGGCCACCATGTGTGGGCATGGGGGTCCATGTTGGGATTCGGACCAGGCGGGCACTTCCGGGGCCCCATCCCTGTGCCCTGGCTCTGTCCTGGCCTTCGATGGGCGCTCACTCACAGACCCTGGGGAGGAGCAGTCTCCATAGGGGTTAGCGCCTGGCCGTAGATGTGCCCCGGGTCTCCCCGCCCACAGAGCGGGCAGCCTCTGAAGCCCACTGGCCTTGGAGGTGCTGCTGTGGTCAGCATGCTGAGGGAATGGCCGCTGTCCTCGGGGGCGTGTCTTTGTTGGGTGCCATGAGCCCCCTCTCTGCTGCCCCGACTATGCCCCAGGGCCAGCCACTCTGTCTGGGCCTGTGGCAGCAGTGAGGACCCGACCCTGCGCACCGTCCTTCAGCAGCCTCTGCCCTGCCCACCGGGTCAGTGTCCACCTGGGGGTTAGCTAGAACCTTTACTCAGAGGCTGAGGTGGATTCCACACTGCGTTTCCCCTAGAAGGTGCAGCTCCCTCCTGACTCAGACCAAGGCCCAGAGCTCCTGACCCAGGTCTCGGTCCTCCTGGGGGAACTTCCTCTCTCTCAGACCAGCCCCTGTGCAGAGATGGTGAGTCTCAGGGGCCGGGCAGTGGGACAGACAGCCAGTGACCCTGTGGGCAGGAATCCAACAGAGCCAAGACAGTCAAGGAGAGAGGGAGATGAGAGAGGAAGAGAGAGAGAAATAGAGAGGAGAGGGAGAGAGGAGAGGAGAGAGGGAGGGGGAGAGAGAGAGGAAGGTAGAGAGACGGAGAGAGAGAGACAGAGAGAGGAAGAGAGAGGAGAGGGAGAGAGAGAGAGAGAGGAGGAGAGAGAGGGAGAGAGACAGAGACAGAGGAGAAGGAGAGAGAGAGGGAGAGAGACAGAGACTGAGAGGGAGATATAGAGACAGAGAGGAGAAGGAGACAGGGAGGGAGGGCGGAAGGGAGGGAGGGGGAGAGAGAGAGAGAGAGAGAGAGAGAGAGAGAGAGAGAGAGAGAGAGAGAGAGAGAGTGGGGAGAGCGCTGCATGGCCACAGTAGCTCCTTGCGTATGCAGGGTCCTGGCAGCTGACAGACCAGTGGCTCCCCCAGCAGCAGTCAGTGAGGCAAGGGCCCGAGGGAAGAGTGGGGGTGCAAGGAGTGGACTGCAGGGCCTAGCTGTGAGCACGGGCCATGGGGGGCTTCCAGGAGGATGAGGCAGCTCTGGGGCCTTTACACACAGACAACCCAGGGCGAGGCGTGTATGAGGCAGGCATGTATGAGGGCTCCCAGCCCCAGCTGGACGGGGAGGGACAGGCCTCAGGGCGCCCTGTAGTGTGCTGGGGAGCGGCGGCATGCGGTTTCCTCAGAGGTGAGGGTGCTGCTGCCTCTGACCCTCAGGAAGGGCATTGGGCACACCTTCCTCCCGTCACAGAGCCGGGCCCACCCCACTGCTGGTCACCCTTACAGTCCTCAGCCAGGACTCAGGGCCTGCCGCCTTCCTGTCTCAGGTAAACCCCAGCCTGACTGTGCCCCCACGAGCCTTACTGCAGCCAGTGCTCCAGCACCCACCCAGCTGTGCTCGTCCACACGTGGGACAGTTTCCCCCCTTGAGCAAGATTCCAGTGGCCTCGACGGCCACATGTGGTTCCTCTTCATGCCCCCCAGAAGCGAAGTTTCTCACCCAAAGCCTCCCTGGGGCACCCAGAACCCTGTCCCTGTGGCCAGTTAAGAGGAGGACGGCACCCAGCCCTCGAGGGGACAGCAGCAGCCCATTAGGCCCCTCTGGGGACCCCTAGATTAGAGGGCAAAGATTGCTCAGAGGCAAAAAGCAGCCTGAAAAGCAAACACCGTTAGATCTTCAGTGCAATTTAAGGAGCTGCCACAAACCAAGAACCAACAGCTGTGGGCAACAGGGATGAGCGAGTGACTGCCGGGGGCCAAAGGAGTATTGTCAAGAGGAAGAGAATGGAGGAGTGGGGACAAGTCACACTCAGAGCCACCCTTTGGGATGGCTTTGGAGTCTGCAGACCCTCTGCCCCAAGGCTTGCCTGGGCGGCTTGAGGCCACGTCCATCCCCTTACACTCCCCTGGGGGTCTTTGTCTGGGGGTCTCCCGCCTCTCTGTTCTAAACCCTGTGCTTCTGACTCTTCCAGGATGTGGGGGTGACAGGAGCCCCTGGGAAAGTATGCCTGCTCTGTCTGCCCCCACTAGCCTGGTGTCCATCATCAGGGCCTCCACCTAGCCAGTCCTTAAAAACCACACCTGCACGAGGCCACTTTGCTGCAGGTGAGGTCACTGGAGGCCTGCCCGCACTGCTCCACCCCCGCCCCCTGGGCTGGCCTGTCCTTCCCTCAGTGAAGTTCTCTGGGGGGTCAAACCCAATTCCAGAGGCTGCCTCGGGGCCCCAGGGTCAGCCGGTCCTTGAGGACCATCTGTAGGGACTCGGGTTCTGCTTCTGGGCAGGACACTTCTGGCCTCTGCAGTCAACGGTGAGGGTGTGAGTTGGGGGGCTGGGCGGGACCAGCGAAGTGAGCCGGGAGCAAGGGGCATAGGGTTTTGGAATGCATTCAGGTTCTGGAAGGTTCTGGTGAGTGGGAACTGATGCCCCCCTCCCCAGCCCTTTCCTCTCGGGTCCTGTAAGCCGCTCTGGCCATCTTCTGGCTGGTCATAGTGCGCCTCCTAGAGGTGGCTCGGGGAGGTGCAGGGTGCCAGGGTCAGCTCAGGGCACAGGTCCAGCGGCTCAGGGCCACAGCAGCAAGGACAGCACGAGGGGCAGCATCGCGGCCGGGGGCATTGGCGGGGCAGCGCGGGGTCCAGCAGGGTCAGTCAGGCGGTGTGCCACGTCGTCGTTGGGGTTGGCCAGACCCGGCTGGAACCACTTGCGGAGGCAGCGGCCACTGGTCCGGAGCTCGGGGCTGGCCCTGAAGGCACCATCCCACACCCCCGCACACAGGAGGGCAGGCGTAGGGAAGATGGCGGGGAAGGGCCGGCAGGGTGCCCCTGCTGGGCAGCGGCTTCGGCCTGAGGACAGAGGGGCGGTCAGCGTGGCCATGGCCACCCTCCACCCAACCCCCAGCAACGCTCACCCCTGCTCCAGTGCCAGCCGCCGCTGTGCCAGTGGGACCTGCAGGTGAGGGCCGTCCGGCAGTCCTGCCACCACTGCTCACAGTCCTCTCGGCACAGGGGGACGGCCAGCACACGCTGACCACCGCCTGGGGCCTGCGGGGGGGTGGACAGGGACACTGTACTGACCGGCACCCACCCTCCAGTCCCCCACTGTCCGGCACTGGCTCCCATGCACTCGAGGCGTGCCCTCCATCACCCGCCCTCAGTCAGGTGGCCCTGGCTGGCCTCCCGCGCACCTTTCGCACCCAGGGCCCCAGGTTGGGTGAACACTCGTAGAAGCAGGCCGCCCGAGCAAAGTGCCGCTGGCAGGCAGGCGGGAGCAGCCCGCAGTGGGAGAAGCTGAAGTTGTAGAGCTGGGAGCCGTCCAGGTGGGCGCTGAAGGAGGTTTCGGCCGAGCAGCAGGCCCTGGGCTCCCAGGGGGCACACTGGGAACACGGGGCCATGTCCACCCCTCACAGACACAGCTGTGCAGGGGCAGGTGGCAGTTCCCCTCCCCCCAGCCCATGCCACAGAACTCTGGGCAGTGGGCAGGGATATCGAAGGGTGCTGGATGCACTGGTCAGGAGGGTCGCTAGGACTCACCTGCTTGCAGGACCAGTCAGCACCAACGACATGGGCACTGAGGCCAGGGGCCCCCCTCTCCAGCACCCCGGCACTGCCCGGGCACCTGGGCCCCTGCCCTGAGGGCCACCCAGCCCAGGGCCGCCTCATACCTCCTGGAACAGCTCTTTCTCGGGGCTCGGCTCGGCCTTGTGGTGTGGGCCCTGCAAACAGACGTCCTGCGCCCCAGTCCCGGCCCACATGGCCGCCACCAACAAAAGCCCACACCAGGCCACAGGCCCGGCTGTTCCGGAAGCACTCATGGGCCCTTGCTGGGTGCTCCTCTGTGTCCTGGGCTTCGGCCTCTAGCTGGCCTCTCTGCTGTGTCCTGGGCAGCAGGCAGCGGGAGAACTCAGCGGGGCTCGGGTGCAGAGACCCCAGAGTCCAGGCTGAGGATGTGTGGACACTCCCAGCCCCCAGCCCAGACCCTGACCCAGAGATGGGGGCCTAGGGGGCGGTCCCCCCCCCCCCCCCCCCCCGCTCTGCTGAGAAGCAGCTCCGCACATACTAGGGTGAGGGACACTGGGTGGGGACAGGCACCAGCCCCAAGGCCCGGTCCTGCACCCCTTCCCTGTCCCTCAGATGGCACAAGCTCTGTGTCCAGCAGCCCCCTCCCGTAGGCCCTCACACGGGGCTCCCAGAGCACTGTCTGGGCCAGGCTTCAGGGAGGCCCCAGCTGGAGCACCCCCAGAACGGGGCCAGGCCTGCACCCAGCTGGACATGTCGTCAGCCCTCAGCAGACAGGTGGGGCCGCAGCCCTGACTCACCTTCACTTGCTCCTGGGTGCGTGGGGAACTGGGAGCTCTCCAGCCTTTATCTGCAGGCCCAGGTGTCGCCCATCACCCCAGGGCGGAGCGCATGGCAACTGGGGCCTTCCGTGGGCTCCCAGGTGGATGGTGGGTGCTGCGGCTGGCAGAGAGGTCCAGAGGGAGAACAAGCGGTGAGTGTCCATACTCCATGCTTCCCGGGTGGCGTTTCTTGGCCGAGGGGGCCTTGGGGGTCGGGGCAAAAGGTGGGCTCACCCCCAGCTGCTCCAGAGCCCCTCCAGGCCTAGGAGACTGGCTTGGCACGGGGTCTCTGCTCACCTACTCCTTCAGAGGTTGCCAAGTCCCAGCTGGACATGTGGCGGGTGGTGGACACTCGCACTGACCCAGTAGCAGTGGCTTATTGGGCTTCTGCGATGAGACTTGCTTCCATGGGAGTCTGCAGGACGGGCCCTCAGGTGGGGTCGGGCACTGTGGGGGGCACACCAAGCCCTCCTTGCATCACTGTACGGCCATAGGCAGGGATGGACAATGGGGTGTCCTGAGAGATGCCGCTGGGGGCTGTTTCCACCTGGCGGCTTTGCCTCGAGTCTGAGCAGGGCTGGGGCGTGAGGGACTTGGGGGGGAGCTGCGGAGGGTAAGGTAGAGACAGGACCTGCGGGTGCAGGCACAGAAGTGGGCTTTCTGGGCACAGAAGGGATGGCTCTGGGCCCGCGATGGAGCAGCTGGCACTGGCAGCTCTCCCCACACCGCCAGGTGCCAAGAGCTCACAGACGGCTCCTTTGCTTAAGTTGGTCTCGAAGGGGGCGCTAATGGCTCCATGCTCAGGGAATCCAGTTCACAGAACAGCAATTCTAATGAGCTAAGTGACTCCTCTGGCTTCAGCTGCTGTCCTTGGAGTGTCGGGTCACCATGGAGACGAGCCTGGTGTGCAGCCAGGGCTTCCTGCCATGCTGGTCTCAGGCTTGGCTCCACACCAAGCAGCCCTTCTCGTGTCCATGGCACCTGCGGGAGGCTGGGGGGCAGGAGGTTCTGGGCCATTTATCCTTCTGTGAAGAGGCACATACGGCTGTGGCTCTATCCGGCCAGAGCCCGGTCCCCGAGCCCTACACGTGCCCTGGGCAGACAGCTCCAGGGGCTTTAGGCTTTGCCTCTGCTATGAGCTGATGGGAACCATGGCGAATTGTTTAAGGGACAGTTAGAGATGGGAGTGGGGAGCGACTCACCCAGCCCGGCTGGGGGTGTTAGCCTGTTGGTCTCTGATGTCTTGGGGGGATTCAGCGTCCCTTGGACATTCTGATGCAAGGTGCTGACAGCTGCTGTGTGGTCTGGGGGTGGCTGAGCCTTGGGGTTCCGGGGGTCAATCTGTGAGGACTCAGAGCCTGCCTTCTACCTCCCAGCCCTATCCCTTCCTCTGACACTGGAAAGGTGTCCACATCCTAACTTGGGCTGGTCACTGCAGATAACACAGGTGGGGATAGCGCTTTAAGAGTGGCCAGGGGGGCCCCAACAGCTCTCCCCCTAGCCGCCCATGTTCGGAGTGGGCCTGGGCCGCTCCCCCAGCTGGGATGGCCCGGGCCCTGGGGCAACGGTGGAGGAAACAAGGGCCAAGCCAGTTGACTGATCAGATGCCGTTTATTTGATTCTCATCCCTGTTCATTCCTGTCTCTCTCTCTCTCTCTCTTCTTTCAGAGCCCCGATCTGAAACCCCTCTTTCCTCCTGGCTCTGACTCTGGATCTCGATCCTGATATTCTCTCTCCTCCAGCCCACTCTTACAGACTAGTTAAATCCCCAACTAGAGGGGCTGGGCTTACACACAGGTGTGGTCACAATCAATAGGCTTAAAGTTCTTCCCCTCAGGGGATGCTACTAGGACAGGTTCTCTTTCAGCAGGACCACCCACCCAAGGGTGGAATCCCATGGGTGTGTTCCTCCTCTCCTTGTCCAACAAACATATAATCATTCATAATATTAATCATTTTGTATGGACACAGTAAGAGATACATTAAGCTTATACAATTGCTGTCCTGAGGTCATCCCGATCTCAGACTACAGTGCTCAGGCCAGATTAGTCTTTCCTATCCCTAGCTAAGTCCTAGTATCGTTGTTACATTTGGATCATGACAGCATTTGTCATGATCAAGCTCTTAACTTATAATTAAGGACTGTGGCGCTTTGGCCAGGCCCATCTCAATGCCAGGGTAGCATATAGCTTACCGGTCGCCCTGGTTCCATCCAGTCCCTTGTCGGGACCTTGCTTTTGGGGGTGCTAGGAAATGAGGGCAACTGAGGCTTAAGTTGAGAAAGCAGATGCCCGGGAATGAATACTATTCGAAGCCAACTAAATCCTAAGTTACAAAAGCATAATATTTTCTTCTTGTGCTGATACAAAAGGACATTGCTTTAAAGTAAACTATTCAAAAGACATAAGGAGAGGAGAAAGGCAATATTAACTTGTAAGTTCAGTGGCTGGAGCGATAGCACAGCGGTAGGGCGTCTGCCTTGCACGCAGCCAACATGGCCGACCCGAGTTCGATTCCTCCGCCCCTCTCAGAGAGCCCGGCAAGCTACCGAGAGTATCTCGCCCACACGGCAGAGCCTGGCAAGCTCCCAGTGACGTATTCGATATGCCAGACACAGTAACAACAAAGTCTCCAATTGAGACGTTACTGGGCCCGCTTGAGCAAATCGACGAACAATGGGAGGACAGTGACAGTGATAAGTTCAGTGTCCTAGAAAGATCTAACCTTACAAATTAACAGAAACTGATTAGGGGAATAAGCTGATCAACTGTTTGGGGAAGAGAGCATAGAGAAGTAGTTACAAATAAACAAAAGAATGGGAGTGACTTGGGAGCACTGGGATGGGTGTGACCCAATAAACCCAAGCTACCTGAGGAAGGAGAAAATAGTGTTATCCTACAAAATTCATGTTCTTGTGTCCAAGGAGAGAAGCTAAGAAGTTGAATCCTGGGTCTTTAGAAAGCTTTCTTCTCTGAGGAACCACTGAAACTTGGGGGAACTCTATTCTCTGAGGAACCACTGGGTCTTGGGGGAGCTCTTTTCTCTGAGGGACCACTGGGTCTCGGAGGGAGCCCTATTCTCTGAGGGAACATTGGGTCTCAGGGGGAGCCCTATTCTCTGTGGGACCATTAGGTCTCAGGGGAGTCCTATTCTCTGAGGGACCACTGGGTCTGGGGGGGGGCTCTATTCTCTGAGTGACCACTGGGTCTCAGGGGAGCTCAATTCTCTGAGAGGTCACTGGGCCTCTGGGGAACTCTATTCTCTGAGGGACCACTGGGTCTCAGGGGAGCTCGATTCTTCTCTGAGGAAGCTCCATAGGGTTCCCCACAGAGATGGAACAAATGGCATTCCTACCGCTCAGGTGTGAGCAGTCTGCAGCTGACACCCTAGCACTGGCCGAGACAGGCGATGAAGAATCCTGTCACCACATCCCACCAACACTGCTTGTTTTGTCTTTTCGGTATCATGCTACCTCATTGTCGTTTTGATTTGTGTTCCCTTAACAGTTGTGAGGAGCCTCCTGGACGTTGCCTGCTTCAGGGGAGGGTCCTCATCAGCTTTTTTGCTACCCCCAGCACTGCTGGGATTTCTCCTGGCTCTGTGCTCAGGCATTATTCCTGGTGGTACTTGGGGGACCACATGGGATTTCAGGGATGGATCCTGGGTCAGTCATGTGATAGGCAAAAGCCCTCCTCGCTGTATTCACTCTCCAACCCCTGCTCACTCAATGAGATCGTTGGATATTTTGTGCTTTATAAACCTTGGAAATTAGGCCTTTACCTGGTTAGGTGTAATCATTTTTCCCACTCAGCAGGGTGCCTTTTTATGTTAGTCTGAGATTCTTTTCTAGTACAAACTTTAATGAAACACGTTTATTTTGTCTTGCTCTGGGACTCAAATTACCGAAAGACACCTCTAGTGCCTGTATCCAGTGAGCATGCCTGTCCATGGGTCCTGGCCCAGTCTCCAGTCCACACTGGGTTGGCGTTTGTGTACAACATGAGATAGCTCCAGTTCGTCCTCCTTTCTCACACGTGGCCGGTTTTCTTGGCCCCATCTCAGCCGTCTGGGCAACTTTCCATCTCATGCTGCGGCTCCTCTGTCAGATTTGCTGTCCACAGACTGAGGGTTTACCCCTGGGCTCAGTTCTAGGCATTGCCTTGAGTGTCCTGAATCCATGGTATCCAGACAAACTGCCAATGTGCGGGAGGGGGATATCTTTGTACCCAAGGGGAGTGGGCACTCAGAGACGCAGGGCTGTACCCAGGCTCTGGGCTTGGCTGCAGGGGTGCAGCAGCTGAGCACAAGGAGCAGAGTGGTGTGAGAGGACAGGGCGGGACATTCGTCTAGCGCATCTGGATAGCCCATCACTCACTGCAGGACACGGGTGGCCACCAGACCAGTATCAGACCAGCGACACCCCCCATCCTGGGGACCTCTCAGCAGTGAGGATTCCAGATGTGGGGGCAGGAAGGTGCTGGGGAAGAGTTCCCAACGGGAGCACCTGTGCTCCATGAGGCCCCCATGGGTGCAGGCCCAGTGCGGGGTGTGTGAGGCAGTGCCCACCCCCCCGCCCCTTCTGCAGGAGGTCCAGCATTTTCTCTGCAGCCCTGAGGCCCCACTGGGGTGAGATGCCATTGCTGGCCCTGGGTGCCTGGTGGGACCAGTCAGGAGCAGCTGAGACCGCCTTGGTCAGGCCCCGGCCAAGCTCCATGCCCTCTGGCACAAGGGCCCGTTGTGGTTTCCAGGAGACCTTGCTGGGAGAGGCTTGGCTGCCTCCTCTCTGGGTTGGCTACAACCCCATTGTCCCACCCAGGGAACCCACTGGCCCGGGAGTCCTTCTGCAGCACAGGCAGCAGGCCAGATGACAAGGCCTATGAGGGCAGCTCTGGTCCATGTTCCAGCCCGGGGGGGGGGGGGGGCGGACACAGGGTCAGAGTCCCAAGCATATGCAGTGGGACACACACTTGCATATACACACATATGCATGCACACACATACATGTGCGTGCATGTGCTGTCACTGTCTCGGTGTGAAGGGGGAGTCCAGGGACCATGTGCCAGATGTCGATGGGGGGTCAGACAGGGCAGTGTTTGGGCTGCATGGCATACGTCAGGGGCATGTAGTTGAGTACCCAGGTCACTTGGAAGGAAGCTGGACCTCAAAGAGGCCATCATCGGGGGTCAAGGAATGTGCTCATGCAGAACCCTGCCACATGGGGGACATGCCCGCCCCCTGCAGGCCGGTTTGGACACAGGAGGCCTCAGAGGAAGTATGGGGAGGTGCCAGGGGCGGCTCAGAGGGTGTGGGAGCTGTCCAAGGTGCTGACCCGGCTCCCTCTCTCGCTCCTTCCGCCTGGCCTGGCATCAGGACCCTGAGGGTCCCAGCAGCCTCAACCCAGGAGCAAGGGGCTCTGCTGCTGTACCATGGCCCCAGGGATGGCCCCAGAGCCCTGGGGCTTAACCCCTGAGACTGAGGGTTGGGGATGAGGGGCTGGAGCACCACAGGGTGGGGTGGGGGTGGGGAGGTACAAGCACAAACATTAGCCAGGTGTGGGCCAGGTCTGAGGGCCTCAGCCAGGCAGTCTGGGAGCTGCCGGCGCCCCGGCCTGAGAATCAAACAGGGCTCCCGAAATGCATCTCCAGTGATCTCTGCAGAGCACAGACCCGGAGGCTCGTCCCGTGCACAGAGTGACATTGGGATGGAGTCTGGGATACAGCAGCAATAAATACACCGACGCAGAATAACTTAGACCACCGACAGCGCCCCTTGCCTGGGGCCAGGACCCAGCTGCCTTCCACAGAACACTGATCTGATGGGGTAAACGTGGCCCCCAGGGGGGCGGGTGGGAGGAGTGCCCACCGGAGTCGCACTCCGGGTGTCCTGAGTGTGAGGAGCGCTCTGCTCTGCACACGGGTGGCGGCACCTTCTCCCAACCAGACTGGCCACAGCCTGTGTGTCATTCGTGTCTCTGCGTCTGGCTGGGATGTGGGCCGAGTGGGGCATCCCTGGACAGACCTGACAGCCAGCGGGCTCAGGAGCTGTTGAGGAGCCTCTGCCGCGCGTGCTTGTCCTCGTTGTTGGCCTGTGTCTCCTCTGCGGGAACAAGGGCAAGGGTCAGTCAGGACACGCGGGCGAGCCTGGAAGGAAGGCGGGGGGCGGGGGGAGAGTCTCCACCCAGCCTCACCTGTGGCCTCGGGCGCCTGGCCATCCTGTGTGTCTCCGGCCGGGCCCGAGGGTGGGGGTGTGCGTGGACGGGCCCTGCCGTCCAGCACGTCCATCTTGATGAGGCCCAGGTTGGTGAGGAGGAGCATGGGGTCGATGCCCTGCCCGCTGCGCTTGATGCTCTCCAGCACCCTCAGACACTTGTAGGACTTGAGCTCGCTCACGTTCTCCTCCAGGAAGAGGTTGTACAGGCTCAGGTCGGTATAGCCCTGCGGCTGCAGGTGCAGCACGTCGAAAGTGGGCAGGATCTCGTAGACGCGGAGCACGTGGGCACGCTGGCGCAGGGGCACGAGCAGCGAGTAGAACACCACGGGTGCCAGCAGTGCATACACGGCCAGGTGCACCAGGCTCAGTACCCGGAACACGCCCACGGCCACCAGCTTGCACTGGACGCGCTCGGGCACGCCGCTGGCGTTGCGCAGCAGCCCCGAGTGCAGGCCGCAGGCGAACTCGTCCGTGCGTGCGGGCAGCCCGCAGTAGTAGCCCAGGCAGCCGGTGGCCAGCAGCACCGTGGCCAGCGTCAGCAGCCGGCAGCCCAGATAGAGCACGATGAGCCGCCTTGAGCCCTTCTTGGTCTTCAGGTACTGCTCCACGATCGGGTACTTGAAGTGGCTCTCGGAGATCTCCCACAGGCTGCAGGGATGGCCTCACTGAGCGCAGGACGCCCCTCGGCACATGGCCTCCATTGCCCACCGCGCCCACCCCACCTCAGCACACACACTGCCCACTGCGTCCATCCTACTTTAGCACACACACTGTCCACTGAGTCCACCCCAACCTCAGTGCATGTCCCCTGCACTGTCTACCGCGTCCACCCCACCTGAGCGCACATCCCCTGTACTGTCCACCGTGTCCACCCCTGACCTCCAGTGGGGCCCGTGCGGAGGAGCAGGAGACCCTCGTGTATCTCCACCCCCTGTGGTGGGCGAGCAAGCCTTGGGGGGAGTTGGGTTCCCCCCAGCTGCAGAGTGGCAGGCAGGGGCTGACTTAGCTGGACACCACCCGACTCCAGAGCTGCACTGACCTTTGGCCCACGGGCTCCGCGCAGCCACCATCCCGAGCGTCCAGGGCCCGTGCGCTCTTGGCGGCCTGGATGGCCCTGTTGTACACCTTGTCCAGCTCCTCCATGATGAACTTGAGGTCAGAGCAGAGGTGCGGTGCGGCCGTGAAACGCCAGCAGAGGGATGGCAGGTACAGCAGGATGGCCACGAGCAGCAGGATGTAGGGAAAGAACTGGCCAAGGGGGTGGTGAGGGGAGTCTCCCACCTGAGCCCCCCAAGAGCTAATGATGTCCCGCAGGTGCAGTGAACACAGGTGCCACTGGGGGGCGCTCTGCTCACTCGAGTCTACTGCAGGGTTGACATGAGTGGGGCCCTGAGGGCTCTGAGCTCAGGGCCTCAGGGGCCTCAAGGCAAACCCCACTGCGGGCTCCAGGACTCGACCTGGGAGAAACCTCCGCCTCTTCCGGCATGGGAGCCGGCTCCAAGGGCTGCCCTGCAGCTCCATGTTCCAGCAGGGGCAAGGGGTGGGCAAAGGGCGCCAGACCTGGGTGCAGGTGGGGTGTTCCCACTCCCGAGAGGCCCGAGTCTGGGGAGGCCCTTGCCCCGAGGTACGAACGGTCTCAGGGAGCACCACAGGGGCAGCAGCTGGGTGGGTCATACCCCTTCACCTGGGACCTCGTCTCTGTCCCCCGACCCCAACAGGTCTGTCCTCTGCGGGCTCCTCACCTTGTGCAGCCACAGGGGCAGCTGCCCCCCATCTCCATGCAGGGGCTCTCCCTGCTGCAGCGCCGCCCAGCAGTACGCATCCACGAAGGCCGCCTGGCGCCACGAGAAGGAGCCGGGCGCGAAGCAGCTGATCTGGGAGCCTGTGGAGAGCAGAGGGTCAGGGTGAGGCCTGACCCTCACAAACCCTCACTGGGGGCTGCACTAGGGGCCCCGTGGGCCAGGCCCCCCCCCCCAGGAGCACTAGCAGGGACACAGACCCCAAGTGCTGCCACCGGGCAAAGATGCCCAGTGGATTCCTGAAGGCTCTGGGCAGTGAAGGTGGGGGCAGGGGCCACTGCTGGACCCCTCAGCCGGGCAGAAAGGTGTTCCATGGGAGAGAGGGCAGGCACGGGGGAACTTGTCCGCACCCGCTGACGTGAACCCTGAGCAGAGGACATCTGCAAGGGGGCACGGGGTGTGGCCACGGGGCTCAGCCAGGCATGCACAGAGACACACATGCACAGAGACACACATGCAGATGTGCACACACATGCGTTTGCAAACACACACATACACAATGCAGAAACACATTCAGACACACACACACAGGCAGATTCACAGATGCAGATATACACAACTGCCCCCCTGAACTCCTGGACTCCTGCACAGTGCTTGGAGCAGCCTTGCTGGCACTCAGCGGAACCGGCCTGGGGAGCTGCCGTCGGAGACCCAGGCTGGCTCCAGGGTCCCTGAGAGTTATTGCGGGTGGCGACTGCCCGCATCCCCCACACCTGTCGTAACCACCCGCCCCCATGGCACTCATCACGGTAATTACTGTGCAGCCCCGCACGTCCCACATGCCACTCCCTGCTCTACCCAGCGTCTGGCCTGGGGCGTGTGGCCCCCAAGGTGACACAACGTGGAACGGGAGACTCTGGCTCGGGGTGCTGATGGGCACGGGGAGTCCCACAGGTAGGATGCCAGAGCAAGAGAGAGCACCCAGGTCAGCAGGAAGCTCAACCCACGCCCCTGGGTGTGGGAGGGGCGGTGAGCAGCAGAGTGGTCCAGAGGGGACCAGAACAAGGCTCCCCTCATGGGCCCAGGGAGGCCGCCCCAGGCCTGGGAGAACAGGCGCTGTGGTGGGACGGTGGGAGAACAGTGTGTGCTGAAGACTCAGTTATTAATAACCTTGTTGGTTTTTTTCCTGGGGGTGGGGGAAACCCCACCTGGCAGGACTCAGGGATCACTCCTGGAGGGGAATGGGGGGCATATGGGATGCCAGGGATCAAAGCCCAGTTGGCCACGTGCAAGGCCAGTGCCCTACCCACTGTGCTATCTCTTGCCCCATCATCTAGTATTTTTATGGTAGTTTTTCTGAACACTGACTCTTGGAGATACGTAGAATTACAGGCCAGTGTTCCCCAGGTGGGGCTGCAACAATCCAGGGGTGATTAGAGCCTCGGGCTGACTGGGGAGCACTTCCTGCCATTTTATTATTTTTGTTTGTTTGGGACCACACCCTGAGATGCTCATAATCACTCCTGGTGGTGCTCAAGGGATGGACAAACGCCCACTGTGCTCTCTCTGGCCCGTCTGTTCTCTTCAAGGCGGGTTTCCAGGGCACAAACTGAGCGGCATTGCTCCTGGGAAGGGAGCGATGGTGGCCGAGTGGGTCTGGGACCCTCTGTCGAGATGACAGCCCTTGGTCACAGGCATGAAGGGGGTGCTCTTCACCAAGTGCCGGGCTGAGCAAGAAGGTCGCTGAAAGCATTCTCCCCCTTTCGGAGGAGCAAACAAGCCACTTGGGGTGCACCAGTCACTGAGGGAACAGGGAGACACAATGGGGGAATCTGTCTGGGACAGAACAGAGGTAACTCTGCCGTCCTCAACCAAGAGATACCATGAGTTTCGGGCTTCAGATTTGGGGCTTCTTCAGGTCTGTAACCGAGTGCCTGGGGGGTTTCCTGTGCCTAGGGTCTGTCCACGAGAGCCAGTGGGATGGGGGGTAATGCCACGTCAATGTCCCTCTTGAAGCAGTGAAGCCAAAAGCATCAGAAGGGGTATTTTGTCTTCAGGTGACTCAGGCTCTTTCCTGCTCAGAGTCTGCGCCAGCGGCCGGGGTACCCTGCGCTAGTCAGCCGCCGTCCAAGCAGTGCAAGGGCGGGAAGGACTGCATGGCATCCCCGACCTACCCAAGCACCCTCCTTGTCTCGCCTCGGGCTCCCCAGATTAGGAGCCTGCCTGGAAGCATCTACGGCTTCCTGAGGGTGACCCATGTTCAGCAAGAAGCAGCGCACGGATGTCTGGACAGCACCAATGATCACTCCTGGCCGAGGTCTCGGTGCAGACACTCTGGGCTCACTCCCTGCTGCGTCTGCCCACCAGCCTCTCAGGCTGGGCCCTGTTTTGCGTGTGTCTGATCCACCGCAGCGCAGAGCTGTCATGCTGGCCTCCCAGTGTAGCTGGTCAGGCCCTAGGAACGAGGAAGTTGGGAAAGTCCAGTGGAAGGACTCAGATTTGTTCCTCAGCCACCCAGAATTCCTTCCTCCCTACATGACGTGTGCATATGTGTGCACATGTGTATACACACACACACACACACACACATACACACACCCCAAGCCAACAGCCTCCTCACGGATATAACTACAGCTACTGAATCATGACGCGCTTCCACCCCTCCAACATGCACCTCGCCTAACACACACACCCAGCACACTCAAACACATGCCAACAACACGGGTGCATGCACTCAACATGCAACAGATGCCTCCACAGGCGTAGGGACCAGCTCCCCGTGCCTAGGTCAGAGCAGGAGTGGCCCACGTGGGTGCTCTGTGTGGGGAGCAGGGGGAGGCGGCCATGGGCACTGGAGGCAGGAGTGGCTCTCAGCCGGCCCCACTTGCAGGCTCCAGGCACCCCTGCCCAGTATGTCCTGCCCCGCGCCCTGTCTGCCCCATGCCCCATCCTTTTGTAGTACCCATTGTACCCTGGTACCCATCCTGCAGCCATGACGTCTCCAATGCACAGAAGCTGGCCTGGTGCTTGGGGAAGGTCCCTTCACAGGAACCCCAGCTGCAGGTACCCAGCAAGGGGCTCCTCCAAGCCCTTCCTGGGTTTCATGCCCAGGGATCCAGCCTTGGAAGTCCCCTGTCCCATTCTCAAGGACTGAAGGGCTGGACAAGGCCTGGGCAGGGGGTGCCCAAGGGCATGGCTACCATCCTTGACCCCCTCTCAAGCTGCTGGCCGGCTCATTCCATGGACACGGGTGGGTTTGGCCCTCTGAGACCCCCAATCCCGTGTGTTGGGGACCCCGTCGGCTGGGCAGGAGGAAAGGGCAGGGCTGGTGGCCCCCAGGGCGGCTGGGGAGGGCACGGGATTATCTGAGGACCCGGGACCTTGGAGGTTTTCCTTCCCCCTGGAGCCCAGGGCAGGCCGCAGCTGTTCCTTCCAGGGCCGAGAGTTCCCGCCGGCCGCTCAGGGGCGGGGCCGCGGGGCTCTTCCCTTCTTCTCGCGGCTCCCCCCAACGCCCGCACAAAGCGCCCCGCGGGCCGCCCGGGCCGCCGCCCCGCCCGGGACCTTGCCCCTTCCCGGGCATCCGCCCTCCCCGGGCACCCGCCCCTCCCGGCCTGGCCACCGGGTCCACGGAACCAGGCGGAACCGCGCAGCTGGGCGCACGGGGGCCACGGAAGCACGCGGGCCAGGCGCGCCGGGCTGGGTCTACAGAACCACGCGGGCCGGGCTGGGTCCACGGAAGCACGCGGGCCGGGCGCGCCAGGTCCACGGAACGAGGCGGGCCGGGCGCACCGGGTCCACGGAACCGCGCGGGCCGGGCCGGGCCCCCGGAACCGCTTGGGCGGGCGCAGGGGAGGGCGCCGGGGCAGTCCGCGGAGACAAAGGGGCCTCACCCGTGGAGATCTCCTGCGCGAAGGCCAGCGAGACGAGCAGCAGCGGCAGCCCCACGCCCACGCACGTGACCAGCTTGTCCAGCGCCAGCTCCAGCCGCAGCCCCTTGAACTTGGGCTCGGTCGGCTCCTTGAGCAGGAAGTCGGAAAACACGTACTCGGTGGCCAGGTGCGCGATGGCCATGGCGCCGTCAGCGGCCCGGCCCGAGCCCCCCGCTCTGCTCTCCCCGGCGCCGGGGCCCCGCGCGCATCCCCGTCTTGCCTGGCCGCGCGCTGCCCGTGCCCGCTGCCCGCGGCCCCAGCGCCCGTGCTCCTGCGCGCCCCGCCCCCTGCCCCGCCCACCTCAGGTCCCGCCCACTTCCCGTCCCAGAACGCAGCACGACCCTGGGACCCACAGGCCCCGCCCACCTCACGTCACCACACCCGCCTCACCTCCTAGGACGGTGCGCCTTCCCTTCGGCCCCGCCCACTCCCTGCGCCCCGCCCACTTCCCCGCCCCTTAACCCCGCCCACCCAAAGCCCCTTCCCCGGCTCCGCCCGCGCCCGCGCCCCCTGCCCGCCGTCAAGGCCCGGATGCTCCCCCGCCCCCCGCCCTCGGACGGCCCCGGACCCCCGAAGCTGGAGGCGAGCGCGGGCCTTTCCCCAGCCTGGGTCATCCCCCAGCTGAGGGGGGCGGGGAAGAGCGCCTTGCCTGCTCGGGCGGGGCCGGGGGCGGGGGGCGGCCCTGCCAGCCCCGGCGGAGAGAGCACCCTGCAGCGGCCCGCAGGGAAGGTAGAGACCCTGCCCTCTGCGGAGACTGTTTCTCCCTGGCACGATGGCCAGGCTCCTGGTCTTCACACCCCCACGCCGGTCTTAGAGACAAAGTACCATCTCACAGTACACGAAACTTTATTAAAAAGAGAGGCTGTATCACATTGTGCTGTGGATTAGCTTTCATTAAAAAAATAGACTGGGGGGATCTAGCGCAGCGGGTAGGGCACTAGCCTTGCACCCCCCACCCGGGTTCCAACCCTGGCACCCCTGAGCACCACCAGGAGTGATCCCTGAGTGCAGAGCCACGAGGAAGCCTTCAGCATCACCCCGTGTGACCCAAAACAAAACGAAACAAAAACGAACTAAGAGGGAGAAAAATGCATAAGGAACCCTTAGCTGCCAGTGAGCATAAATAAGGCATCCACATCCTGTCAGACCACTGCAGGCTGACACAGAGCCCTAAGCATGTGTCACAAAGTCACATTCTGTGGGGTTCCCGGGCCTCGTCGAGAATCCTCTGGAAAACCTGTTTAATGGGACAGCAAAGCAAACAACCAACAGAAGTACCAGCAGCCTCCACCGTCAGACTAGCACATCTACCAAGTACGCAAACCCTCCCCGAAACCATGACCAAGATGAGAAAGCATGTGAGCAGGAACGTGTGGTCCCCCCACCAGTGTCTCCCAGCCCTAGGGGGGGTGCCCAAGGCAGTCTCCCCTCACTGGTTGTTCCCCAGTGATGCCGCCTGCCTCACCCACTTGGGCTGTACCTGTGGGTGGACGCTGCTGAGTGCTCAGTCATTCGTTTACACACACGGGAGGACCTGAGCACTGTCACCATGTTCCCGAAGAGAAGCACCCCACCCCGTGCTGCCTGGTGTCCAGGGAGGAGGAAGCCGTCTGCTCTAGGCCCCGCCTTCCCTCCAGGACCCTTTCTCCTGTCCATTTGTGAAAACAGCACGTTGATAGAGAAGTGATGAACATCTTGTCATGTGAAGTGAGTTGAGAATCTTCAGGTCTGCAGCGACGTGAGGCTGGGGGTGGGAGGGGAGGGCACAGGTGGCAGAAGGAAAGGATCAAGGGGAACTGGGGACAGGCAGTGCCAGGAGCAGCTGCAGACTCCTAGGCCAGCTGCCGAAACAGCACCGAGGTTTGTCCTTCCAGAGAGGCTGGAGGTAGGCGAAGGAAGCCTGGTCTGGTCTCAGGCTCAGCAAGGGGGAACCAAAGCTCAAAGCACGACAGAGGGTCCTTCAGCCAACGAGGACAGTCGTCTGGCGAGGCCTTCACAGTGCCACCTGCTCTCCACGTCACCCCCAGGGCCACTCACAGCCCGTTCGAGAGTAAATAAATAGAAGTCGCTGGCCCTGTTAGGAGCAGAGCCTGGCCCAGGACAGGCGCCTTTGGTGGGTGTGTGGCGGCCTGGTGCCCAGTGGCTGGGTCACAGCGCCTCGGTGGGGAGGGCGCAGGTCTGCACCTGCTGGTACACCCCCCGCTGGTGCGCAGAGTGCAGTCGGAGGGCCAGGAGCACAGTGACCAGCAGGAGGAGGAGCCCCATGATGAACAGGGTGACTAAGGCTGCCTTGGCTCCCCGAGGCCCCAGCTGCCGGCCGAAGAAATAGAGCTGCTCCTTGCCTGGCTGGCCTGCAGAAGAGAGGGGCAGGGTCAGGGCTATGCTGGGCCCCGATGGCTGCACACGCAGGAGCCAGCATCCTTACCTTTGGCGGGCACCGTCTCTGCAGGGGACGCTCCTCCGGAGGGAGGCTTAGTGGAATAAGGGACCCTGTTGTCTGGCGGGGAGACAGGAGGTTTCACACAGCAGACGTGGCTCCTCCCAGGCCCCGTGTCGGCCTCCCACCACCCCCTCCCGCCACTCTCCATCAGCCCTGTGCCCATTTGCCAGGGCTGCCCTGGCCTGGCTCTGGGCCCTGGTACCTATGTTCCGCAGGACTGTGTAGGTGGTCTCCATGCCGGCGTGGATGTGGTCAGAGACATGGCAGTGTATCAGCCACGTGCCCGGGTGGTCCGCAAACAGCTCGATGGTCTGGAATGTGCCAGGAAAGAGGTCATATACGTCCTCTCGGTAAGACTGGTCAATCTGCAGAAGGTGGGCATGAAGAAGGGAAGAAGCCAATGAACACGAGAGCAGAAACATGATACATGTGAATCAAAAAGGCCAGAGGCAGGCTATGCCACAGACCCATGAACTCAGCACCCTGGAGGTGGGGGTCCCAATATCCAGCAGGCCAGTGGTGACTCTTGCTCCCCAGCAAGGGCAAAGGCTGGGCCTGGGTTTCAGGGTAAGGTCACTGGGAGGGGGCTCCTGGCTTAGACCTCCTCCTGCAGTGCCATTCTCTGGGGCTGCTACCCAACCCACCCACTCCCCAAATCTATCAGAGAAGCTACATCACAACCAACCAGCCCAACGCCTGCCATGGGAGCTGGGGAAATGGTGAATCCTGAGTATTTGAGTAATTTATTATGTCACAGTCAATAATTAACACAGACATCCAGACAAACTGACTCAGAGGAAAGGAAATGTGAGACAAGTGTTAGGCAGGAGAGAAGGGAGATCATTAACGCTAAAGACATTAAAAAGATAGGAAGGAATATCATGAACAATGCTTTGCCCTTGAGTTCTGCAGCTAAGTGTCTGAACAAGTGCCTTCAGTTGAGTGTAGCCCCAAATTACTATTATTTATTTAAAGAAAGTGAAATTGCATTAAGAACTTTCAATAAATTAAGCTGCAGGTCCAGATGGCTTCCTTGACAAATGAAGAGAAAACATCGATTCTAAACAAATTCTTCTAGAACCCAGAGGAGGAGGAGGGAGTACTAGCAGCTCATATGATGAGGCTGGCCTCATCCTCATCAGAGCTAGACAAGAATATTACAAGAACACCACAAGCAGGATTGTTCAGGAGCATAGAGGCTGAAGTCCTTGAGACTCACACAGAATCCAGCAGCACACAGTAGGGACAATGGAGCACAACAGTGAAGCTTGTCCAGAACAGAACATCCAATATTGAAAATCACTCATTCATTTTTGCACTAAAGACTGCCAATAGATGATGGGGCAGGGGTGCCACTAAGAAAAGGTCTCATCTGCAAACTGAAGGGAGGAAAGGACCCTGCACCAGCGCCACGGCGGGGGTCTGGCTGTTCTCCCCTCCCGGTAAGACCCAGGAAAGGACGTTCACTGTATTCCCGCCCAGCACCGGACATAAGTCTAGTCCGTGCAGATGGCAGAGAAGCAAAAAAGTTCATGGTAAGTAAAGCATCTCTTTCCCAGACAACATGACTATCCAGGCCTGAACACCCCCAAGACAACCAAATGAGCTAGAGAACTAGTTGCAAGCATCAATCCTATTTTACTGACATTAAATATTAGACCATGTATATTATCCTCAAGGCCCATGATAAACTTGGGTAATAACTGTAACAGAATAAAGACAAGAACTCTCTCTGGAAACCATTGAACTCCAGTGATAGAAAAAAAAATACGTGAAAAGGCTGAAATGTTCTTAGTCAGGAAGGCCCATTATGGTTACCAGTTCTCCCTGAACCAATGTACAGATTCCGTGATACTTAATCAAAGTCCCAGAAATCTTAAAAACCACTAAGCTTTTTCTAAAATGTTATCTGGGAAGCTGAAGTTCTTGGAGAGCTGAAACCACAAGACTTAAGACGGACCAGTCACTGGGGCTGGAGCAATAGCACAGCAGGTAGGGCGTTTGCCTTGCACGCGGCCAATCCAGGTTCAATTCCCAACAGCCCATATGGTCCCCCGAGCACTGCCAGGAGTAATTCCTGAGTACAGAGCCAGGATAACCCCTGAGCCGGGTGTGACCCAAAAAGAAAAAAAAAAGATGGACCAGTCACTAGCCATGGGAAAGACCTCATGCAGCCAGGAGAGGCTGGGCAAGCCGGGGCAGGAAGCACCAAAGTCTTCCCGTGCACAGGTAGAAGTATCAGCTGCACGCAGGAAGTGCTAAGAACTGCTGAGCCAAATGAACGATGAAGACCTGTAACCCTTTAGCTGCCAGGCTTTAGTCAGGCTAAGGTATGATCCATCAAAGGAAACAAGCGTTACCAGGCTTCCCCACCACGAAGCGTGTAAGGAATGAAGAAAGAGGCTGTAGGCAGGGAGATCCCATCTGCGGGCTCCCCAGCTGGAAGAGAATGAGTCCAGAGTCAGTCAGATCCTCCCATGCCGCGGCAAGGAAACAGACCTCACCACAAACTGCTGAAAGTCTACAGATTCACCACAATGCGTGGCGGCAGAGACTTGTGAACAGGCGGGCCAACAGGAAGAGGCCAGCAGAAAGCAGGAAGTGCGGCCCACCCTCTGCCCCCACAACCTCCCCAGGGAAACCAGGACTGCAGCCACACAAGCAACAGGTGTGTGCTGTGCGACCACGAGAACCCACAGACAGGGTGGTGGGCAGCACAGGATAGGGCGGGCCAAGGGGCCTGAGAGGGGGGTGAGCCCTAGGCCATCCCTAGTTTCGTTCGGGCCCACACACCGACCCGGGGGTGACTCTTTGAGGGGG